TTTCTCTGCTTTGGGAAAATGGCTCTATTTGCACATCCAGTTCAAGTAGCTGAAGGGCGTCTTCTCAATTCTGCTCTGTAACGACCCTTCTAATAGTTTCTCCATCCTTTCGCTGCCCTGTTCCCAGCAACTGTCTGGACCAATGGAAGCCTGCCATGGCTTTGCAAACTTGGACATAGACAAAGCATGTTCTCATTGGTTGTAACACATTACTCCTTAGAGTCCTTCTGTCTCTGAAAGTTGGGTTCTGTTTCCAGGACTTTCTGCTTGTTCTGATGGTAATGGCCATTTATCTGTTAGGTTGGCCAAGAAGTCCATTTTCTCTGTAAAATAAAGGACACAGTTTTCATTTTCACCAGTAAATATTGATTTGGATATTTTGAGTACGTTGGCTCTCTCCCGCTATTGGCTTCTAGTGGGTAGAGGCCAGGCTGCTGCTAAACACCTTCCAGTGCATAAGACGGCCCCACAGCGAAGAGTTATTTGGCCAAAGTGTCGATAGTACCAGGAAACTTCACAAACCACTTTGACACATTTGATCAGTCACAGCGCCTTCTCCATATCCTGCACAAACCTGTTTTTACATTTCAGTTGCATTTTTACTTTTCTCAAAATAACAAAGCTTAATACTCCAAAATGTTATGTATTTTCTTTCTTCCATCTTCAATGTTAAAATGGCTACAAAAAATTCACCAATTTGGATAAGTTTTTTTTAGTAAAAGGCAAAAGATTTATATGATCTGAAGAGAAACCAGAGTATTGAAGATAATTTTTTTAAATGCACGCTGATGGGACAGCTGTCACAATGAAATCTAACAACATTGTTTCAAGTGAAGTTCAAGACAACCAAGCGTTACTAGAGACGCTGTGCAGAGGAACATAAAGAACTTTTTGGCCAGCCCGGCCCTTGTGTTGGCCCGACAGGCAGCAAATAGTGTCCCAGTATCTTGGGGTGTCAACAATTTGCTCCCCAATTTGCCTTTTAAGCTAATTCAATCTACTCTCATTTTCTTTTAGTTATTAAATCACTGGTGTGTTTTGAATTTTTAAAATTCGAAGGCTATCTTCCTCTATGGCTTCTCGAAGCTGATCCCATTTATACATCTCTTAGAAAAATGTGGTTATTCAGGTGCTCAGATTTTTTCATCTTGACCTACCTGCTGTGGCTTAAAAATCACATGGTTTTAAAATAATGCTTTGTTTCTCTTTCTAAGCATTCTATTCGAATGAACTGTGTCATTTTTATGCTAAAATATGTTCTCTACTTTTTCACTATAGCATCATCTTTTTTTTCGTCCCCAAATATTTCTTTCTTTTCTTCCTTGGTTCTCCTCTTGACCCTTAAAATGTATTCTCGTTTCCTGCTTTTACTTGTGTTTCTCACCAGTTTCTTACAGTGCTCAAAAATTTAAAACTCTTAGGTCTAAGGATAAGGCTGTATCTAGATTTAGAGATTCCATTCATTCTCTTGACCTTTCGCATCATTTCTTGCTTTCTGGGTAACTGGGTCCATGCAGACACTGCTCCCCTGAAGTGAAGGGCAATGCCTGTAGCATTCGTTAAATATTTTTCAATGAATGACTCTATTTCATAATCCCATGAGCGTTCATGAACCAAGAGGTGTTAGGGCACCTAAAACCAAGAAGGGCCAGCCGGCTTTAGGGCTTTAGACCAGATTTTACCAAAAGCCTTGTTAAGATATGATGGGGGACGCCTTCTCCTAATGCATCGGTGGAGTCTTGGAGAGTGTGAAGCAGAACCAAGCCCAGTTCTTCCCAGAATGTAGTGAGGTGCGCAAAGTTATAAATTCATTTCTTGAAACGGAAGCCTTGATTTCTTAATACACGAAACAAAAGCTTCCTGAGCTAGAACACCTAGATACGTACCTGTGCTGTAGTTTTTTAGTTTAAATCTCCCCTGGGTTATGCACATTAAAGAGACCTAATGAAAAATTTCTGAGTGAATGAATGTGTGGATGAAAGGCATGTCTCACAGAAAGTGAAGGCATTGAACCTGAAATGGAGAGGAGACGAGGCTGAGAGCTGGAACCCTGGCTGCTCCGCTGCCTACCTGTGTGATCTGAGGTCCTGTATCTAATTCCCAAGCGGATGTCCGCTTCCTGCTCTACAAAATGGGAACGGATGTGCTCGGGCGTCAGCCTCCATTGAAGGGCCTTATAAAACAACACGAATCTGTGTTTACTACGCCCCACAAGAGTCGTCCTCTTGAGGCCTGGGGAAAGGTGTTACTGTCAACCTCATTTCCACGGCCCGAGAAAGCGGGTTTGTTTGTTTTCTGCAGATAGACCGGATTGTTTAACTGATGCTGTTTTCCTTTGGGCATTGGTTTCTGGAAAACACGGAGCCAGATTATAGCCCGCTTCCAGCAAAACGCGCAGCCTCACCCCTGTACTTAAAGTGTTCACGCTCTCCCCTGCCGACACCGTGTCCCCCTTCTCGCTGACCACACGACCTCACTGGTTCCGTCCTGGAGTTTGGGTATAGCTGTGTCAAATGGCTCAAACTGCTTTTGGAGTAAGATGGTGAAAAAGAAGGAAGAAAGAAAAGAAATAAAGGAGGGAGGGAGACAGACAGGCAGGCAGACAAAAGGAAGGCAGGGATGTGAAAAGAAGTCAGGAAGTGGGATCGCGAGGACCCGCCGATGAGGGTCACAGTGACGAGTGAGCGAGACCACCTGTGTTTGTACGGCTAAGGCCTCGTGTTTTCTGCTCTCCTCAGAGAACCGAGTGGCAACACTTTTTTAAATGTGCACAGTAAATAATAACAGTAAACTTTCATTGATAATAATATATATTTTCATTGAATTTATTGGGCTGACATTGGTTCACAAAACCATAGAGGTCTCACGGGTACAACTCAGTAAAACATCACTTGCACACAGCATCCTGTGCCCATCACACACACACACACCTCCCCCCCTACCAAGTTCCTCTCCATCCCCATTTGCCCCGCTTTGCCCTCCTCCCCCGCCCCGCCCCTTTTCCCTCTGGCCATCACCACGCTGTGGTCCGTGTCTCTGTGTTATGTATGTAAGATTTTGGGCTGGTTCTTTCACCTTCTTTCATCTGGTCCCCCCTTGCCCCTCCCCTTTGACCGCTGTCAGGCTGCTCCACACATCCAGGCCTGTCTCTGTTTTGTTAGTTTATTTCGTTCATTAGATTCCACACATAAGTGAGATCACATGGTGTTTGTCTTTCTCTAACTGGATTATTTCACTTAGCATAAGAATCTCCAGGTCCACCCATACTGTCACAAAAGATAAGATTTCCTTTTTTTTTTTTACAGCTGAGTGAGTAGTATCCCATTGTGTAAATGGACCACAGCTTTTTAATCCGCTCATCTACTGATGGGCACTTGGGCTGCTTCCAGAGCTGGGCTGTTGTGAATAGAGCTGCTATGGATATAGGAATAGATATGTTCTTTCAGATTAGTGTTTTGGTATTCTTGGAATATATTCCCAGAAGTGGGATCATAATATATTCTAAAAGGAATTTAAAAAATTACAATATACATAAATCCACAATTTTAAATCATGCTCCTTGGAGCTCCCACCGGTGCATGAGGTGACAGGGAGCTGGGACAGTGGAGGAAGGAGGACTTCGGGTTGTTTCAACCAAAGGCTCCCAGAATTGTTTCTTGTTTTTGTTTTTTACTTTGTTCACTTTTATTTACATGTAAAGTTTCTGCTGACCAAGGGTCACATGGGCAAACGAAAGATGGGAAGAGCTCATATATGTAAGTCACAGGACAGCAAGGTGGATGCGGATTTGCAAAGTTAAGCACAGTGCATTTTTGGCTTGTGGGTTTGAGCGTGAAACGGCCTCCTTTTCTGTGTGCGCATCGGTCACCCCTGGGGTCGGTGCAGCATTGCGCTGTAGGATAACGTGAAACTGTACACAAGGAACTCAGTTTAAAACAACATCCCAAAATGGAATTATAGAAACCCCCCTTCCCCCTCCCCCCCACCAGGAAACCGGGTAAGCCTCCGTGGGAGTCCTACTTGAAAGATGCTGTGTGGACCAGCGAGGGGCATTTTCTTCCTCATCGTAATCCATTTTCTGGTGCATTCTCTCTCCCAAGAAGGAGCAGTAATGCCTGGGAAAAGGGAAGTGGGTCCAGCCAAACCAGCCTTTCTGAGAAGAAAGCACCTAAAAGTCCCTTAGATCCCCATCTATGAGTTGCTAGGGGGTCAGATTTCCTTCCTCTTTCCTTATCTACTTGAGAACTTTGATCACTTCCGTGTGAGTATTATAATCTGTCTGTTGGGTTGGCCGAACATATTACTTCTAAATGGAAATGTGACAATATGTCTAAAAGATGTCTGGGGTGAAGTTAAATGTTGTTGGTGTATCTTGCGGTGTAACCAGCTGCTCCGAAGGTTAGCGACTGAAAACAATCATTTTTAGCATCTCTCTTGCTCTCGGTGTAAGGAGCTCAGCTGACCAGGGCTGTGGACACCTGGGGCTCCAATGGGCTGAAACATCCCGAGAGGCCAGCCTGGGTGGCAGGCAGGTGCAACTGCCCACCTGCTGGGGGCGCAGCAGGCACTGGTACCTGCCCAGAGCACCCAGGCCTCCTTCCCTGGCTCTCCCCATGGCTCTCACTGTGTGGCTGAGAGAGAGGATGTGCCAAGAATGAGCATACTACATGGGACAATTCTCCAGCCTTCTAAAGGGTCAGAGCAGTCCCAGGACCAGCCTGGATTCAAGGGGTCAGGGTGGGGGGCGCAGTGAGCTCCACCTCCAATGAAGCAGTGGTGGTAGGTAGCAGGGAGAGGAGAGATTGGTGAGGGCCGGCTTTGGAGACCACCATGTATGTGGAAGGCTAAAAAAAATGTATTGCTTACATTGTTGAGACACAGCTGTACGTCGTGAGAAGCGCAGAGGGTTGCTTCTTCACTTAGTAAATGGAAACTGGCGCTTTAAGAATTACTGTGCATAACAGTCGTTGTTCCTTATGTTCTTCCCCCACCCCCTGCAGATCTGTTGCCTTAAAGCAATAAAAAATGGCCCGAGGATCAGTGTCCGACGAGGAAATGTTGGAGCTCAGGGAAGCTTTTGCCAAAATTGGTGAGTAGACCTGGTACCTCAGGGGTACAATTCTCTTTCCTATTGAGTATCTTCAGGACAGAGTGCATGACATGCTACCATGGGCAACGGAGCAGAAGTGACCGGCATCCGGTGGTCAGGGAGCTGGGGAACTTGGCCCTGAAATGTACCTTTCGGAAGACAAGCCCTTCTTTCTCTGTGGAAACTTTCTCACCTGGAGCTCTTCCCGGAAATGGCCCCTACGTCTCATCTTTTTAATGCATCCACTGTCTTTGGTTTTCTTTTTTTTTTTTTAAGTTTTTTCTGTTTTCTTTGTATTTCGCACTTTTTCTTACTCTTCATCTCTCAGCCTATGGTTTATTTCCCCATCTGATTCTATGAAAGTCCCTTTAAGATTCTGTTGCCAGACCTCTGTTAGAAGGAGGTCTGTTAGAAGAAGTTAGGCCTCTGGGATGTCGGAAGGGATATTAAGGACCATATACAATAGTGACTGCCCCCTGGTGAGACTCTGACTCTGGTGTGGGGTCCGGCCGTGACCCCTGGGCGATGGCTCCTGCTGCCTGCTCACCTCCCCGCCCCAGCCTTCCCTCACCTCTTGTCCTGCTCTTAGTTGATTTGCTCTGAACCTACACCTTGTGCTCCGCCCCACAGATACCGATGGCAATGGCTACATCAGCTGCAATGAATTGAACGACTTGTTCAAGGCCGCGTGCTTGCCCCTGCCCGGGTACCGAGTGCGAGAGATCACAGAAAACCTGATGGCCGAGGGTGATCTGGACCGTGATGGCAAGATCAGCTTTGACGAGTTTATGAAGGTGAGGGTGATGCAGTCTAGGAGGAGCTGCACTCGAACCTTAGAACTTCAGTTCAAAAAATACCCAGAAATGCATTGCCACTCTCCTTGCATCAACATTACCTCCTGGTTTTCTCGATCACAGAGTGGGTTTACAAAGACCCATTGTGTCTTTGCAGATTTTTCATGGCCTGAAAAGCACGGATGTGGCCAAGACCTTTAGAAAAGCCATCAATAAGAAGGAAGGGATTTGTGCCATCGGGGGCACCTCGGAGCAGTCCAGCGCTGGCACCCAGCACTCCTACTCGGGTAAGCTGTCCTGATGGGTGTGGACCGAGGTGGCACGGGGAAAGCCGAGGGCTGAGGGAGAGGGCCCCGTGCAGGAAGGACCCATTTTCTGGGACTGCACATTCTGAACTCGGTATTCGCACTTCGGGGCTGTAACGTTTATTGGCCACTCCCCGGTTCCCCAGGCATGAGTGAGCCAGCACTTCCAGCTCTGGGTGGGGCCCCACACCAACTCATCCTACCAGCATTTAAACTAAAAGGACAGCTAGATCAGGAGTGGAAACATAGAAATGAAGATCTCAAGGAGGGTTAGCAACAGGGGAGTGGGAGGAGGAGAAGGGGGGAGAAGGTACAGAAAATAAGTAGCATAGACGGTGGATAGAAAATAGAAGGGGGGGCAAGAATAGCATGGGAAATATAGAATCTAAAGGACTTGAGACACATGGTCATAAACTAAAGGGGAGGTAATGGTGAAGATGGGGGGGGTAGGGTGGAGGGGAATGAAAGGAGGAAGAGAACAACTGTAACAGCATAATCAATAAAAAAATTTTAAAAAATTAAAAAAATTAAAAGTACACAAAAGGCTGCTGAAATTCCTTTGTAAAGCTTTTGGACAAAATGAGCTGCAAAGGCTTCTTCTAACTTCCAGCTTCATAATTATTCTTCATGCCTGCTGGGGGGCCCCAAAACTTGTTGTTTTTATTGATTTGTAAGAAAGGTTTACATTTAGTCTGAAGATCCTGAAAGCAACCATCTAGCAGCCTTACTGGGCAACCTGTAATCACCCAAATAAGCAACACTCCAGCAACCCGCACACGGAGTTCTTCAAAACATTAGTCGCTCTTCAAGAGAGGTGCATGGTTAGGCCCCACCTAAGTCACTGCTAAGACAAAGTTCAGCTCTTATTTTGAAATGCAGACATCTTCACAGTTTTCTGCGTTGTAAATGGGCATTGTGAAAGTTGAAGACCTTGATATGGCTATGGCCGTGTTTCTCAAAGCTTTGTGACTCAGGATTCTCCTGAGAGCCAAGACCGATTCCGTGGCACACATGCCAAGAAACACGGTGTTGGGCGTAACTCGAGGTTTTATTAAAATTTCTGAAGTCCACCTCTGGCAGCTTGACTGCTAGGAAAGAAATAGTATATCACAAATTGTTTCATTTCATGATAATGAAACTCAGAGGTATTGCAAGGATTGTCTGGGATCATCCCACATTTAAATCAGCAGGGCTGACAGCAGAACCCCCAGTTTTATTCTGTAAGAATTAGAGCACATTTATATTTAAATTATAAATAAATATAAAGAAAAATATTTGCATTAGTTGTCTATATTTACATATGTAAAACATAGCTATATATACTTGCTTCTACATAGAAATTATTTGCACACTTATATACCTTCTAAACCTGCCTGCTGTATGTTTTCTGACTTGGACGGAGCGGAGGCCCTGCGCCCGTGTCCGCAGTCTTCTGAGATTCTCAGTGGTCAGTAAATGTGAGAGGATCAGGGAATGGGTCAGAGAACGTGGCCACATCTCTCCGGGGCTGGAGGACCTAAGATCCACACACACAGTTCTGCTGGTGTTGATTTTCCCCCTTGCCCATCACCTGTTTCTGCCACTGCCTTGCAGAGGAAGAGAAATACGCCTTCGTGAACTGGATCAACAAAGCCCTGGAAAACGACCCCGACTGCCGCCACGTCATCCCCATGAACCCGAACACCAACGACCTCTTCAGCGCCGTGGGTGACGGCATCGTCCTTTGGTAAATGACACATCCTTCTTGGCTGCCAGAGCATTCTTTGGACGGTTCCAGAATACCAACCTTTAATTGCGTTGATCCCAGGCCAGCTTCCTTCAGTGGTCAGCTGAGCCCGAAATGCTTTTCTGGACTTTTTACTTGGCAGGTCCAGGAGAGAAAAGCCATGTTGAGAGAAACTTATAGGAAGAAGTGGAAAACTGCTCTTTCTCGGGTGGAGGAGAGGGGTGCACGGGAGAGAGACGAACACAAACAGGGAGCTCTAGTAACACAAGGTCAAAAGCGATTACTTTTGGGAGATGTGCTGCTCGGCCTCTCTGGAGCGTGGCGTACGCACACGAGGGTGGGCAGGATGAGCCACAGCAGCCTGGTGCCTGGAGAATCCAGCGCGGGCCCTTCTGAAGGGGAGTGGGGGGGGGCGCACACGGGGACACCACTGATCTCACCCACGGAGGCGGAGGTGTTCTTTCTGTGGGAGGCGCAAAGCCCCGCGGGGTGTGCTCACGATGGTGCCTTTGACAATACCTCTGTTGTTGTGAACCCTGCCTTGGGGCCCACGAGGAGGCTTCCCTGAGGGGCCGATCTCAGGCGAGCCCGGGCGTTGAAGTGAGGGGTAGGTGGGCAAGACTTTAAGCCTCCTTTGCTCCGCTCTGACCAGACCAATTCTGCTTTGGGAATTTTATTTATGAGAGTGCATTTTTTAAAGGTTCAACCGCTAAAAAAAAAACATTTAGCCGACAACAGGAGCAAGGCCTGATCCCTTCGGTTGGCAGCCAACCTCCCCCGTGGCCTTCCATCAGTGTCCTTGTGGTTTGACCTCCCCAGACCCGCTGACCCCGGAACCCGGCCGGGGGCACCGAGTGAATGGCTTCGTGGATGACAGCGAGCAGACTGACTCCTTCCCATCCGCACCCTCCTTACAACTTGCAGCAGTGGCTTTGCCTTGTGCCTGCCTTTAAAGAATGTCCTTCCTCATACTCTCCTCCTCTCCAAACCCATTTAGGGGTCATTTTCTGGTCCGTCCCAATCTCCAGTGATCTCCCCCCTAACTGAATTCTTAAAGCACATACTGTTTGTGCTTTAAACTTTGAAGGCCATGAGAAGGTCCTGCTTTGGACTGTAATGTCGTACCGTTAAATACCCACACGTGGTGTCTCTGTAATCGAACAATTGGCTGTTCAGTGGGAGGGGCAGCTTTACCCTCTTTAAAGCCACCTCTCTGCCCCATCATCTCCCAGAGCTCCCGGTTCACTCCACTTTCATACTTTTCAAATGACGATTTAGGAGTTCATTTGGCCTATATTGCAGTAAAATGCCTTCTATTTCAATACACCTATATACATGTGATAAAGTTATAGAAATATATCTTTTTCTACCATGAAAAAAGGTAGTTGCTTAAAAATTGTTAGGGAAAAAATGTTCATGCTGCTGTCTCTTCTCATTAAAAAAGAAGTCACAGTCGAGTTTAATATTCTTTGATTTTATTGTTGATTCTTTGAATTTTTTTCTAACCCCTTTTCTTTAAATAAGATGGAGGCAACTTAAGGGGATTTATTTTTATGCCCCATTGAAGGTTAAACCAATGGTTACTTGGGTAAAGCCAGTTCTTCATAAATAACATCTGCTTGCGTTGGGTGTCTGACCGATGCATTAGATACTTGAGTGGGTGAAATTTCTGAAATGCTGATGTTATAATGACTACAGGAAGATATAACACATTTTACTATGCGATGGATAGAAGGTATGGAGTTTGACCAGGTGTCAAATAGAAATGTAGGTGTTCCATAAGCTCAAAAGTGTGTGAAAACCTTTTATAAGTGGAACAATTTTCATGGCTGAGAAAGTAAAGTACTCATGGAGGGTTCTCTCTGGCCCTGCACCCAGAATTCCCTAATACGCTAAGGAAACCAGGATAATTTAAGGGAAGTGAATGGAGTGGGGGATCCTTATTTCCTGCCTTAACGTCAATATGAGTTTAGGAATATTAACCTTTCCTACAGATACTTTGAATCTCATCAAAAGTGTATAACTGCTGTTGTATCTAAACACCGGGTAGAACTGATTATGTTGCCAGTCTCATTTGTTGGTGACATGGTTGCCATTTAAATTCAGTGTTGCTGGGCTCTGTGGTTCAAAAGTCTTGCTTCCTTTAAGTTTATTGTTTCTCTTCCAGTAAAATGATCAACCTGTCAGTGCCCGACACAATCGATGAAAGAACAATCAACAAGAAGAAACTCACCCCCTTCACCATTCAGGTCTGTCTCCCTCTGTCGCTGGGCTGGCCAGAAAGCTCGTTTGGTTTTTTCCGTTGAATGGCTCTAGTATTGCTTGGTGGTCTTTAACTTCACTGAAAACAATTTTGTTAAACTGGATTGTGACAGTTGTCATATCTGCATTTTTTAAAAACTTATCAAAATGGGTGAATTTTTGAGCAGCCATTTTAATATTGAAAAATGGAAGAAAATATGCCACATTTTGGAGTATTGTGCTTTATTACTTCAAGAAAGGTAAAAAGCACAACTGAATTGCAAACAAAAAAAAAGTGGTGTGTGGAGAAGCTGCTGTGACCGATCAAGCGTGTCAGAAGTGGTTTGCAAAGTTTGTTGTTCCTGTTGACATTTTGGACAAATAATCCTTTGCTGTGGGGCCGTCTCATGCATCGGAAGATGCTGAGCAGCACCCTGGCCTCTACCCACTGGAAGCCAATAGTGGGAGGTAACCGACGTACTCCAAATAGCCAAATCAATACAGTTATTGGTGAAAATGAAAAATGAGTCTTTTACTTTACAGAAAAAACTAAACTGCCTTTTTGGCCAACCCACCACTGACTTTTTACACCCCAGAACTACGGAGTCTGACTTGTTCAGATGCTCAGACGTTATTCCCCTTTGGGCTGGTGACTCATGACCGGTCTCGACAGGTGGGGAGGGAAGGACACGCTCTGTTTACTCTTTTATGAATGTAAGGGGGGGCGGTGGAGGCAGGGGGTGGGCTGCAAGAAGCTGGGGGATCCTTCCTTTGTTTTGGCCACTAATGAATACAAATTCACATTGGTAACATTTTAACTTAAACTTTCCCTAGCAATTTATGTTTGAGCGGATGCCAGATACACAGCATTCTCGCTACAAAGATGCTCCTTTCTAAGAAGTGGGAGGGTGAAAAGCAGGGAGTGCGCGGATAGCCCTCACAGAGCTGTTTGATACAGCCACAGAGAGTTAAATATAACTCGTTTTTATGCCTCAGTGTGGTGGTTAACTGGAATAATAATGAGTAGTTAGTAAGTTGTATTTCTCTGTTAAGGTCCAGTCTTTAAACATTATTGTAATTCTCTCACTCACAAGCTGTGTCTCATTTCTTAAATCACGACCCAATATTTCACCTCCTGTTTGGATTTAAGCAACCCTGCATGCTTTTAAAGTAGGATTGTTGTTAACCAAAGAGAACAGTGCTGATGAAATGTACGCAAAGGCTCTTACTGTTAAATGTACTCAGAATCTTGGCCATAACAAAAACTGGTATTTTTCACTCACCATCTGAGTTACACCCTGGGGCAGAAACACCACTTCTCCTCATAGTTACCCTCCCAATGAATTCACGAGTGGCCGGTGTTTCATTTTGTTAATTTGCCACAAAACCAATTTCTCTACCTCTCTGACTCTGATACATCCCCTAGAATATAGCGTACAGACTCCTGACTGAAAACTTCATTGACCCCATTCCAACTGCATATGAGTTACATTATATACGTTGTTGTTAGTGATGAAAGCATATAATCTGTGCCACACCTGTGCCTGTGCAGATGCACACATGGGGGCGTGTTTGTGGGAGTGTGTGTGCACTCGAGGTCCCTGGGTGTCACGGATACTCAGCCAGTTGTCCTAGTAGGAACCATGCTTTCTTATATACGAATTTGATTTGTATCTTTTTCTTTCCCTTAATGCCCAGTCTGAAAGTGACCTTGACAGTCAACAGCTGTGTCACTCACGACAGTGACAAGGCAATGAGGGTATGTTCTCCCCTCAAAGGCGCCTCCCTAGTGTCTGGCTGATGGAGACATTGCTGGTGCAGGCTCCATCCCGTGGCAAGACGGGAAAATACGTGACTCGTGTGTCTCACCCTGACCGGGCTGGCCCTCAACTCGGGGTCCTGGCTGGGTGGCCTCAGGGCTGCAGAGGCCTGGGGTGTGAACTCCTGGACTGTCTTTTCCAGTCACCACCCACTGCTTTTTCTCGATGTTAAAATCTAGTGAAGACGGTGCCTCTAGACCTTGTGAACTCTCCAGAAGCAACACATTGTCGCCACTGCCAGTTAGTGATCAGCATTCAGCATTTGCAAAGTCACAGACAAAACCCGCATACTTTTTCTCCTTCAGGAGAACTTGAACCTGGCTCTGAACTCGGCCTCTGCCATCGGGTGCCATGTGGTCAACATCGGGGCGGAGGACTTGAAGGAGGGGAAGCCTTACCTGGTTCTGGGACTTCTGTGGCAAGTCATCAAGATCGGGCTGTTTGCTGACATCGAACTCAGCAGAAACGAAGGTACGAGCAAAGCTTCAAATGTTGTTAATGGTGCGGCTTCTTATTACTACGTGTGTTGGGGGCTGTAGCAGGTGAGGTCGGGAACAGAGAAGCTTAGAATCCTCAGTGTTTGAAAATGAGAGTCATGGCGAATTCACTGGAGCAGATTCTATCCACACTGACCAGATTTGTTAAACAATGAAACAAAAGATGTTTAAGACTACAGACTAATAATAACGCATGTTTCCAATTAACTCAGGCTAGCTGTCTGGGACTCCAACCCCAACAGCTTGTCTGGGCTAATTTTGATTTTAGACACTTTATAACAAAATAAGTCTACTTTCAACTTACGTTTTATGAAATGGTTCACGGTCATTTTCAACTTACATTTTATGAAATGAATCACAGCCATACACTGCATTGATAGCAACAGATTAGGAGACACTGGGTCTAGTTCTCACCAAAATGATAGAAAATTGCATTTAGTGCTTCAAAGTTCTCGAACTAAATTTGTAGCCATGAATCTTATTTGATCTGAGCATCCTATGTGCATTTAGACAATTGCAGCCCTGTGCTTCAGACAGAAGTAACACATCTTGACCAGTATCATATAAAATACAATTTTACTTTCTTATTTTGGGGTACAGATCCTACCAATATGAAATCTGAAGCCAAACTCTAATCTTGATATTATATATAAATGTAAAGTATATATATATATATAATTTTATTATACACTTTTAAAGTCCAAATCACAATAACCAGCAGAGAACCCTGGGGTAATATAAAACCAATATATTAAGTGTAATATATGGGAGAAGAAAAAGAACAGAGAACTCAGAATCCACGAGAAAAACTATTGATTTGCAAATAATGACCTCAGCTATATTTAAACCTTCTAACTGAGCAAGAAATATTTATTCACCTGGGAAATATAGAGGAAAGAGTTGATTATACTTTCTGAGCTGCTATAATTATGCAGGTAAGCACTTGAAATCTAAAACACCTATGGGAACAGAATATTGTCATTAACGCAAAATTGATCTCTTAAAAGCAGAAAGGTCGTCCTCTCAGAGTCAGTGTGGCATTCTGAGCCAACAGTCTGGTTTATTTCCTTCCCTCTGCCGCCTTGTTCTTAGGCATAGCCTTGAGACTCATTGGTGCTTTTCTTTCCCGTCTGAAAAATAAGGACAATACATAAGCTCACAGTACCCGACACCTTCTTTTAGGAGGTAGTAGTAACCAAATGTTCGCTCCCTGGGGAAAGCCGTAAGTACCGAGATCCCAGGGAGATGGCGCCGTGATCCTGGGCTTCCCAGCAGGGCACAGCAGAGCCACCGCTGGTCCCCCAGGGACTCCTGTGCTGACTCCCCTCCTGCGTTTGTGCTTCCTCAGCCCTGATTGCCCTTCTGCGGGAAGGGGAGAGTCTGGAGGACTTGATGAAGCTCTCCCCCGAGGAGCTCCTGCTGAGGTGGGCTAATTACCACCTGGAAACCGCAGGCTGTGGCAAAATCACCAACTTCAGTACCGACATCAAGGTAGGAGGGGGGCGGCCGGAACAGGGCGGCCTGCAGCCGTGGAGCGGACGTGGGCCTCTGTTGAGAAATGACAAGGACAGAGGCCCTGCCACCCCAGGCTCTCTGCAGCCAGTTGGGGGGGGCTGGCGCCCTTTGGGAAGGCTTGCTGTTCCCAAGTCCATGGCGGGGCCACGCACAGGTCTCCCAAGTCCTAGCCGCCGCACAGCAGCAATGGGACAGGGGTCTTCCTCGGAGTTTCAGTATCTGGAAGTAGAGGGGTGAGGATGAGGTGGAGGAAGGGCGAGAGATAAGGCGGCTCGTCACATGTGTGCAGGACTGTGAAGCCTCCCTGATTTTGTGAATGAGACTGTCAGGTCAAGATTCCTCTGAAAAATTAGGTAACCCCTGGCCAGCAGCTCAGTTGATTGGAGCAGTGTCCCACACACCGAAATGTTTTTGGTTCAATTCCTGGTCAGGGCACATTCCTGAGTTGCAGGTTTGATCCCCAGTCAGGGCCCATGAGGGAGGCAACCGGTAGCTCTCTCTCTCTGGCTCCCTTCCTCTCCTTCTAAAATCAATAATAATTTTTTTAAAAACATATCCTCACGTGAAGGTTTAAAGCAGTAATGATAATGAAATAAAGTAAAGGAGGACTCCTCCAATTACATTGACACCAGCACACACAGTGTGAACTGCGTGCCGGGCACAGTTCTCGCTGCTTCACGCATGTACCGACTCACCAGTCCTCACGACAGGCCTCTGGGGGAAGGATGATTATGTTCCCATTTCACAGATCAGGAGACAGAGGCAAAGTGAGCTTAAGCTCACGTAGCTGGGGAGAGGGTCAGGGTTTACGTCCAGCCGTTGGCCTCCACGGCTCACGTCCCCGACTGCCACACTCAGCTGCCTCTCTAAAAAAAGACAAGTCGGGAACTTCTTGAAAGGCTTTCTTGCACAAGGCCCAGAGTGATGTTTAAAAGAGAACGGCCCTGGAAACCGTCTGCAGTGAGAAGTTACCCAGAAGGTGTGGAAGACACGATCAGTCCGACTATACGGACAGGCAGACAGGGTGCCCTGTGGCTTTCCATTTTGTGAAAAGGTCCAAGTCAAGGTGAAGGGGAATAGCTGCTGACGCAGATGACGGACGGACCAGGGCAGACAGAGCGTGGGGAGCCGAAAGGAATGGCAGGAGGCTGTCCCAAGGGACCCATGGTGTGAGATGCTGGGTGCAGCAGGCAAAAACCATTCCAGCCTTCACTTTCTCAAAACTTAAAGCAATGTCCTCCAAATGCAGTCAAAGGGAAGGGCACACTGCTCACCAGGAGTCACCCCAGGCTTCAATTCCTGAGGGACAGCTCCCTCCTGCTGTGAGATCCTGGTTTTTAGAACTGGGAGCCTGTCGGGCACGGTACCTGTTAAGCTTTGAGGACGTAAAGTCCCCTGTTCCTTAGGACCTAAGCCAATAATGTCAAATTCTTTTTTTTTTACTACGCCTCTTTTCGTGGATTATTAACAGTCCCACCAACACAACTGAGATTTAGCCAAAATGGGATTTGACCCTCACCAACCAAATGGGGTTGAGCCAAACTAGGACTCTGGCCCTACCAACCAGACTGGGGTTGAACATCAGCTAGAAAGCATCATTTTCCTTTGTGCTCAGCAGTTATGCTCTGCAATTGTTTCAGCCAGAATTTTGCAGCTTTTCAGCCAGAATTAGGCTGTGTGATCTAAGCCACAAATTCATACATTTACCTGACTGCCTGTCGCTGAGAGGCTGTGCTCTCCGAACAATAACTGCTTTGGACTTGGGAGATGTCAGTGTGAGGGACGAACTGGCCAAGCCAGCCCTCACTTAGCGGATGTGCCTGTTCTCAGGGAGCAGCCGTGTTCCAGCCAAGGTCTGCGCTGTGACATGGGTCCGAGCCACAGGCCACTCTGAGATGCCAGGAAATCACACCAAGTCCGCAAAGGCGGGGAGAAGGTCCCCACTGGCGTGAGTGAGAAAGGTTTCTTAGGGTCAGAGGAAATGAGGTGACACTTAGCAAGGCCAAACAGAAGTGACACCGGCCAGGGCCTAACACCTGCACAGAACTTTCACCAGCTCAGAACGGCTGCAGTGAAAACGAAGAGCAGGGGGCGGGGAGGGGGAGCAGGAAGGAAAGAGATGCCGCTCGGCTCCCCCAGGAGCCACATCAAGGGCTGGCAGGTTCTTGTCCTTGTTCCTGATGCCACAGGTGGAGAGCAGGCCCCCGCTCTCCCCGACCTGATTTGAAAACACAGAAAAATAGAACATTACAACAGCTCATTTTTCAGCCTTTAAGAGACATGAAAATCGCCTTCAATAGTTTAAAGAAATTACCAGAACATCTGCATCTTTTCATTGAATGAGAATACATTTACCATTTTAAGGCTCCAATTCTGAGAATCTTTTGGTCAATAAGCATATTTCCAGAATCTAAGACAACGTAGGAATTCAATATCTATATACAATCTGCTTCTAGTTTCTAGATAAACATTAAATTAATTTGTCATCTTAATAACTCTCCTTTTATATAAAGGCTGCTTGTTTCAAATACTTTTGTTTTGCTGATTATTTAAATGTATTTTTAACGCTGCTTTAAACTTCTGCCTCCTTTTTCTGTCACTGTTTAAAAATTCAACTTCAGCTGACTCTGCAACAATACAAGGGTATATGTATTTTCCCATGTACGATGTAACACATGCTAATAAATTATTTCCCCCTAAGAACAAAAGAATAGTATTTGCATCTTTGGAGTGCCCTTTCAATTGTTATACTCATTGTAAAAAGCAAGGCAGATGCATGTAAACAGACAAATAGAAAATTCAAATCAGTAAGCGTTTCCAGCTTCGTTTATTAAGTTGCATTCTTGAATGGCAGTCAAATAAGAAATGAAAAATATTTGCTCCAGGGAAGTTACTGTGCTAACTCTGTAACTTGACATTGAAATTGTTTCATTTCTCACAGGACTCAAAAGCCTATTACCACCTGCTGGGACAGGTGGCCCCAAAAGGAGACGAAGAGGGCATCCCCGCCGTCGTCATCGACATGTCGGGACTCAGGGTGAGGCCAAGTTCTGAGCCCGGTGTGCAGGGCGCGGTGCCGCCTGGGCATCGGTGGCTCCATCGGCCCATGCGGCCCTGACTTGGGCATTCTGTGGTTGGCCTCTCGGCTCACAGCTCTGTTAAAACTGCAAAAGACTGTTCCCAGCTTTGGTTAATAATCGTGGGGAGTTTCACCTGGAGATAACACCAGTCACATGCCATGCACCATGTGAGGCCATTCTGTGTGTTTTGCCTCATTTAATAGGCTCTATGGCATCAGGAAATATTATTATTTCCATGTTAGGATGCGTGAGTTATTTCTGGAAACAGATGGGATATTCATACAAATAAATAAATTCTCGCTTTAGTAATGGAAAAACTGAGACTGAGGGTTAGTTAATATGTCCAAGATGATATGTCAGATTATTGGAAGTCATTTGATCCAAGTCTGGGGCTCTCTTCCCCTAGTAATAGTTCAGTCTACTCAGCTGAACTATTCAATAGTTGGATAGCCAACCTTTCATCTGAAATGGTCTGTCCAGAGATGAGAGGATTCGATCACTTAACTTCTGAGATTCCTTTTACTTGTGACTGATTTTGGTTCAGGAGAATATGAGTAATAATATGCTTACTTGAGGTTCAGCACTATGGGTTTTGGTAAGATACCCATTTCTTCTTCTGTCATCCATGTCTGTTTTGTGCCTGGAGAGCCTTGACCCGGCCTTGACCCAGCTTTGGCCCAGCCTTGACCCAGCCTTGACCCGGCCTTTTTCTCTGCAGGAGAAGGATGACCTCCAGAGAGCAGAGTGCATGCTGCAGCAGGCAGAGAGGCTAGGCTGCCGGCAGTTTGTCACAGCCACAGATGTCGTCCGAGGGAACCCCAAGTTGAACTTGGCCTTCATTGCCAACCTCTTTAACAGATATCCTGCCCTGCACAAACCGGAGAACCAGGACATAGACTGGGGAGCTCTTGAAGGTGCGTGGAAACCAGTTGATGAAGAGTTTAGAAACACATAATTCTAGGCAACGACAATTCCTCCTAAGCAAACGTAAACCCTTCACATGCCAGGGAAACTTTGCAAAAAGGTCATTACTTCTCATCCTTAACAGAGAGAGTAAAATAGATTAATCAAGTCGATTAGAGCCAAGCCAGAATGATCAAATATTATTCTATCACATCCATAATACATAGGCTTGATCCATTACCAGAACTGTTTGAGGAAAGACATGAACTTGATTATCAGATGAAATAAATCCTAACTTCCAAAATTCTAACGTATACACTTAATGGACTGAGTGTTAAGTCCTAGAGGCAAGAAATTGCAGCCACTCATCATCTTATGATAATATTTGTTCTAGAAGGTGCTTAGTGGGTCTTTTTGGTTTGGTTTGGTTTCTTTGATGTGGGTTGTGGGGGGCACACAACCATGTTTTCAGGCAGAATCCTCGACAGTTGTATTTTGGGAGTCAATGCCCTGAGATTGAGCAAAAAGCTTATAGCTTTAGTCGATTTCTAACAGGTAAAACTGTCAGAGATGCTTATTTTTTCCCCCATCATGAATTAGCCTCAATATGGAGGCAGGGAAATCAAAACAAGATTAATATTAAATGACTATCACCAAAGAAAGCAAGTCCAGATTTAAAGTGTTAATGGATCCTCTTTCTGCAATGCGTTGGCCTGGCTGGAAATGCAAACCGAGTTCAGATCCCAGCACTACTGCATTTGTGTTGTGTGACAAATCATGGTCAGGGGTCCATGCACATGTGACAAGCCCTCTGACCCCCCATTTCCATCCGCCTCTGGCACACCCCCCTGTGGGTCCTCCCCTGTCACCCAAAGTTCAGCATATACAGAGCAGAAAGGATCTCGTGTTCCCCCCGGCTGCCTTTCTGCTCTACCCCCTGCCACCCTCTCTTCTCTAGAAAGCCTCCATTTGCATTCCTCACACCACTTTTTTCTGCAGTCACCAAAACCCTGGGTTCCACTTTGATGCCTTCCTCTTCCTCACCCCTAAATGCCATGAAGCAGCAGATATGAGTAATTCTTCCCATGGAATCGCTTTTTGGTCGTTAGTTTTTGTTTCTGCTCTTCTGGACTCATTAACTCACCCACCAACCACATCAACCGGTCTCAGGGGCCTGTTCCTCCATTCGTCACGCACTGTGTCCTCCATGGGTTTCATTCAAATGTGTGCTGCCTTCCAGAAGCTCCGCACACCTCTGCCAGGCCCATTGCCATGCTGCTCCCATTGTACCTCTGCCTTGCACTAGCATTTATTACAGTTACATTAAAAAAACCCATAGTGCCCTGGCTGGTGTAGCTCAGTGGAATGAGCATGGGCTGTGAACCAAAGGGTCGCCAGTTCGATTCCCAGTCAGAGCACATGCCTGGGTTGCAGGCCAGTTCCCCAGTGGGGACCATGCGAAAGGCAACCACACATTGATGTTTCTCTCTCTCTCTTTCTCCCTCCCTTCCCTTCTAGATGATAGATAGATAGATAGATAGATAGATAGATAGATAGATAGATAGATAAAATCGTAAAAAAAAACCATAGCGACTGACGTCTAATGTCTCACCCCAGATCTCTGCTCCCACTCAGAGAGCCCTCCTTCTGGTTCCAGCCGCTGGACAGACAGGCTTATCTCCATGCACTGAGCAGCGCAGGTTCCTCCCAAATTCGTTCCCGATGGTTTTAATGAGACCTTGCTTACTGGTCTCTTTGCATTCCTATTTACTCTGTCTCCTACTCCCACCCCTTACTGCACCCCAAGTCTCTCCCCTTTCCCCTTCACTATCCAGATTCTACTAGTCCTAGAAGGTGAAGCTCAAATTCCTCTCCCTCCAAATTTAGCCCACACTAGTATTCTCTCCCCTGTCTCCCAACTCGAAAAGCAAATGTGTCCACGTCATCCATCAGGCCTCTCTCTTGCATGCCCTCTCCGTTTCATGCCTCAAGGTCATGCTTTTCCAGGAAGAACAGAGGCCTTGGAGGGCCGGTTCTGAAGTTTCCCCACACAGGATCTTACACACGATGCCACAGACATACCTGGTAAATTGAAATGGAAAAATTAACCCAGAAGAGCAACCCTCATCTGTATCCATTAGGGTCTATTCCATTAATTTTTTAAATTCGACTTCAGTCTCTGTTACAGCCTCTCTAGTGAGGCTTTCATAAGGCGTATTTCCCCGGAGGCCTGATGGGTAACCAGTCTGCATTCATTCAGGTGAGACGAGAGAGGAGCGGACATTCAGGAACTGGATGAACTCCTTGGGCGTTAACCCTCGCGTCAATCACCTGTACAGGTAAGACTATTCAGGGACTCATTCTTCATGCAAGACACCGAGACCATGAAAGGCCCCTGAAATTTCAGGTACCGCTATGGTGTACGGTTCTTTCCACAAAATGTGTGCACCTGGGGGAGAAGCAGGGAAAGTGCCACAGTGGCCCACAGGTGTCGGATGTTCAGAAGGAGAGAAACTCACTTGCATGCGCCAGCATTGTGTGTGTTTGATATATGACCACACCCCAGTGGAAGGACCGATGTCCTGCGTGTTGCTGGCCCAGCATCTGCTCACGCGCAGGTGAAACAATCAATGTTACACGTGCGATCGTCCCCTATGCCATTTGTCAGAGCCAGTTCCCCCACTGGAGGCAACATGCTGTAGCTGAAGGGACACGGGGACCTCCTGGGGAAGCCTCGAGGAGGCGCCCTCAACACCCGAGTCGGCCTCTTCACCTCGAAAGACAGAGCGGCTGACACCAACTTCACCACACCGGCAATGTCCCTTGCGCTAATATACAAGGGAGCGCCTGGCTCACCTGGGCCCTTCTGGAAGGTTTGCTGCTTGAGAGTTCTTCTGTGCTTGTCTTTCATCCAGTGACTTGTCGGACGCCCTGGTCATCTTCCAGCTGTACGAGAAGATTAAAGTCCCTGTGGACTGGAACAGAGTAAACAAACCGCCGTACCCAAAGCTGGGGGGCAATATGAAGAAGGTACGCAGAGCTGGTCCTGCAGCACAGGCCTGCAAGAGCACCCAGTGGGTGCTTTACCAGGAGGCCAGACTTGGATCAGGGGCGTTTGTTTATCTAGGGCTTAAGTTAGAGTAGAGCAGTCAGGAGCCTAAATAGTTTCACTGAAGCGATTCCATTATTTCTGTTGATTATTTATCATTCTGGTGGGATGTCTCTAAACATCATGATGTAAAAGTTCTAATTAAGAACATTAGAGGAGGGCCCGGTTTCTCTCCCCCCGCCCCACCCTGTTAAGATGCTCATTCTGATTTCCCGAAGATCGGAGCTCTGTGCTGACAGGTGGACTTGGACAGACAGTGTGTTCAACGTCAACACAGTGGGAACACGTGGGTGGGAGCAGCATTTCCCACCGTGTCTCATCTCTGTGACTCCTCACGATCCAAGCGTAGCCACAGGAACACGTCCTGCGTGTCAGACCAGGTGTGCACGCAGGACAGAGAATCCAGGCTTCCCATGCCGATCGTTATGAATTCAGCTATTGTAGGGATGTCATGGACAGGTGACTGGGCGTGGCTCCACCTTCCAGTCATGCGATACGGCCACAAAGATGTCCATAATCCTAGAATTGCAGAACCAGACGAAGCTTCAAAGATCATTTATTCTGACCATGTTTATTTCTTATTGCGTCTTTATGATCTTATTTTATCTGATAATTATCACCATAGAGATGATGACATTCGGTTGTTGTCCTTTCTCCTCATTAACAGCTTGAGAATTGTAACTACGCCGTGGAATTGGGGAAGAATCAAGCTAAGTTCTCCCTGGTTGGCATCGCTGGGCAGGATCTCAACGAAGGCAACCGCACGCTGACATTGGCCTTGATTTGGCAGCTGATGCGAAGGTAGAGGCTTTTTATCGAGTGTATTATCAACCTAGGGAAGTACCACAAAGCGTTGAGGGATGTAATTTAATCTAGGAAAACGATATTTTTAGCTACACTTAAAACCAAGAGAGTCTTTTTAAAAATGTTTCTGTTATTTTTTTTCCCTTCCAGTTCTGTCCATTCTGTTTTAGGTTTTGGAAACTCTTTTTATTAGGATCCTAAATATTTCAGACTGTGTGGTCCTCTTAACTGAGCCCCCTGCTCACTGGGGAGGGACGCTCTTCGTGTCTGCTAAGACGCGTTCTCTGAAATCTACTTTTTGTGACGTCGATGTAGTCACGCTGGCTTCCTGCTGATCAGTGTCCACGTGGCTGGCAGATCATCCCATCCTTTTAACTTGACTTGCGTTAATAACAGTCTGTTATCTTTAAAAGGGATTATCAAAATAACGGGGAAATACGCCGCACTGACCTACACATTTTCCACTTCTGGAACTTTTCTTTCCGTGGCATAGGTCCAGACTTTTGCTTGGTATCATTCACCTCCCACTTGAAATATTTCTAATAGCGCGGAGGAATAATTCCAGTGTCCACGTGGCTGAAAAAGCCTGCATTCCATTTTTATTTTTGAAAGAGACGTTCTCTGCGTATGGAGTTCCAGGTTAATAGTTTTTCTCAAAGGTGATGTCTGCCATCTCGTGGCCAATATCCAGGGACAAATCTGTTGTCATTTTTATCTTTCTTCCTCTCTATGTAAAATATCTTTTTTGTTAGGTTTTTTATTTGAAAGACTTTATCAGTGGTTTTGAGCAATTTGGTTACAATGTCCTTTGGCGTTTCTCATCCTTGGAATTTGTCATGAATCTGTGGGTTCGTAGTTTTCACCAATCTTGGAACAACTTTGGCCTTTATTTTGTTAAATTTGTCTCCTGCCCTTCGCCGCCCCTGTTTCGGGGGAAACAGCAGGTGCACGGAGACTTGCTCATCTGAAGCCGCCCCAGAGTTCACTGAAGCTGTGTTCATTTTTCTCCTCTGCTTCAGATTTTTCTATGTTGCACACGGGGCGATTTCCACCGCGTGGTATTCAAATTCGCTACTCTCTTCTGTGACGTCTAGTCCTCTGCTGACCTCCTTCGGTGCGCATGCTTGCCCCAGACATTATAGTTTCCATGTATAAAAATTCTTTGTGGCTTTTCCTCTCCCCTCTTGAACAAACAGACTATAATTACAATAACTGTTATTTCTAGATCTGTTTCTATTCACTGAGTTTTATCCGCATTCATCATATTTTCCTGCTTCTTGTCATGCCTCCTGTTTTTTTTATTATATGGGAGACATTATGAGTTTTACCTTGATGTGTGCCGGCTATTTCTGTTGTCCTTTAAATATTCTTGCATTTAATCCCAGATACACATGGTTACTTCAGTGCAGGTGGTCCTTTTGAGGGCCACTTAAAGGCTTAATCAGCCTTGAGGCAATTTTGAATCTCAATACTGAGATCATCTGGATCAGTACCTGATGCCCCATGTACCTCCCTCTTCTACTGATGGGAACCAGGTTGCTTCTAGGTCAGTGTGAGCTCCGAGATCTGTTGTGCCCGGTCGCCTCTGGCAGTCCCTTCCCCAGCCCCTGGCAGTTCCCTCACCCGCGGGCCCTGAGTCGTTCCCAGCTAAGGACAGAGGCAAACCCTCCGAAGGTCCCTGAAGCTCTCACTGTGGCTCGGCTCTGCCGGCTGCTTCCTGGCCCCCCATATTCTATCCCACAAATTCTAGGCAGCTGGGCTTCCTCATTCTCAACCCTGCCCCGAAGCTCAGGGGCACTGTCCTGCTCTGCTTGGTTCCCCGTCCCTGCACCTCGGGCTGGACACGCTTTGTGCAGTCAGCCCGGACAGTCCTGGGGGTCCTGCATTTGTTTCCCATCTTTCAGGGACCACCATTCTGCGCCTTCAGTTATCCAACATCCGAATGACATTGTTGCACGTGTTTTCCATTCCGGTTTAGGTGCTGAAGGCAGAAGGGTAAACCAGGCCCCTCCACCCCCTCAGGGCTCAAAGCAGAATTCTCTGCTGTGGCTTCACAAGAAAAATTTAGCTTTCAGAGCTGGCCATAAGCCGAACTGGTGTAAGCACAGGGTGGTGAGCTCATTACACAGGAGTGGTATACAGTAAGATCTACAAATAGAACATAAACTGTAAGATAAATAAGCGATTTGGGGTACCAGAGTATTTTTAGAAGACTTTTAGGAAGTAAATCTCTAAGTATAGAACAGTGTGCTTTTTAAAGGCTTTGCTTTTCCCCATACGCTGGTAGCTCTGACCGGGCAGAAGTCTCAGCAACGCAGTTAGAACCTGTTAGTGTGACTCAGTTCCTGCTTCTGCCTGGGAGGAGGCTCCAGAAGCCCCGTGTCACACGATCTTGTCCCTGACAAGGGGAGGGTGGGTGTGCGCTGTCCCCCAGGCACAGGAGTCTTCCTCCCAGGCCACCGTCTGCAGAGTCTGACACTCCTGTGGTCTGCACAGGAAGAGGTCCACGTGTCCGGTGCTGTAGGGTAATCAGGAGTGAGCGCAATAGATTCCACAAGCTGATTCACCAAGCACAGTTCTCCATTGTCCATTTCTGACCTGGGCCCTTGAAGGTCGAGGCAGGGGACATAAAACCTGGCACAGGAAGTGCCAAAGCCAGAGAGGCCTCAGCTCTGCCTTCAATTTCACTGCCTGTACCTAGAACATCACTGTATGTTCCGGAGGTCCGTTCTCCCCGGTGTGTTTTCAGAAGCTGTTTTTGAATTGTTCCCAATTGTCGTTCACGTGTGTTTTTGTTTCTTAGCAGACTGGGTTTGAGACTGACTACTTTCAAAGCCAGAGCAAAAATCTTTTTAGTTGCAAAAGTGAAATTGACCTTATGCGTTTGAATATAAAATAATCTTGGGTTTAATTTTCTGTTTGGATCATTAAAAAACTCAGTCCAATTCGATTCTATTTTGGAATTTCATAATACCTGAAAGTCATGTTGTAATATGGTCTTCACTGTGGAACTTTCATAAAAGGGTGATCCAAAGTCATACTTTCTGGCTGGTTTGTATTTGACAAGGTCTGCTGTAGCCACCTGGCTAATAAGTTCTATTTCTCAGGAGTGTTTACTATACAAGAATGTGCGCGTGTAAGAAAGTAGAGACAGCCCTACGTTACTGCCGAAGGCAGGGGCGTGACTGATGATTATGTAAATGCCACCAGAAGGCATCTTTTCTCTGTGTGCCCTACAGTGACAGACCAATTAGAATTACAGACGGTTCTAGTGGGAATTGATGTCACTGGATTGCAGAGATGTGCTAATTCGGCCATTTCTCTGGGCCATCCGTGGCATGTCACTTTTTTTCTCCCTAAGAGTAACTGAGATGCATGTTTCAGCCTTTCCCGTCAGTAGCCTGGAAATAGTTCTCAGGTTGGAAAGCTGGCAAATAGTGTGTGTATATATTTGGGGACAAAAGCTGGAAACCAGCAGGGTACCGCAGACAGCAGTGTCAGACTCCAGCCAATGAGGGGACTGTCCCCAAATCAAACAGGCTGCGACCATGAACTTGGGATAGATCCTCAAAAAACAAAACACCACGGTGTGTCCTTCTGGTCCAAATGTTAAATAAATAAAACAAGTGTCCGAGGGCAGGAAAGCAAACCCCGAGTGCCGGCAGATCCCCGAGGACACACACACACACACCTGTGTACTTAGAAGCAGGTACCTGCTTCCGTTTCAAACCCCTGCATCTCCCCTGAGGCGGCAGGAAGCCAGCCTGTGCTCGCCAAGCTCGGTGTCCCCCCAGGGGCTGTTCGGACCCCTGCACGCACTCACTGAGCTGCCCCCACAACTCTCTGCACCTTTTCAAACCTCCCTGTTCCGTAGTGGCTTTTTAGACATTTTATGTCCACGGTGGACTTCTGTATAAAGGTGAGCTCCTCCTTGTGCCATTTCCTTCCTGGCTTTGGAAGTAGGTGGAAGTCCTGCTTCTGTGCAGCTGAGAGCACCGGGGACACAGGCCGGGGCCACAGGCCGGGGCTCTGGACCAGGAGCAGGGAAAGTTCAGGCCTGTGAGGAGCAAAGCTTCTGGGAAAGTGAGCTGTGTTTTCATCGGTTCCGTGTAGACGGGACCCGAGGGAGTGAGAGCACTAACCCACCTTCCCTAGTGTGTCCGCTTAGGCAGAGATGCGCAAATGGGCCATCGATGCTGCGAACTTCGAACACATGCTAATTACTAAGAAACAGGAAGCCAGTGACGCCATAAAACATCGCCACTACGAACAGATCAAAACTGAGGATATTTTGAAAATTGGCCTGGGATGTACCCCATTCGACCTCATTGGTCCTTAGCAGTTTGGTCCCATGTCTGGGTCCCCGTTAAGCATGACTCAACTTTCTCCTTGTGCCGTTTGAGAGAATTCATTGTTTATTTCCTCCACCACATCACTCCTCCATTTACCAGTTGCCCAGTGCGTGCATAGTAGGTGCTCTGCCAACCCCTGGCAACGCCACGGATAACAGGGTTACAGATTTGGTAGGACGTGCAGATAGGCTGACGGACACACGCACACCAGCTCCCGTAGAAGTCTGGGCAACAGAACAGGTAGAAGAAGCGTTACAGTAATGATGAGGATGCTGGGTGGGGCAGAAAATGCTGCTGCCCGGGAACTGTTCAAACGATGAGCAATCCTCTGCCAGAGCACAGAGCTGAGCCACGGAGGCAGGAGGGTGCGGGGTGCAGCGGGGGGTCGGGCAGGGGGTGGCTAGGGGAGCTGCTGGTGCTTCTGAGAGAAGGAAACCGACCAGGGTGTGTGTGTTCCCCCGGAGGCCTGGCGGCAAGGCTTGCAAGAGAGGAGGGAATAAGAAATCAGAGATGCGCCGAACAGAGACACTAGGGCTGAGTGAGGAAGGGCCTCACCTGCCATTGACCTGTAATATTTGGGCCAGGGAGGGTCACTCTCAGTGACCAGAGCTGTACTTTCGGAAGACACACACACACACACACACACACACACACACACACACAGTTGTAGGAGCCTATTCCTCCCCACCCACAATGATGGCAGGTGATGCTCTAACCTGGCAGAAGCGGGGCACCCCCCCTTTCGGAGATTTGACTTGAAACCCCTGCAGGAAATCAGGGAGAGCTGTGTTTTCCCTGGAAGCAGTGGCTGGAAGAGGACAGCGGACTGATTAAGTGTGTGGGCAGCCACCTGGAGGGTGACCTCCTTTCGGTCACCCTCCCTCCAGACGGGGCTCAGGGGCTGGATACCTGAGCTTCAGAGGGAGCAGTGCACCTGGAACCTTAGCCCTGAGAGCCCGTCCGGGGTAATTGGACCCCTCCGGCCAGCCTGGACCTCGAGGCCAGCAAGCCTGCTGCACTGCCCGCCTTCTCTGGAACCTTCCGCCCGTTCCCCCAGCTCCCCCTGGTGGAGGGAGTCGCCTGAGGGACCGGGGAGGAGATTTTAAGATCTTGATGCTTCTTTATAAGTCTCCCAAACAAACCCAGTTCTCATAACCGTATCAAAGGTGATTCTAACTCTCAGACTGGAGAGTGACTTTGCTTTCTGTTTTAAAGTGACCTTCATGCTGAGGTATTCCTGGTATTTCTATTTCAATAGAAGAAAAAATCTCTCTCTCCCCCACTTTCTGTAGATAGATAGATAGCAAGCATCTGGCAGAAGGAATGCCCGTTTGAGTGTGGTGGGTAGGATAATAATATGGGTGCAATAATTTATACTTTTCATTTGAACATGTCACGTAAAACATCATATGGTTACATTACAGAATTACGGTGCTGATGATTTTGTGATCAAAGCAAGGGGCATTATTTGTGCCCAGCTCTGTAATATGTTGGCTACTTGGGTTTTTCTAATGTGGAATTGCTCCTTTTTCTTAATGGTTCCTTTAAGTTGCTGGTTCCTTCCCTTGCTTCCCATTTGCCTCCGCCTCCTGCCCAGGGCAATGGCGGTGCTTACGAGGAGGTCTTTGCCCTGAATCGCACTTTAACAACCATACAGCGACAGTCCACACTCTCCTACAAGGAACTGATGTGTATAAATATATGTATTTTTCTCCCTCCCCGCCCCCACAACATAATGGCATCCAAGCTATCCTTCTTTTGTGGTTCACCTAGAAGGAAAAGAGTGTGTTCTACCCTGGCTGCTTTCTGTAAATATTGAATTATTTAGCAACTTTTCTCCAGAAATCATTCTTGGTTTTGTTCAGGTACACGCTGAACATTCTGGAAGAAATCGGAGGTGGGCAGAAGGTGAACGATGACATCATCGTCAACTGGGTCAATGACACACTGAGGGAAGCTGGGAAGGGTTCGTCCATCTCCAGCTTCAAGGTAAAGCCCCGCCCACTGCTCCGGGCCACCTGAGCCCTGTGCTTGTCTGTGCTCTCGGGACTCTGGAAGGAGAAGGGACAGAGCTGGTGTGGCCGTCAAAATGTGTACAAACGCCAAAGAAAGGGCCCAGGGTTTTGTTCCTCTGTTCAAATCCCAGCTCCACCACTCATCAGCCAGTCACTTAACCTCAGAAACTCCCTTTACTCACCGTGAATTAAATTTAGATGCCGACACCTGTGCTTCGAAGTGAGCTAACTTATTTAAAAAAGGGAAGGGATTATGCAAGCCCCCCCCAACAAAAATATTCATAGACAGGGAGCACAGTGTGTTGATGACCAGAGGGAAGGGGGTGTGGGGGGCAGAGGAGGGTGAGGCGGGGGAAGTGGTGAGGGAAGGAGACGCGACTTGGGGCGGTGAACACACAGTGCAGTGTAGCATGACGGTTCCAGGATGGCGCACCTGAAACCTACGTAATCTTATTAACCAAAGTCACCCCAACACACTCAATAAAAAAGGAGAGAAAAGAATTACTGTGAGAAGAAAACACCCTACAGTTGTAAAGAAAAAAGTGCCAAGCAAACTGTGAGATGCCACCAAGTGGTAGTTACTGTCATTACTGCCAATGCCGTGTCCCTGGACCTGTGGACTCTTTTTGTTCCTTGAGGTCCCCAAAAAGTGACCCTCGACCAAAACCCCTGTCCCACCGAATCCTTATCACTACCCCTCCCGTCACCCCTGGGGCATCCCCCCAAACGGAGCAGGGTTTCTTCTGGCATCTTTGGTCTCCCTTTTCCGATGGTTTCTTATCAGATCATCCCTTCCTCTGCTCACACCAGCGGTTTCAGCCTCTCTGCTTTTCTCTCCACATGCTTTCCTGGTTCTCTCACTGTTTGAGATCACCCCCTGCCCCGTGCCTGTCTGTTGATTTAGGGAGCTCCTCTGCAGAAACCACAAGTGATTTGGAAAGTGCATAGATACAGCTGGTGTGCAACTGTGTTGCACGTCCCAGACCCAGCTGTATCTATTTCCTAGATAAGAGGAAGAACCACTGCCGCCACCTCCCCTCCCCCACCCCCGGCCCCCAGAGTGAAGCAGAGGTAACGTGGGGCCATACTGATAGAACCCACCCTTCTCTATGTGCAGGACCCGAAGATCAGCACCAGCTTGCCTGTTCTGGATCTCATCGATGCCATTCAACCAGGTTCCATTAACTACGACCTTCTGAAGACGGAGAACCTGAACGATGAAGAGAAACTCAACAATGCAAAGTACGTACACAAACCTGAGGTCGAAGGTGGGGGTGGGGAAAGATCCCACCGGCACCTGGATGCCTATGAAATGTATCGCTTGTGCTCTTGTACGAAAGCATCTGTAGTTTTGCTACAGATGCTTTTCTTTGTCTTGACTCGCTGTGTGTGGCCCATCACCGCTGTTTTAGACACTGTGCAGTGGTCGTTTAAGTCTCCTGGCGTTAGAGGGAGCAAGACAAAGAGCAAGTGTGTTCTTCCGGTTGATAAGCAAGCCTGTATTTTCATAAAACCAACGATCTAATCGTGATCTGTAGGAGACCTCCCAAATAAGGTCTGTGCATGGCAGGCCCGAATATCAACAGCTTCTTTATGCATATTCATGAATCTGAATGAGCAGGGCAGGAGTTTAAGTTCAGAGTCTTCACCAGCTTGGCAGCAGCTGCCCTTGGCTTTCCCGTGTACAGGGAGGGTCAGCAGACGGCTATAGTCTGTGCGCCAGAGTTGGCCTGTTGCCTCCTGTTATAAACAAAGTTTTATTGAAGCACAGCCTTACATATATATGTACACGCACACACACATACAGCTGCTTTTTGGCTGCAACAGCAGTGTGGGTAGCGTGGCAAAGCCCGCAGAGACTGAAATGTTTGCTCTCTGGTCCTTTGTGGGAAGCGTGCTGGCCTCTACTCTGGAGAGGTCGTGTCCTCTCCTGGGGCTGCCGGAACAAAGTCACCCAAACGGGGTGGCGTCACAGAAATTTGTTCTCGCACAGCGTGGAGGGTACAAGTCCAAGATCAAGGCATCGGCGGTGCTGGTCCCTTCTGAGGGCTGCGAGGGAGAATCCTCCCCATTCCTGCCTCCTGCCTCCTGGCCCCGGCCGGCAGCCCTCGGCTCCGAGTCCTCCGATGTCCGCACCCCCCCCCCACACACACGTCCTTCTTCCCTGCAAGTCCGTGGCCGCACATGCGGTCTTCCCTCCGGGCGTGTGTCTGTGTCTCTTCCCCTTTTCTTGTCAGGACTCCAGGCGTATGACCTCATCTTAACCAGTTACATCTTCAACAGTCTTATTACCAAATGCAGTCAGAATCTGAGGTACTAGGGGATATTAGGGGAGAGGGATTTTACATTTTTGTAAAGATTTTATTTATTTATTTTTAGAGATAGGGGAAGGGAAGGAGAAAGAGAGGGAGAGAAACATCAGTGTGTGGTTGCCTCTTGTGCACCCCCTCCTGGGGACCTGGTCCACAACCCAGGCATGGGCCCTGGCGGGGAATCGAACTGGCCACCCTTTGGTTTGCAGACCTGTGCTCAGTCCACTGAGCCACACCAGCCGGGGCCATATCTTCTTTTTTAAGGAACACAATTCAACCCATAACACAGGTCCAGAGTTAACAAGTGAGTAGTGCCCCTCAGCTTCTCTGTGTTGAAACACCCCAACAGTGCCCTTCTCTCTGCTCTCAATTTGGGAAAGTGGGACCCTGTGTTCCTGGTCTGCTGATGCTGCAGCACAGTCTAATGGGGACAAGATAAGTAATTCAAAGGCAATTACAGTCCATTGTGAAGGGGGGGGCAGAGAAGGCAGAGTGCAGGGCGCTGTGAAGGAGACAGGAAAGAGCTCTGCAGACCCAAAGCTCTGAAAACCAAATGACATCCCAGCTGCGACAGACCGAAGGGACAAGTAGGAAGGAGGTAGGCAGGTGAAGGAGGTAAGAGCACCCCACACAGAGGGAAGAACCGGTCTGAAGATGCACAAAAATTTCTAAATGACCTTGAAAAGAGCTTGAGTCTATAGGTTCGAGAGGGATACGATTAGGTTTAAGGAACTTCCCCAGGTCTTACAATTACTCAGTGGTTTTGCTAAGATTCAGGGTCCGACATCGGGGTCTGGAATCCTAAGCACTATCCTGTAAGGGCAACATACGAAATTACCTTAAAAACGGGTGAAAGGAATTACCCAAAAATCTTACAAATGCTTATGGTAGCCAGATGATGCATGATTTTTGAAGCTCTATTTTTTAATTTTTAATAATTTTTTCCTTTCTATTTTATAATAGAAAGTACATTTTATTTCATTAATAATTAACACACAGAAAGTGACGGAGAGATGGGCAAGAAGAAAGAACAGGGGCCGCTTGAGCCCGATAACTGAATTTGATCCATGAAGTAAGCGTGGAGTTTCGTTGGGGGAGCGGGGGAGGCTGGGGCCTTGGGTGCAGTGGAGACACTCTGGAGTCGTCCTTCTAAGAAGGTCCCAGACAGCAAGCAACATCAACGAAAGAACTGACAGGCAGTTAATACATAGGATCGTTTGAAAATAGATTCCAGCTGATAAAAATGATCTTCCGTGACTGTAAATAGAGCAGAGAGGCGCAGGTGCAGCTGTGGTCATTCTGTGTGCAGCAGCAAACTGGCTGCTGTAGCGTCGTGGCCACATAAATGAACACACCTGGGGGTTCCGCCAGGGGCGGAATGGAACGAGGAAGAAAATAACTGTCGAGTCAAAGGGTTGCAGATGCATTTCCCTGTGTTTGTCCTTATAACTGTGTGTTCGTAGCTGTAGTCTGCAAATGTTTCCCTGCACACCTGCTGCAGTGTGGTGACTTTCCCTGCTACTGTGTAGCCCAAGAAAATCCTCATGGTGTTGGCCTCAAAAGGGGTGGGAGCCAGGGAGATCTCTGAGGACCAGCAATACATTGGGAGGCTAGACAGCAAGTCTGGTGGAGCCAGGAGCTTTATCGAGCTGCGATTAGCCCGTAATCATGGGGGGATGGCTGTGGCCACGCCAGGGCCGAGCTCTGTGTCACGGGGGTACGCAGCTGTAAATCGCGTGGAGAGTGATTACAGCTGTGCCTCTGAGGGGTCCCCTTCATCCTTCGTTGCTCCAGTCTCCTCACTCGTCCTCTCTTCTCCCGGGCAGGTACGCCATTTCTATGGCCCGAAAAATCGGAACAAGAGTGTACGCCCTTCCAGAAGACCTGGTGGAAGTGAACCCCAAAATGGTCATGACCGTGTTCGCCTGCCTCATGGGCAAAGGCATGAGGAGGGTGTGAGGCCCAGCGGGGCGGGGCTGCAGGCGGCTCACCTGCCTCTCAGCACCGGATGGTCCCGGGAAGGACGCAGACAACTGAAGCCGCTGCAAAGTTTTCGACTTGGCGGCATTATTATACAAGATTCCAAAGAGGGTATTATCTGTTCATGCGGGTAGCCTCGCCTATATTTAACAAGCGCTTCATTCTTTGCAAAAGACCCAATCTCCTACAAATATTTTTTTACCATTGAACTTACTGCTTTTTTGAAAATCTGTAGGAAAAAAAACAAACCCTGCTTCTTGCCATTAGTTGAGTGTAGAAGCTGCATTGTTGCTAATTTTAACATGATCTTTCCAGCCAGCCTAAGGGGGTTGCATTTTTGTTTTAAGGTGAGCATCTAACCAGTCCTAAGGCTTGTGTGTGGAGGCTGTCATTGATCTGCGACAAGCCTCGCTTTCTGTCCCCTTGTCCTACACTCTGCCGCCCTGGGACTTGGCTCTCCACCTCTCAGAGCTCTCTGCCTTCTCGAGGACCTGCCTCTGCAGGCCATCCTTGCCTCCGGGCCATTTGGAGCACCTGACACGTCAGTCAGGCTCTCCGGGGTCCCAGGCGTCTCTGGGAGCCTGCAGAGAAGTAACACTCCTCTCAGAGCTTTTCCTCAGAACTGGGGCCCCATTTGCTATTAGTTTTGGTGTGTGTTTTTTTTCAGCCAATAAGAAGCCCCCTGTTTTTAACCCTAGTGTTGGGGCTCAGACCAGATCTAATGCCTTCCATACTGTGCCTTCAGGTAGACCAGACCCTTGGTTAGATCCACGAAGGAAGGGGGTGCAGTTGAGCAGAAAACCACCAGGGGGCAGCGTGGAGCCCCAACCAAGCCTCTGTCCCTAGATCTTGGTGAGGGAACAGTCCTGGCTGGCCTGTTTTCACCCGCTCTCAGCTTTAGTGGGTCTGATGGCCGCCAGGCCATATTATCAGTGTTTACTTTTTCTGGTACTGCAGAAGCCTGTTGCCACCCCGAACTCCCAGGGGGCCATATACGCCACCTAGCAGGGCCCCCACCGCACCCCGCCCCACCACATACTTCCCTGGCCATACCCAGCCCGTGTCCAGCTGGGTAAGCACTGGCTGAGCTGCTTTACAAAGAGCTATTCTACTGGATATTTAAAGAATTCCCAAGTAAAACCCGAGGCGCCGCAAACCTCATAGATGGTACACTTGCCATGACAACCCGAAAGGAACAGAACATTATGGACCAACACTAGCGTCTCCATAGTTCTCAGAGGGCTCGCCCGCCAGGTGTCTTCCTTGGAGGCTGGGGGTACGGCGGGGAACTTGGCCGTCTTTCAAAGCCACTGAAATGAGTCACCCTGCATCTGCCCCTGCGGCTCAGGAAGCCAGTTGTTTCTCTGGCCTTGGAATGCAAGGAGGTTGGCTTTGTCTCCCTCCACACTCACCGTGGCCCCAGGAGATGCTCTCCCGTCTGCCTCCAAGAAGAATGTTTGCGCCTTAATGTCCAGAATCTGTCCAAATAAAGTGTTCCTGAGGTCGGATGTCCCTTGGAGGCTTTGTACCTCGTTAATTCCCTCAGCCCACGCGCCCTGAGTGCCCGGTGCAGAGCTGGGCAGTGTGCGGAGTTGGGGACTGTGACTGCGTTGCACTTGCTGGTCGGGAAGGATGTTACACTTGACCCGACAGGTGTGGCAGGTGATTACCGAGGGCAGGGTGAGGCTGACAGCAGAGGAGATGGTCTGAGACACACTTGGGCTGAAAACAAAGTACAGCAGTGAGACGTTGACAAAGCAGGATCTAAAATGAGAGCCGGGTCGCAAATTCTCAGAAACACGCCGAACCGGGTCATGAACAAAAGCCAGCCCTGGGGGTGGATGCAAAACAGCTTCTCGGGGCATTCGAGAAGGACTCTTTTGGGTGGGCGGTGCCGGGGGCAGGTCTCCTCACTGGCCTGGTAGAACCTCACTTTGGCAGGCAGAAAGGACAGGGTGTGCCGAGGTGTCCTGCTGCGGTGGCTCCCTCTCAGGTGGCCAGCTGTGACAGGCATCTGTCCAGCATGGGCACATTCTGACCGTGAGGTGCCACACACCTGCACGGCTGCCGGAAGCTGCACGTGGGCTGAGTCCTGGCTGCAGTAGAAGCAGCTTTGGGGTGATAGTTCATTCCTGGACAGGACATCCCGGCAGCTTCTCCACTGAGCGAGTGGCCGCCTTCCCTACACTTGCAGCAGTTACAGGTACAAAGGGCTTTTGTGCACGGACTGGCCTGCTGCACGGCCAGGGGGCAGCACCTGTGCTCCGGAAGGAGAACCCAGACTCCCTTGGAGACGAGAAGGGGAAGGGATACAGTGACCGCATCAAGATCATTTTTCTAAATTTACAGTGTATTGTTACATTTTAAACAGTCAGAGATTAAAATTGTTCCCGCCGGTCTACGGTGGAAAGCAGGCCAGCTTCATGCCCCCGTGTCTGGGGACGTGCCTGACTCACTGAAGCCAACTTTGTGAGACCGTCGCTACACCGTTGTTTGCTTGAAACTGCCCATGGCTGGGTGGGGGTAGTTACACACAGATACAGTCTAACTCTCCGAACAGGGGCCCTTCCCATCTCCAGAAAGCTACTTCACCCGCTGCTGCCTCTGTGCCAGGCCACCAGCTACTGTTCCAATGTCTTCTGTGTCCTCCCGGGAATACTTCCTGCACACATGACACCTTCGTTACTACAAACCGCACTACAAACTTACGACCAGACACAACGTCCTATGGCTCACTTTCCTCACTTGTACCTTGAAGACTGTTTCCTGTTAGTGCGTATAGAGCAGCCTCGACCTTTTCACAGATGTGTGGTGTTCTCTTGTGCGGGCCAGCCAGACGGTATTTAACCAGGGGCTTATAAATAGGTATTGAAGCTGTTTAAGTAGTTTGCCTCAGCACATAAGGCCACAGTAATGTTATACCCACCTCTGGTGCACAGAATGTTAATTTGACTTTAGTAGATACTTACCAAGTTTCTGTTCTAGCAAAGGTGTTGAACATTGGATAGCAAAACATAGGTTCTCCTCTTGTTTCCTCAAATTATTTGACAAGAACCCTGGACTGTGAGAGGCCCTGGGGCTGATTTTGACTTCTCCATTTTATGTCTAAAGAAGCAAGTGAATCCAGCAAGAAGAGCATGTGGACGTGCACACGGCGTAATAAAAAGCCATGTGATCGATGTTGTACAAAGTGGCACATTCAGTGTGGGGGAAATTAGCTCTGAAGGAAGGATCGGGGGAGCTCTGTTCTCCCTCTTGGCCACGTGGGTGAAATGCTGGCCAGTGCTCTCTGGGTGAACTTGACATTGTTTGGCCCAGCACCTCCCTGCCAGCCTCAGGATCAGAAACCAGAACTGTCAAGCAGAACGAGTGCGCAGCCTGGACTGACCCTCTTGTGAAATCTGGTCCCGGAAACTTTCCTGATAAAGTTCTAGTAACTAAACCCCCAGCTGCCAGAGACGGCTCTTTACCCAGCACCCTCCCCTTCCCTCTGAAAGGCAGTGGACCGTTGGCGTCTGTGCGTGGGTGAGAGAAATAAGCTGTGTGTTTTCTCATGTCTACACCTGTGTCCGAACCTGCCCAACACAGGGCACAAAAATGTACATAGTCAACACCTACTGCCTCGTCATTAACTCAGGGACAGGTGCCAACATGGCAGTAATATTTATGTTATCGGGTTTGTCAAAATTGGGACGTTCCATTCATACAAGTATCCTGGTTAATATAGAGCTATCGTGTATGGAGAGGGTTAGAATGCATGCAAATACTCGATCCCAAAGCCCATCTGTACTCCAACGTGAAAGTCGATGACTCAGTAAGTGTTTCTGGACCTGGCAGTCCCAGGTGCTCTGTCCACGTTTCAGGTGCCCTGTCCGCATCCCAGGTGCCCTGTCTGCGTCCCAGGTGCCCTGTCCGCGTTTCAGGTGCCCTGTCCGCATCCCAGGTGCCCTGTCTGCGTCCCAGGTGCCCTGTCTGCGTCCCAGGTGCCCTGTCCGCGTTTCAGGTGCCCTGTCCGCGTCCCAGGCGCCCTGTCTGCGTCCCAGGTGCCCTGTCTGCGTCCCAGGTGCCCTGTCCGCGTTTCAGGTGCCCTGTCCACGTCCCAGGTGCCCTGTCCGCGTCCCAGGTGCCCTGTCCGCGTCCCAGGTGCCCTGTCCGCGTCCCAGGTGTTCCAACCTTTTTGTTCCAAGGGCAGTTCCGGGGCCGGGGGCACCAAGAAGCTGATTAGAAACGCAGCCTCGGCCCCCACCTCACACCTGCTGACCCAGAATCTACATTTTCATAAGCCCCCCAGTTAACTTGTGTGCACTGTAGGGTTGGAGAAACACACCCTAAAAGAAGTCGTCTTAAAAGATCTGCAGCCAACAGGCAGCTGCATGGCCCAGCCGTACGTGGAATGGCACGTGCCCGATCGTGTTCCCCTGGCGGTGTCCCATCCTCAGTGTTGTTGGAAGGAGAGTGGTTCTCCCTCCATTTGGGTGCATCCAGCCCAGCCCCCGCTGCCTCCCCCCTTGGTCCCTCTCTTCCTTGTGGTGCCCACTCCCGGGCACTGGCCCTGCGTCTCCCAGGCCCTGCAGGCACAGTTTTGGTGTCTCTTGGCGCAGCCTCCTCCAGCTGGCGGCCCAGGACGGCCACGTCAATGCATCTGACCCGGTGGTGCATCGCTTTAGTCTTCCCTCCTCCTCTTTCACAACCTGCACCGAACTTACTGGCTTTCCCCCGTCCCCACGGCCTCTGGAGCAGTCTCTGTGACTCCCGGGGACGACTAGCGAACCACCTGTCCTGGGGGGAAGGGATCACAGCCCTCCAGGGCCCACTCGTTCCCGCCCCAATGCATGCACTTTGCCAAGACTTCCTAGGACGATAGCACTCCGTTGTCATTATCACTGTCATTATCTTTTCACGTCCCTAATGGAAAAGCCAGAGAGTGAGGGCCATGTTTCCCAAGGGAACGGCTCTGGTGTTCAAAGACCCAGAGTACGGCAGAAGCTTCTCGTCTCTGAGGAACCGAAACACTAGTGCGGCCGAGGGAAGCGAGAGTTGTCACATCATGAAAAACAGGCGAAAGGGCTGGGGGTGATTCTCACACTTACAGGCGCTTAAGAATCACCCGGGGAACTTGTTAAAACACAAATTTTCCAGACCCCACCCTGAGATTCGGTGCCTATAGAGCGGACGAGCCCAAGAGATTTCCACAAACGCCCTGGGAGATTCTGGGGCCCACAGGCCACCCTGGGGGATGGACAGGCCCAGACGAGCTGCTCTCCCCTCGGCTGCACACTGCAGGCATCTCAGGAGCTTTAAGGCCGCCTGAGGTTCGGGCGTCACTGATCTGCTGCGCAGCCAGGGCATCTGGACGTTGAAGATCCCAAAGTGGCTTCCAGCATGTGGTCCAAGTTGGGAACGGTGGCCTGTAGGCTGGAGTTCTCTCCGAAGGGCCATAAAAGGGAGTGGCCATTTGGAAAGGGGAAGTGAAGGGATGGAGCTGTCCAAAGAGAAACCTCTCTGCCTCCACCATGCGCCCGCCTAGTCAGCAAGCGGTTTCCCCGTCTGGGTGCCCCACGCTGCCAGCTCCATGGGTCTCAGCAGCCACAGCAAAGGAATTAGAACCTGGGACAGTTCTCTGCTCTTGGGCTTCAACCCCTCTCTCTCTCTCTGTGGCTTCAGAGACACCAGCATTCTTCAGGGAGGACGACCAAGGGCCTGAAATGCCAGACCTTTGTGCAAAAGCTTAAAACCGCTCCCCTCTCCATGAATAAACCCAAGGGATGGGGAGTGGGGGCAGGGAATAACATGGATCATTGAAGGGTCTGCAAAACCTCCCGAGATTATACGAGCAGCTTTAATGGCCGAGTGATTTTGGAAGGAAACCTTGTAAATCGGGCTGCACCTGAGCTCATAAGAAAATGCCACGAAACCCTCTCGTGCTCACCTGACAGCAGGCCTGAGCTGCGTGTCCGAGCCAGGCTGGCCAGTGGGGCCATGGCATCCGCCCTTGACCTCGGCCCCTGCACCAGAGACAGGCAAAGCAGAGTCCTCCTCACAGGGCAGGCTATCCTCCTAGGCAGGGTCTTAATAAGAGGCACAGGGTTAGGGCTCTCGAAGAAACATCTGCGTCCCTGGCCGGGAGGCTTGGTTGGTCGGAGTGTTGTCCTGTACATCAAAAGGTTGCGGGTTCAATTCCCACTCAGGGGACATACCTAGGTTGTGGGTTTGAGGCAGCCTATCAATGTTTTTCTCTCTCTCTCCCTCAAAAGAGAGATCAATAAATTTTTTAAAAATGACACCTGGGTTTCTGCTGCACCCAGATCGATGGGGTCCCCACTGACTTCCGCAGCCAGATGTTGTGGGGGCTCCTTGTGACTGCACTGGGGCTCCAGGCTGGGGACCCCAGGGTGGGGCTGGGGCCTCTTGCTCCCCAGGGCAGACCGCCGCAGCTGACATAGCCCTCCTGCTTCTCAACGCCACTTGTGGGCGTGGGGCCCGCCCCTTTCCCACGTCCATCCCGCCTGCCGGTCTGTACGTGGCGTCTTTCTGTCCTCAGTTGTAGGAGCTCCGTTCAGCCAGGCTGCAGCCGGTTGTCCGGGCGGATCCCTCTACAGCTCCGTTGTCATTCTGATGTGACCACGGGGGCAGGGGGCCGGGGGAGCCCCCACACTCCCCTACACTGCCATCTTGACCAGCATTCCCGGGCTGACTCTTTCTGGGTGAATTTAACACAGAAGAGTGGGGACGCGAGCCCGGGAGGAGAGGAAACAAGTAGCCCAAATGGCCAGGTGTTGACATCAACCCAGGTCCCCGAACAGCGCGGCCTCCACTGTGGCCCTTTCCCTCCCCCCCGCGTCTGGCAGGGCGCCTCCGCCGGATTGAGGTGGTCTCTCCAAAGCAGATGCCTTGGCAACCAAATCTTAAGTCAGATACTCGCATTTTTCTAAAAAAGAAAAGAAATGGGGGGCTTACACTACATGGACCCCGAGGTAGATCGTGGCTATTGGGCAGGGTGGTCCTCCCTAAATAAACAGGATCCAGGGTCACCTGACGGACTCGCTGCTCCACGGAGCCCCCCACAACACGGCACTCCCGTTCTCCTGGGAGTGAGTCCATCCTGCCAGACCGAGAAAGATCCTGCTGAGTGAGGATTCTGTAGTCCCCCGCACGGTCTCTCCTTCTCGTCCTTGTGTTAGCCACAGATTTGCGAAACTCGCCGTGTGTTTTATCTAGGTCAAAAAAGTTGAAAAAGACAGAGGACAGGGAAGAACTTTGCAGGACTCTGTGGGGGACGCCCTCCCCATGGCGGACAGTCCACTGGCCAGTACTGGGCAGCCGTGGCTCTCCGGCAAACCTGGCGTGGCCACACATTTCCCGCCTTGCTCCGCTTTCATTCTTGGCCTCATCTTCCCAGAGAAGTTAAATATTTGCTAGATAGTCTCAACGAAAAGCAGCTCTCATTGTCCCTTCCTTTGGAGAGAGAGCGGCCATGCCAGTGAGGTCGATTGATCACAGCAACGAGGGGAAACAAGCCGTTATATTTTAACCAGTGTGTAAAGAAGGCTCTTAGGTAACCCGCTCTCCGGGGCCCTTTTGCTTCAGAGAGTTCTGTTTTCCTGCAAATCGCCGTGGGGATGAAGTTTTCCAGTTTGGGGGTCCTCGTAGCCGCCGTCACCTTCTGTAAGCAGCATGTCTTCGCATTTCAGAGGTAACCGAGCGACCCTGGCGGGCGGGCTGTGGGCCGCTTCCCCACTTGCTGACGCCGCCCAGAATCCGGCCGGTGCGCCGGGCTGGGGAGCGCATGTCACAGTGTGGAGGCCAGCTGTTTCAGGACCTTTCCGTGTTCCCTGGACAGGTCACAGATTTCAGCACAAGGCTCTCACGAGACGTAGGGCCTCTCTTCTTACGCGGCTCCAGTTCTGTTATCGGGAGGGCCCTGGATGGCATGGATATTCAGTGTCTACGAGATGAAAGGCAGAGACACTTTTGTAGAAAGTAATTCTTCACACCTGAGCACACCTACAGTGTATTAACTGTAGATAACATATTTTCTTCTTACACCTGAAACACAGCAGGGAGAAGAGGGTGAAGGTTAAATAGCAGGTTGGGTTGCGCATGAGTATTCAGCCTGGAATATAAAAGGCAGAACAGTGGCGTTCTGAGAACAGCTGCATGGACATGTCGGATTCTTATTCTGCGCAGCAGAGCGGTCCCTTTAGGGTTTTCTACTATCAGTCACTCGGGGGGACACAAGTGAGTCCACTAGCATCTATAATATGTGGTAAAAATAGTTCGTGGCTTTGTGTAATATCGTCATTGATTCGCCAGCTACCGTTTACGTTTTCAAAATTGGTCTTGTTCCGTAGGGGAGAGCGGTGAACGTGGCAGCTGCCCAGGAGCTGAAAGAATGAGCTCGCGTCTGTTCTCTGTTTAACACCCGCTCAATCCACAGCCAGACCCCCTCCTTTTCACCTTTTAAGCTGGTTTTCTTTTTATGATGATCTCAAAGCCCCTCCCAGTATAACTGATCCTTTTTGTTACTTTTTGTTTAACATCAAAATCCTGTTGTATTTTCCCCCCAGTGGCCAGGTCTTGTCTGCTCTTCCTAAAACCTCCACGCAAGTTCAAATCCTGCAGAATCTCACCACAACACACGAGGTAATTTCCCCCTCGTTTATCTGTGTATTGGCTTCATTTTGTGCAGGTATTTGGTGCCGTGTTCTCTCCTGTATGTTGTCTAGCTTACCTAGAGCTGGGATAAACGCCCCTTCTCACAGCCTTTTCCTCTTCCCGTAGCACATGGTTTTGCTGGTTTCCAAAATCAAACCTTCTTCATTTGTGTTATTAGCTTTTCAGCCAACTGCATAATCATACCTGGGCTTCAAAACATGCACAGACTTCCAGAGGTGCTACAAACATAGAAGTCCAATAGGACTTTGCATGTACAACAAGGATTTTTAACCAAGAAGTAAACATCAAAACTACCAGGGAAAAACGTATTGAAAGTTTCGTGCCTGGGACCCATCTCCCCAGAAGTGTAGACACTGCTTACAGTGTGGAGAATGGATGCGAGTTACTAACTATGGTGGGAGGAAATTGATGGCTCCGTGGTTGTCAGTTGGACCAGATTCAAGATTCGAGAGATGTCCTAGGGGAGATGCTTGTGAGGGGTAGAGGGCAGGGGGCGCCCTTCGACCATAATGCACCTGACACCTGTGCAGAAGGGAAGGTTGTGCATGAAGAACCTCAAACTCCACGGTGGTTCCCTGAAGATTTGGCGGGACCAGTGGTGAGCCACATGTGAGAGGAAACTCCCGCTAGTGGGAATGGACCTGCATTAACATACCCATGGTGCTTGATCACTGGCCAGTGGGGCAGCAGGGCCTCAGCCTCTGGTGGGTCACGAGTGGGAACAGCCAGGAAGGTCAGTCTACCATGCATCTCCCAACAGAAGAGTTGAGCACGGATGTTCACCACCAGCTCATCAGGGTAGCGGACATGCCACCAGGGGGGGCATCAGAGCCTGAGAACTGCGTTCTGGGTCTGCCATTGGGAAGTATGTGATTTCAGACACATTAGCCTTGGGCCTTAATGTCCTTGTCGGAACTGTGAAGACGATGGCCCTTGCCTCGTCTGTAGCAAGCTGCTACTGAAATGACGAAAGGAAATGAGTGTGGAAGTGCTTGGAAAAAGTGTGAGGAAATAGGAAAAAGCGTAAACAACTGTGGAAGGCATTGTTGAGAGGTCATAATGAGAGAGAAACACCGGCGTGATGATAACATCAAGAATATGGAATATTTATTAAAGAAAATCACCATTTAATCAGCTTTCCAGACAAAATGTCATTTCTCCTCTAAACACCAGACGTACACATCCAGTTCTAGACAGCTGGGACATGAGTAGCTTTATCTACTCACTCATCATCTCACCAAATATTTACTGAGCACCTACTATGTACTCAATCCTCTTTAGCAACTGGAGTCACAGGGAAGAATACAACCAGCCTCCCATAAAACAAATGTTTATAATGCCGTGTGTACGAATGAGGGCCAGTGACCGGGGGCACCTTTCCTGTTCCTTTACACATGCTTTCATGGTGTTAGCTGAGAATCGCTGTTTGATTTATCGATTTTCCCCCTTGAAACTGCAGATTGTTCTCTGGAAGCCAGTAACAGCTGAGTTTATCACGAAGGAAAAAGAAGTCCACTTATTTGTGAATGCGTCTGATATGACCAATGTGAAAGCCCATTTACAAGACAGTGGCGTCCAATTCAGGTAGGCATCATTGATATTTATTAAGTAGCTATTATAAACACTTATGATGCAGTAGATTAGCAGATGGCGTAATTGCATCCTGGAAAAATAAATACTTGCATTAAACATGGCAACATGGAAATCTCTGGAATGGGCTGGCCATAACAGCCAAGTGGCTGGCTCTGTGACCTTGAACAAGTGGTTTAACCTCTCACGACCTCACTCCCTTATCTCAAAATAACGGTTAGACTCAGTGATCTGTGTAGTGTCTTAGAGTTCCTCCTAATTCCTTCCTCCATATAGTCCCTCTGCTCTCTCCCTAGACTTGGGGAGCAAAGTTGTCATTCACTTTAGTGGACTGTGTGGTATCTCTCGAAAAAGCAGCTGGTAGAGAGGGTTTGCTCCCTTCACTAGGTCAGTGAACATTTCTGAATGTCTGCCTCTCGATGAACAAGCACCCAATGCAATTCCTGCTCAGAGTCCACACCTTCTTCCTCTTGAGTCTCCCACCAACGTCTGCTCTCTGTATCCACTGTCCAAACACCAGGGTCCTCTGACGCCCTTGCACTTCCTGGAGGCACACTCTCTCTCCTCTGCGTATTGCCTGGCAGCCTTTGGAGAATACCCTGTGATAATTACTAACAACGTTATGGTAGGCGCTGACTACCTCCCAGGAACTGTGCTGAGCCTTTGTATCACTCCATCCTCATCTGACCTCAGGAGGCAAATACTGTCCTTGTTACGCAGATGAAAAGGGTTTCAAACTGATGAATGAATTCCTCCAGGTGGGTCAGCTAGAACACGGCAGGGCTAGGAGCTGGATTCAGGCCTTTCTGCTGTCCAAGCCGTGGCTTCCATCTGTCGGCCTGAGTAAAAGTAGAGAGGCCTTATGCAAATGATAACTGCCTTTCAACCCGGTCATCTCAGGGGATGAATGGCTTCATTCAGTTAAAATGTTTGCCCGGTTGACGGCGTGACACTTCTCGAGAGACATTAAATAAGATGGCTTTCCCATACCTCCCCTTTCCCTGTGCCTCTGTTTCCCTAGAAGTCTGGCCACCTCCAACTGTGCAGAACACCTGGGGCAGGTCACCAGTGGTCACAATGAAAAACAAAAAGAGAAGACCGTCATCTTCTCCTGGGATTCTCACTGCAGATAGAATAAAACACCGTGACCCCGATTGAACAAAACTGTCCCCTAACCTAGATGTTCACATAAAAGACACTTAAATGGAGCACAGTGGAGAATCGCTGACCGTGGGGGGAGGGGGAAGGGGGGGATTTTGGAGGCTGTAGGAGATGCACCGTGTAGGAACCACTTTCTCTCCAGGGTCCGTGTCGGCTGAGCCGAGAGGGATGTGCATTTCGGCTCACCTGCAGTCCTTGGTGGGGCCGTTTCCCACGTGAAGAACCTTTAGATTTCTTCGTGATTTTTCCACTCATGCTCAGCTGTTGCGGCCGCAATGGGCCCCGTGGGATAATCAGAGCCCCTTTGAGACACACCTGCTCACCCTCCCTTTCCTCACCTAGGGTCCTGATGGAAGATGTGGAAGAGCTAATCCGCCAGCAGACTTCCAACGACACCATCAGGCCCCGGGCCCCGTACGCGTATTATGAAAATTATCACTCCCTAAATGAAGTAAGCCATCAGCCTTCTCTCCAGAGTTACTATCTTCTCTGAGCTGGCATTTCCATTTCAATGATGGGCAATTGTTAAAGTGTCGTAGTCGGTGGGAGAAGGTAAAAGACGCCACGATTGGGCTGCTCAGGTGGTGGTCATTCATCCTTTTGTAGATACCCGCCGGGGAGACGGCATCGCAGGTGGGGAACTGCCGCTAAGCAGGCCGCTGGTCCGCAGCCAAGGGCACCTCTTGCGGCCAGGTGTAGTGCCGCACGCGGAGGGACAGCGGGAATAAAAAACGGGGCCTTTTTGTTAAACTGCCATACAACGAACAGTCTAGTGAATCATGTCTCTGTGGCCTCTTACTGAATAATTGCCACAGTGTCTCAGTGAATTAAACAAATGTATTCACTTATATTCAGTACACTATAAATAAGTCCACCGTATTCCCCTCAGGAGGAGCCTGTGAAGTGAATAAGAATAAGAATAAGGGCAAGAATAAGAATAAGAATGTCTGTGCTTCCATCTTGCAGAAATTGACTTTTTCTTTCACTCCTCACGGGTTCCAGTTTTTCTAGAGGGAACCTGAGGGCGATGTTCAGTTGGCATCAGTAAACTTTTGCACGACCCTCAGAGCACCATTATTTGTAATGGCTGAAAGGGTAAATCCCTGGAGGACTTTCTTTTCTACACAGTTTATGCCAAAGAATAAAAATCCCTTAGTACCTTTTATTCCTCCACAGGAGTAGATGGCTGCATTGCTTAATATAAGTATTTTTTAAACATCTTTGGCTAGGTGCCCAGAAGTGATTAAAGACCATGTCTATGTTTCCAGACATCTAAGCCTTAAATAACAAAACATCAGTTTTCTGTTTAATCTTCGAGAGCATCTGCCCCTTTTCTGTCAGTTAAGCCACAGCTCAGTCGGCTTCGAGAATCACTGTGCCTGGCTGGTGGGTGCGGGCATTACGGCGGCATTCCCCGCCCCCTCTCTCCTCCCTTGCCTCTGTTTTGCCTGGAATTCTTCCCTCCCTCCACCATCTATCATCAGAAGCAAACCTGATGCCCAGGGCTGAGAGTCCAGGTAGGAATGGAGAAGGTAGACACGTTTCTGCCGTGCGGAGTTCAGTAGGAAGAGAGAGATGTCTTACACAGAAGTATTTTTAAAAATAAATTCAAGGTCTTCTTCCCCGTCAGCCCTGATGGCTCCTCCAGCCCTCACCCCAAGGGGGTAGGAGGTGTTCCTGGTGACTGTCCCCAGCAGATCTTAAGGAAACAGGGAGAAAAACAAAAGGGCCACAAATTACTTTTTAACACAAATGGCCAAAGAGGAGAGCTATTCAAAGGCGGTTACCTTCATAGCCTCCGTGTAGACTGTGGAATAAATAAAGATTTCTGTAACGCTCCCATCATGGGACCCAGCCTCCCCTGTCTGCGGAAGCCTGCTGCATGTCCCTGGAATGCACGACAGTTGTACGTGGTCATTCTCTCAGGTGCACTCATTCCTTAGAAGGGTAACTCAAAACTCCCGGTGGCAGGACCCCTGACACCTCAGGTAGCAGCCTAGTTGGGGTTTGGTGGCAGGTGGGTCCCCCAGCACAGGACAGTCACGGACTCGGACCCCTCACCCTTGGTGTGCTACAGTGAGAGGACCCCAGGGGGAACGGTGCATGCGTCCCCGTCACCTGGGGTTGCTGTCGGAAATTAGCTCCAGAAAAGTTTCCAGAAGTAAGGTCGAGGGTTGGCTATTCCTGTTTCAGAAGGTCCAAACATTTAATTACGGCCCCTGAGAAGTCGGTCTCCATCCAAACACAGTCAAGTTCCATCATTCAACCCCTGCTTGGAAGCGGACCCTAAAGTCAGGCCTGGGCTTTTTTATTCATTGTCCCCCACCCCCCACTGAAATCACAGATGCCACCAGATGTCCATCAGGGAGGCAGGTCCAGAGCCCAAGTCCTTTTCAGGGCGAAGAGAACTTTTTTCTCTCTAGATTGTACTCACCTTCACCCCTCATCATGTCACAGGTCTGCTGTGAGTGGCCAGGCCTCTGGGGGGCGACAAAGGCCCCACCATTGATAGAGTCAGGGGCAGTGCCCGGGGCTTCCTTAGGTGACTCGGAAAAGCCTACTTAAAAAAAAAAGTTACTTAAAAAAAAAGTTCCGTGTAAAAGGGAGCTCGCAAATGAATGGTAAAAAGACTTTACACACAGAGGCAGGGATTCTATGAGCCTTCAGAAACAAGGCTTAGGAGACTTACCGTATTGTGCCGTGTATACGGAGCACCCATGTTTTTGGCCCAAACGTTCGAGAAAAATATCTTTCATTTTAATTCGAGTTTTTATTTATTTATATTTAGATACTTGTTTTTTGTATTATAAAAGAATTTTAGCATTTATTTTTGAACATATTATGGTACAAGAAATTTTGTGTAACAAATAATTACAAAACACAAGAACAGATACAAGGAACAAGAAATTTTATGTACTGCTAACAAATTAGTACTAACCATGTAGAAGGCACGTCCTTATTTTTCCCTCATAAATTTGGGCAATAAAGTATGCATTATACATGGCAAAATACGGTGCTTTAAAAATGAACTTTTCCTACTTCATTGGAAAGTTTCTCAGTACTCTTTCTCTAACCCTTGATACCTTTCAAAACTTCAATTATATTGATTTTTCCTAAACAGCCGAAGAAACATCCTACCCTACGTATTTTAGTTCCTCGTTCCTTCTACATACAGAAGTTTAGTGGGCTCGCCTTCCTTTGAAGGAGCTGCCTGTCTCCGTTAGGGCAACACTTTGTGTTAGGGCAACACTTTGAACTTGCTCTATGACTAACTGTGTGCTTCCGCTTCCACAGATCTATTCTTGGATAGACTTTATAACCGAGCGGTATCCTGACGTGGTTGAAAAAATCCACATTGGATCCTCATATGAGAAGCGCCCACTTTATGTGTTAAAGGTAAGTTATCAGGGGAGTCGTCGACCTTTTGCCTTTGGAGAATGTGTTCATCCTCCTGCAGTGCTTGTTGTAACTTGGAATTTTTTTTTCCTTTGAGTTCTGGAAATATTTGTATTACTATTCTTCCTCCACTTTAACACTCAACTATGTGGGGTTAATTTTTTCCCCTTTACTAATGCGGTGCTGGTCCTTGAGTAGAAACCCCAGTGTTAGAATGAACTTTCTTGTATGTGACATAGATAAACCATTAACTTTCTTGAATTTCGACACCTACTGTCTTAAAATGAGGGGTGTGGTCTGGATTATTGTCTTCATACCACCACCACCTCTGACTGGCTCACTTAGGAAAAGGAAAAAGAGAGAGAGAGACAGAACCTGTGATTGGACAAACGCTAACAGTGGAACCGTTTCTAGAACCAAAGAAAGAACCCAACAAGCAAACCGAGGAAGGAGGAGAACAGGGAAGTTCAGGGGCCCCATCTGTGGGGCTGATACAGACGAGAGCTTCTCCTCCGACCTCAGTCTCTTCGGTTCTTTTCAGTTGAACACATTGGCCTGAATAAAGGTGAGTAAATACGGCCACAGGAAGGATTCTTAGGAGCCGTGAAACTACGTATACCAATTTCTGTCCTTTAATGTCTACTTCTGGAGTTCTGCTTTTTTACCACTCCCCCCTACCCCACAACAATATATATTTTTTAAATTGAAAAGAAGCTCTGAAGAAATTGAAATCATCGGGGAAATATTTGATTTAGTGACGTTGTTTTCTAACATTATCACTTGGATGAGCCTCCTTGGTCATCCAAAGGTAAGAGTTTGAGCCAGGATTTCTGGGTTTTAATCTGAGCTGAGACACGTGAAACTTTGGATCCTCTCAGCAGCCAAGCCAGGCAGTGCGGAGCCACGTGATCATGGCCCACCCGCCCGTGACATTGGTTTCAGCTGTGCTGGGTGTACTCTTTGGGATGTGGGAACTTGTGTTTCTGGGACCCAGCTGGGCAGGCTGGAAGTCCATGCTTGCTGCATGCTTCCTTCCAGCTCTTACTAGACCAAGGATGTGAGCATAACGATGTGACCCAAGTATCTGGGGACCCTCCATCTTCCCAGGGTCAGGACCAGTACGTACCAAGATGCTGGCCTGGCACACTCAGAAGGCAACTGATTCAGGCAGCTCAGGATTCTAACTATTAAAGTGAATAGTTAAATCAGCCAGGAAGTTCTCTGCTTGGCACACTTTAACCCTTTATGGTCGGTGCGTGTGACTGCCTCACCTGTTTTCTCAATGAAGGCCTCCAGGTTAGTGAGGAAAAATCCGCCTTGACCGGTGCAGATGGCGACCTGAAAACCTAACTCTCTTCTCGTTCTGGAATTCCAACCCAGCATATTTGTTTGACTTACCAGACCCTTCTCCCTTGCCCCCACATTCTAAAATTGTGCTCTATCTAATTTTGACAAGCAAAGGAAGCACTGGGCTAGCCAGAAAGTTCATTGAGTTTTTTTCCTACGACGGCTCTAGTACTGCTCAGTTGTCTTTAACTTCATTAGAAACAATTTTGTCCTGTTGTATCGTGACAGCCGTCATCAGCATGCATTTAAAAAAATATCAAAATTGGTGACTTTTTTGTGCAGCCATTCTAATATTGAAGATGGAAGAAAATAAGCAACATTTTTGGCATATTATGTTTTATTATTTCAAGAAAGGTAAAAATGCAACTGAAACACAAAAAAAGATTTGTGCAGTGTACGGAGTAGCTGCTGCGGCTGATAGATAGAATGTGTCAAAAGTGGTTTGTGAAGTTTCTTGGTACTACCGATATTTTGGCCAAGTGATTCTTCGCCATGTGGCCGTCTCATGCATCGGAAGATGTTCAGCAGCACCCTGGCCTCTCCCCACTGGAAGCCAATAGTGGCAGAGAGCCGACATACTCCAAATATACAAATCAATGCCGTTATTGGTGAAAATGAATAAATGGGCTTTTAAGATTTCATTTACTTATTTTAGAGAGAGAGGAAGGGAGGCAGAAAGAGAGAGAAACATCAGTGTGTGAGAGATACATCACTTAGTTGCCTCTAGCACGCCCCCAAACAGGGATCCAGCCCACAAACAAGACACGTGCCCTGACTGGGAATTGAACTGGCAACCCTTCAGTTTGCAGGCTGGCACTCAACCCGCTGAGCCACACCAGCCAGGGCACAAACAGACTTTTTGGCCAACCCAACATAACTCCTATTGTTCAGAGGTGTTTTGGGGATTTCTTCTGAAGACATCAGAGGCCACCATTGTGAAACCCTGAGGAGAAGTCCCTTTTCCCAGAGACTCCACAACTTGCACTGCGCCCCTCCCCCATCCTGTGAATCAGAACAAGGCTTCTGTCCCCGGTCTGCTGGTGAGCAGTTCGTGGGACGTTCAAGGTGTGCTTCTTCCTGTGTGAAATGGGGAAACAGTCTGCACATCACAAGTGCGCAACGCACCCTGGGGAAGTGGCGAGGCAGCCCCAGTTTATGTTCTGCCCCCCGGTTCCCCTTTCCCAGGCCTTTCTCTGCCCGACGCCCACCACGGAAAACTATCCACCAAGCCACCCACAGACACGTTCCCACCTCCCGCCAATGAGGTGGGAAGCACTGGTTCTCTGGACTCTCCTTCTCCATCTCCACCTGCAGCCCCGACATGACTGGTTAAACGCTGGGGAATACGACCCCTTAAAGTCAGGGCTCCTGGCTTCACTCCTTAATTCCGACTCGCACCGGCGATGTGATTCCGTCTCTCCACCTTTGCTCTCACCAGCCTTTAACTTTCCTTGAGAATTCTCGAAGGAACTCAGACACTAATGCATGTGTCCTGGCTTTGTTACAAGGATTGGAGATAAGCCATGAATAAATGGAAGTTAACATTCTGAGGCTTCTTGTTATTATGTTTGGTTTCCTTTGGGCAGATTTCGAGAAAGCAGCAAACGCCCAAAATTGCTATGTGGATCGACTGCGGCATCCATGCCAGGGAGTGGGTCTCTCCTGCTTTCTGCCTGTGGTTCACAGGCCACGTGAGTACTCACGTTCTCTCTGTGTGCTCGACGCCCCCGGTACAGTGTCAGGGGGCTGTTTATCACAGGCCTTTCCCGGGGGTCACATTCTTGATTTAAAAATCTCTGGGGGTGAGGCTTGGCCAGCGACCATCTTCCCAAGCTTCCCAGGTGACTTTCATGCGTGTTATGCTTGAGAACCACGATTTCCAGCATTTCAACCAGCTGAAGGGCTGTCGGCCTCTTCCGTCCCACATTTTTAGCCAGGGCCAAACACTGGAAAGTGAGTCAGAAATAGTAGCCATGACAATATTTTTTACAGATGGAAGAAAGAACTAAAGCAATGAACTAAGCTGAGTCTCAGTTGATTTCTTTTGATTTGAATTATTCAGACATCTCTTGCCACAGTTTGCTCTTGGAAACTGAACATCGAAGTACAACATCACTGAGCAGACCATATCTTCTCATATATCATAATAAGGGATTTTTGTCCCTGAAGAAGGACATGGCATTGAAAACCCATATATATATATAATATATATGTATTATATATAATACATATTTATATAAGGCAAAGAGTACATCATAAAAGTAAAAAAATTAATTACTTTAGACCTCTTTAATGATGAAAACGTAAAAATTATGGTTTAGATCCCCTAAAACGGACACATATGTCCTCTACACTGACGTATACAAAGAGCCATAGCTACCCCAAGATAACTTAAAATATGTGTGCCCTCATAATGGGTATTACCGTCTCTGATTTGCGTGTACACGGTAACACAAGATAGATGCGTGAGGAGATTAAGAGATTGCCACTTCAACGGAGCCGTCTTATCCACTGAGCTACACTGAACGTCGACATGTTTGGCCTCCTCTGGGTCTCGTCAAACTCGTCTCTACCCACCTTCATTTGACGCACTATCTCTCCTTCCCCGCAGTGGGAGCTGCAGCCTCCCCAAACCCACCGGAAAGCTCCGCCCCCCAACATTGGTACTCCCCGAACCAAATGAGGGGGAGTTCCCCACTGGCTAGACACTCAACACAGCCCAGGCACTTGGCGATCTGGAACCTTCCCCATGTTCGGTAGCTTCTCTCACCCTAGGGAATGGCTGAAGCAGCAGTTGGTGGAGAGAGAAAGGCGCAAAGCAACAGGGAGAACATTTATTTTGCATTCTGGAACTGAACCTGGATGGGGCCAGAGAGAAATTTCCATTCCCACGGACTCTAATTCACATGGGCGAAGTCGTCCTTAACTGTGGTCCCTCCCAAACTTACCTCCCTTCCCCCTGCCCCGGCTGCCACACTGCCCCCCCACCCCATAGGCAGTGTCAGGTGAGGCCTGTTAAGAAACTCCTAGCCGGTATCTGGGAAAAGCTACTGCTGATTTTAAAGCCAACTGATCTGATGCACAGAAAACACCCTCCAATGCAGCAAAAATTTAACTCCACAAGTTGTGAAGACAATGTAGAAATTGTCTCTAGTCCTGTCTGGGCATAAGACAAGGTTGAATCTCTGATTGATGTGGCTTATTAAAAAAGGAGTGGAATATATTTAGGGTTTTTTGCTTCCTTAAATCTTTGTAGTGGATCTTATGGGTTTTGTAATTTAATTTCATTTAATTATTTTTGTGTTTCGAAGGACACTTTAGAAAACGGATGGTTCTGTGTTCTGCCTCCATTAAATGGGAGAACCATTTGTCCCATTTCCAAGGAGTTTACATCACTCTCACTCGGCAGCTCAGTGCCCTGAATTCAGTCTTTCCAGGAACCGATATTCTTCCTGAAAGTTAAATTTGCAAACCTGAACATGGCACATGACTTTTTAAAAAAGAAAAGCACGTAAAAGAAACAGACTGAGTTTAGAAGAACTTAAAAGAGCTTGTATTAACCATCCTTGGTTTAATTGTAGGTGACTCAGTTCTATGGGAGAGAACACCGGCACACCAATATTTTGAGGCACATGGATTTCTATGTTATGCCCATAATTAATGTGGATGGTTACGACTACACGTGGAAAAAGGTAGGTGAAGGCAAAGAAAATAAACACCTGCCCCCTTGTGGATGCAGAATACACAGGCTGAATCATTCATAAAACCCTGGGTCTAGGAACAATGGTTTCATTATGAAAACAGTATGGAGAAGTTCAACTATACATGAGTGGAAATAATTGTATAGTAAACACCAATGTACCTGTCAGACAGTTCCGGAAATAATCAATCCGTAGCCCATCTTTTTCATCTCTATGCCCGACCTGCTTCTATCTTGCTTTTATTACTCTGAAGCAAATCTCAGACATCATACCATTTCACCAATAGATATTTCAGCATCCATCTCTAACTGAGGTCTTTAAAGAGTAAGCAGAGTACAGTTATATCTAAACATTAACAGCAGTAACTTAAAATGAAAGGTTCAATCAGTATTTCAATTTCCGATTCTCTCATAACTTTTTATCACATTTCTCTGGTTCAGGATCCAAAGAAGGCTACGCTGCCATGACTGCTCTGTATACCTTTGAACTCTATGTTGATCCATAGGTGCTCTTGCTCTCACTCTTCCTCGCAATATTTGCATTGAACAAAAGAGTCTCCCGTTGTCTGGACTTTCTGATTGCATTTTGCCATGTTGCAGTTCAACCTATTCTGTCCTCTGTACTTCCTAAAACTCTAGAGGCAGGAGCACTTCACTGTGACCCTGTGTTCTCACCAGACTGTGCACAGTGTCCAGTTGTAGCTCTTTTGGAAATATTCACTACCCTTGATGCAAAAATGCCTGGACCCGTTTATTCCTACTAGCAATCCTTTGAACAGCATTTTGATTTATAAAGTCATACATTGGAAGACCTAGAACAGAATCATAATTGAACTTTTATTCTAACTGGTATGTGAATTGGTATCTTTTAACTCAAGCATGAGCATGCGTGTCTCCATCAATGTCATCTATACTGGGGACCATTATCAATAGCTTTCTGGTCCATCAAGATCATGGTTCATGTAAACCACTCAAACAATCTGAAGCCCATTCCTTTCTCCTTTAATGGGGGGGGACACACAAAAATGTTACTGAGCATATATCAGCTCAGAGACGCCTACTTGCACAGCACATGGAAACACTGAGGGGGGTGAGAATTATTGCCATGATTAGAAACACAGGAGATTAGCCAGGAGCCATTGACTGTAAGGGGAGTTTATGCAGAAGAGATTGGAATGGACATTGGTGAAAAAAATCATCCCAGGTAAGAGGAATGCTGGGAAACCAAGTTTTCAGGTGGGGGTGGGTGGGCAAATCCTACACCGAGCAAATGAGAAATGCTGAGCACAGCACATAATACGTATCTGGTGTTCAAGGAATGGTCACATCTCTGTGTTGATCTTGTAATAAATCCATGCCTTCGACTTGAATCACGGTGGCATTGAGCCACCCTTTTGCTGTTGCCACTTTCCAGCTGTCCTTTGCGTCTCTAACTTAACTCTGCCATTTAGTCCCTGCAGTTTGAGAACCTAATTTCTCCAGGGAAACTGTTGCTACCAAACCATCAGCCAGGGTGCGGGTGGGACTGGGTGGTTTGGTAGGAGGACTGGTGGGGGGGGGGAAGAGTGCCAGCCACATCACCTCAGTGACGGAACCCCAAGTCTGTGCAGTGATTTACAGGATCACATTGCCTAGGTTTCCTCAAGCAGACAGTGAGGAGTTTGCTCTGTGTTTACCAACTGGAGTCAAAGGGGGCCTGAGGCTGGGGGAGTCTCTCTGCTCTGTCCCCTGGAGCGTTGAGAGAGTGCTGAGTTCAGTGTAAAGAGCATCGAAACGTGTGACTCAACAATATTGCAGCATGATCGTCAAACTTGCTAAGAGACAAAATCTTTATGATCGCCACCGCAAAAAAAGAAATGATAATTATGTGATGGGTGGAGGTGCTATCGCTGCAATAGCGATCATATTACAATATGTGAATGCCTCAGGTCAACATGCAGTACACCTTACGCCTTAAATTTATGCAATGTGAGATGTCAAACGTACTTCTATTAAAAAAGAAACTCACGTCTCACAGTCTTAATTTGAGTTGAAACACTACGGTGTCTTACTTTTCTTAGAAGAAACTCAAAATGACGATGCATCAACTTACTTTAAATGGAATAAGGACGAACAGGGAGGCCAAAAAGCAGCCGAGCAAAACCAGGTGGAAATAGTATCTGTCTGGGTCCAGCCTGATCAAACAAACATTATGATTTTGTTTGGCTCACACTCAAGCCGTGTGAGTGAATGTGATGACGAGCCCAGCAAAAGAGCTGTAAGGCCACTGACCACAGAAGGGGTGGGCTTGCAGGAGAGCAACATGTCCCTGGCCACTGCGGTTGTCAGAGTCAGGCCTTTCCTGCCCTGGCTGGTATCACTCAGTGGGCTGGGCATCATCCTAGGCCCAGAGATCAGCAGTTCGATTCCCGGGCAGGACACATGCCTGGTTTGTAGGTTTGGTCCCTGGTCGGGGGGTGTGCGAGAGGCAGCTGATGGATGTTTCTCTTGCGCACCATTTCTCTCCCTCTCTTCCTCCCTCCTTTCCCTCTCTGTAACAATAATTAATATAATCTTAAATGAATAAATAAAAGTCATGTCTTTCCTAAAACCACAGACATGGCCACCATGCTTATGTGTATTTTGTTTACTCAGGACCGAATGTGGAGAAAGAACCGTTCTTCCCATGGAAACAATATTTGCATTGGAACAGACCTGAACAGGAACTTCGCTTCCAGACACTGGTGTGGTAGGTTCTTTGTTTCATTCGGAGCAACGTCTCTGCGTTTAAAAGATGACGTTCATGGAGAAAGGCCCGTTATCTCCAATGAACAAGAGAGGGGAGGCCCATCCGATTTGGGAGATCATTTAAATAATGAACAGTTTAGTCCAATGTAATGCTGTGGAGATTGATGAGAGTTAGTGAATCTCCTCAAATAACGGTGTTCACTTCGCAGGGCGGCCGTGAGGGTTCAGTGAGGTGTCTCTATGACCTCTGCGGAGTCCCTGACACACACGCAGCACACACTTGGCGGGTGTCAGCTGGCGGGGTTGCTGTCGTGAGCTTTGTTCCACAGGGCGGCGGGGTTGAGACTCGAATCTTCATCTCGATGTGAAGTTATCTGTGAAGGGACTTGGATTTTCAGAACCTCAGTGAGGGACCGAGTTCAGAGCTAGTCAACTGTTGCCAGGAGGGAATAAATTTTTGCCCAGAGGTGGCTCCCTGGACATGCATCCCCATGAATTAGGGACAGAAAGGAGAAGTGATGGCAGGTGACAGGCTGTACGTGCTATGATCTTTCAAAGGAGTGAGTAAACGTCACTCCAGCACCAAGTATCAGCATCCATTTTGTCACTAACCCACTTACCAAGTTAGAAGTCACTCTGAAAACAGACTTACCTATTCTGAGTCCCCAAATGAGACTTTTCTTTTATGGGCTATATTGATAAGTGATTTTTAAAATATGTATCAAGTGAACTTACAATAAATTAAAGATGATAGGGTTTGTTTTTCTCACATAACCAGAGGTTTGGAGACTGGGCTAGCATTTCTAAGACTCCCTTAGACTTTCTCCAGGTTGCAAATGCTGGTATGTCTTCTACCAGCATATAAATAAATGACTTCAAAAGGAACATAAGACCTGGCTGGTGTAGCTCAGTGGATTGAGTGCAGCCCTGTGAACCACAGGATCGAGGGTTGATTCCCAGTCAGGGCACATACCTGGGTTGCAGGCCAGTCCCCAGCAGGGGACTCACGAGAGGCAACCATACACTGATGTTTCTCCCTCTCTCCTTCCTTTCCCCACTAAAGATAAATAAATAAAAATCTAAAAAAGCAGGAACATAAACAACATTTAGTGGCCATTGAAAACACGCTCTTTACAGAGCCCTGTCTAATCCATGATCTAACAATGTTATACTGTAGATGTTAGGAGAATCCATTGTGAGGGAAATCACAAATCCCACTAGTACGCATGTCCCTCATAAACCCAGACTATTGATTGTACCGCAGAGAGAGGCGCGTCGAATTTCTCGTGCTCGGAAGTCTACTGTGGCCCCTACCCCGAGTCGGAACCCGAGGTGAAGGCAGTGGCCGGCTTCTTAAGAAGAAACATCAACCACATTAAAGCCTACGTCACTATGCATTCCTACTCTCAGATGATAGTGTTCCCGTATTCCTATAACAGAAGCAGAAGCAAAGACCACGAGGAACTGGTAAGTGCTGCTCAATTATGTTTATCATTAGCATTTCAGACGTAAAAAGAACACTTGGTTCAAGAATCAGAAAACCCCTCTAGAGTTCTGGTCTGACTCTACTGGGGACAACTCTGGGTCAGGGCTCATTGAAGGGAAGCGAAGCACAGGGCTTACCCAGAGGGCACGAACTTCGACACAGCAGATGGGCTCTCCTAGGAAACAAATCAGACTCCCCTTGGAGATCAGGGGGCAACCATCCCACCTGGGTGTGACCTACCTGTGGAGCCGTATAAGCGAGGACCCAGGACGTGAGTCTCTGGACTTCTGCATCTGCTTTGCGGTCACTAGCTTTCTGCTCCAGACAATCGTCCCAGCTCAGCGCCCGTCAATTCGATATGAGCCTTAGGAATTGTTTGCGCGTTGACCTCCTTAACCCCAAGGGTCGTATCAGAAAACACCTCAAACTGCAGCATTGAGACAAGAGCACCCCCACACACACTTTTGGAATGTAGTGGAGAGTGCGATAAAAGTAAAGAAGAAGGAACGAGAGCACACTGTTGACAACCAGGAATAGATACGGTTTCCGCCAAGCATTGGGAAGACAGAATTTCTGTAGACAGACAGGGAAGGGAAGGGCGTCCCTGTGGGAAGCAGGTTCAGGGGCCTGGGAGGGTGCCACAGTGAAGCGTGAGCCAATGAAGTCAGCTGGTGGAAATAAGGTTGGCTTGTTCGAATGTCAGAATAAATTTGCATTTTATTCTGTAGACAGTAGGGTTCCTTTCAAACTTTTATTGTGAGCAAGGGAATGGCGGAGCCTCGTGTCCACTGGAGCTCCTCTGGGCCGTCCAAGAGAGGGACGGTGCACCTCAGCAAAGGTCAGGAAGAGCTGGACCCAAGTGCAGTGGGACGCAGACTTAGTTATTATCTCGCTCCATACCAAAGGCGAGACCTTCTGTCTTGGATGCGTCTTTGGGAGTTATTAGACATTTCACACAAGAACAAAACAGAGTTTCTGAGAGGGATGAGAGGGGGGTCAGGCACACTTTGGCGTGGTACCGGTTAGAGACGTCGGAGTCACAGTTTGGTGATGCTTTTGTCTAGGAATGGTAGAACCCCAAGTTGTTTGCCTTTGAATATAGTTATACTTCATTTTACAAAATAAACTCCTAAAAAAGGCAGGCAAGAATTAACATTTTTATCAAATTAAATAAAAATTTCAAGGTACTGGAAGAGTTATGTTTAGAGTCACTCAACTGTGATTTCCATAATGCAAAACAAAACAAAACAAAACAAAAAACCCAAAAACCCGAAAAGCAAAAACAAAATGTATTTTTAAAGTTAATTTATTCTTCTTGATTTACCTTCTGGATAAATGCAGATTTCTCATAGATAGTTTTCCGCACCTTTACTGAGATATAATTGACATATAAAATTGTGTATGTGTAAGGCGTACAAGGTGATTTGATAGGCATGTATATTGTGAAATAATTACCTCAATAAAGGGAATTGACACACCTGTCACCTCACATCATGACTGTTTTTTCTTGTTGCGGTGAGAACAGGAAAGCTCTACTCTTTAGGGAACTTTCACGTATGTAACTCGAATTGTTAACTGTAGTCACCAGCTGTCCATTCTATCCTGGGACTTAAGCATCTTACAACTGCAAGTTTGTACCCTTTGCCCAGCAGCACCCCCTTTCTCCCAGCCCCCCACCCCCACCCCAGCTCCTGGCGACCACCATCCTGCTGTACGTTTCTGCATACAGTACACTCTGAGTCTGTGACTCTGATTGGTTTTTCTTTAGAAACTTCTCTTCCTGCCCCATTCGAGGACTTTCCATTAACTGAGTTTTTCTGTCCTGTTGCCCTCAGTCTCTGGTGGCCAGTGAGGCGGTCCAGGCCATCGAGAGCGCCAGTAAAGGCACCAAGTACACGTACGGCAGCGGCTGGGAAAGCCTGTGTGAGTATTTCTTCTCACGACCTTGCAGAGCTGTGGGGTTGGTCCTCACAAAATCCGGGTGTTCTGTGTTTCTGTGTCAATTGAATTCTCTTCAGTGGACTCTTTAAACAAGGTCATGTGCAAAACAATTAGATTATAACAGATACAGATGGAAGCACTGTGGCCATGACGGCACTGAACAAGCTATGTCCAGTGAGTATTTAAAAAAAAAAGAAGTCGAAATGGTATTTCAGAAATTATGCTCATTGGTATAAGGTTGGGATTATAGAATTGGCATCGCACCAGTTGAGAGAAGCAGAAGAGGCCATAAAAGGTCAAAGGAACATGTGAGATGCCCAGGGCCACCAGGCTGAACACTATCCACCTCTAGGGGACTGTTACATTAGTTGTTTTTCAGTGACAGCCGGTGCCGAACAGCACAGCCCATGCTCACTGCAGCTGAATGTCTTTGTATCAGCTGCATACAGCTGCAAACAGCTGCATGGTTTGTATCACCGTGGTGAGTATATGGCAAACTCCTAACAAATATTTCAAATTCATTTATACTGGAAGCTCTTGACTGAGGGACTCCCTTGCACCCGCAGTGGGATAGCAGACAGTGGTTTTGCTCTTTCGAAGCTGGAGGGGGAGATGGGAGACGGTAACATAAACAGGTCCCTGAGTGTCAGCAAGTCACAAACCTGCAGGCTGTACAGCCCGAGAGCGAAGCATGGCTTTCCGTTTCCGTAAATGGCTGGAAAAAATCCAAAGGAGAATAAGATGTTGTGGCCTCTGAAAAGGAGAGGAAGTTCAGATCTCAGTGTTCCCGAATGCAGTTTTCTCTGAACTCGGCCACACTTGTTCATTTGCATGTTGTCTCTGACAGTTTCGTGACTGACGAGCCGAGTGGCCGTGACATGGACTCTGTGACCCACAAAGCCCAGAACACAGGGTCTGGCACAAGTAACACCTGCCTGCTTACATGTGTTTGGCAGGGTAATAATATGGGGGTAATAATTTATAGTTTTAATTTGAACATTTCACCTAAAATGTCCTACGGTGTGCTTGATGGTGATATTGTTATGTTCCAGAAGGACATGCTTATGGTTTTGTAATAAAAGACTTTCTAGTAAAAAAAAAAAAAAAAAAGAGGCATTATTTGGGCCAGACCTTGTATTTACTATCTGGTCCCTTACAGAAAAGTTTTCCATCTCTGATGTAAATAATTAGATAATAAAATAGAGTCTAATTCCATTGATAAGTGAAGAAAACAAAATAGGCTTACAGGCTTGAGGACGCCTGCAGGGGAGAGAGGCTCCTGAGGGACTGTGGCCTGGGAAGGTCTCTCTCTGCAGGTGACAGTCTGGGAGACCTACCTGGGTAAGTGGCTGCCAAACAGAAGTGGGGGGAAATCAGGGAGAGGGAATGGCAGGTGAAAAAGGCCTAGAGATGGTGCATTCAAAGTCCCAGAGCTTCCTTTAAGAGGTATGACTGGCAGGGTTATAAAAACACACTCATATGAATAATCAATCACATTCATATTATTTTCAATAAATGGCTCGGGCACCAGATGCCCTCCTAGTAGAAAGTCCAGAAGCAGAAACTTCTTCCTTCTCAACATCCCCAGACTGTCTCAGGGCGAACCGAGGCCAGTCTGGCCCACAGGGCACCTCTGTCTCTTGGTGTTACTGCTCCATTGCTGCCTTTACTGACACAGGTCCCTGCTGTGTCATAGAGAAACCCCGCGGCTTCCTTTCACAATTGGGAGCATTCTCGATTCCTATCCTGTTCTCTGCCATTGTTCCCTGAAGCATGACCATAGTGCCTCAGAGCTGGAGGAGCTCGGGGAGCAACTTCCTGCCACAGTGCGATCAGTCCCTCTCCACACATTCATTCATTCATTCAGGGCGCATCTGTGTGTGTGTGTGTGTGTGTGTGTGTGGAGAGAGAGAGAGAGAGAGGGAGAGAGGGAGAGAGAGAGAGAAACATGGGAATAATGGCTAGAAGCACAAATTACAAATATTGATATCGGTTGTCAGACCTATTTGCTGAATAAATGAATAACCCACCATTGATGGATGTTTTTCAATATTTAAACAATGTTTCAGTAAACACCTTTGTATCACATAAATATTAGGAGCAAAAAGATCACTTTGCATAATTCTATGGTTGCCTACCTGAAAAACAGGAGAAAATTAACCAAAAGTATTAGCAACAATTAAAAATTTAGGTAAGATGGCTGACTGTGAACTTGTATATGGAATCATTGTTAAGTATATATGTGTGTACAAACACAAAATATATATATAGCATATATATTTAAAAACCTAGAAAATGTTACTAGTGTACATTCAAAAAGACAAAAGGAGGAAACTGTCATGTTTTTTTGAGTGGGAAAGCAATATGGAAAATGTGTCTGTTGTTCTAAATTAATTTGTGTATAAATCCCAACGAACACTTAAATGATTTTGAACTTCACTTGAAAGAACAAATTCAGGAGAAGAGCTTGTAGAATTCCAAAAAAATAAGGCCAATAAGGGAGAATTTGCCCCGACTAGGTATTAAAACACATTAGAAACTTGTAGTAATTAAGATAGTGTGGAAATGAGCCCATAGGAGCTGGATTGAGATAAGAGTTTGGTGAATACAGGAAGACACTCAAATAAATGAGGAGTCGCAGCATCTCATAAAGGAGGCAATTCTAACCAGTTAAGGATGTTAGATCATTCAGTTAATAGGGCTGGGGAACCTGCTTAGTTAGGTAGAAAAAATCATGGGATTACTAACATGCCTTTCTCCAAAAGAAATTCCAAACAGGTAGAATATTTTTATGTAAATGCTTTGTAATAAACTGTGATAAAAGCTAACTAGCCAAATAAGAAAGAAAAACCCTCCCCATATTACACATGGCTAACAACACTAATGTTGCTTTTATAAACAATTTAGAAATTGGACCACATGGAAATATGAGTGAGACAATTGATTAAAACTATATAAACATGTACAATAAATGTACCGTACTGAACAAAATGTGCAATTCACTGGTAATGAAAGAAACATAAAGCAAGATAATTTGATATTATTTTTTTACCCATAAAACTGCCAGAAATGCAAAATTCCCATGGATGATGTGGCAGAGAGAAGGGACATATTCACACCTTGCCAGTGGAGGTATAAGTTGGTTCAATTCTTTTGAAGGTTATTGGCAACAGATAGCCTAACTGTAAAAAGCACATACCCTCATGCTAGCAATCTACTTCTTGGAAATAAGATCCTAAAGGAACAAAGAAACAGTTATGTGTAAACGAGGATGATTGTTCATTACTCAGAAATGAGGAAACATTCTAAAGGTCTCCAAATAAATATTTAACTTAGTTTATATCGAGTGGTACAGTGCAAGTGCTATAAGTTAAAAATGATTTGACTCCCGGCTGGTGTGGCTCCATGGACTGAGCGCGGGCCTGTGAACCACAGGATCGCGGTTGATTCCCAGTCAGGGTACATACCTGGGTTGCAGGCCGGTTCCCAGCAGGGGGCGCATGAGAGGCAACCACACATTGACATTTCTCTCCCTCCTTCCCTTCCCCTCTAAAGATAAATAAATAAAATCTTTTTAAAAAAGTTATTTGAACTCATCAATACATAAAGTTGATCATGGTAGATTATGTTACAAAACAGACTGTATAGAATTATCTTATTTATGTAGGAAAAATTAATGTAGAAAAAAATTAAAAGTAAGTTAAAATTATTTTTAAAAATTTTGGTTAAAGCCTGCACTGAGGGGAAAAAAAAGAGAACAGCGCGATGATGATGATGGAGGGAGGAGGGGTGGGGATGAAGGCTAGGTGGAGGCGGGCAGGTGGGGGAGTAGAAATCCAGACGTGTGTAACGGTGTTAACAACAACGATAAAGAAAAAAGTGCCAAATGTTAATGGTGATGAACAGTTCTCGGTAATGTGATTGGGTACTTTTAATTTTCTTCATAACTTGTTTTTCTCCAATCTCCCTTTTCAACAGGAAACAGTACTTAATCAGAAAAATGCTAAGCAATTTACATTTGTAGGAAAAGAAAACCCCATTTTCTCAGTTAACATGAAACATTTGCATTTCAAAAACTAATTTATTGCTTTCTTCTTGCAGACTTAGCTCCCGGAGGTCCAGATGACTGGGTCTACGACTTGGGCATCAAATACTCCTTTACAATCGAACTTCGAGATACAGGCGAACACGGATTCTTGCTGCCAAAGCGGCTGATTGAGCCCACTTGCAAAGAGGCTCTAGCCGCGGTCTCTAAAATAGCTTGGCACGTCATCCGGAACGTGTAATGCTCTTGATCTCCTCGCTCTGCTCCCACACGTTAATTTGCTGATTTCAACAAGACTGCCTCGTGGTACCAGTTTCTTTTTAAGTTTCATCAATAGTTTTGATAAAAAGTTTTCCTATTCCTTGGTGTTTGTCAAAGAACAAAATAAATGTAATAAACAAATTCGCATTTTTTCCTTTTTTTTTTTTTTTTTTAAGAAGCTAGATGCTGATTCCCCACCCACCCCACCCACCCCCGGGATTCAGACGCCGGACTAGGCAATCCCAATTATAATAGTTTATCGCAAATTAGTGGACACTATACAAAAACGTTGTGAAAACTACATTAAAGATTTTTCCTCCAAAATTTCAACAAATTTCCGCGTGTACCTTTAAGAGGCATAGACAATGGCCCAGAAATTGGAAGGGTGTCAAAAACAGGACTTTCGTCTGCCTCTGCGTTCATGAAACTTTGTTGAACAAATGAATGAACTTACTTTTGAGAACAAATGTGGCATTTACCGCACTTACAACAGCCGTTTATTTAAGGCATTATGTGATAAAAAACAACCCAAACTCTTCCTTTTAAATGCAAACTCTTCCTTTTCAATTGGGAACTTCAGAAGATCCTAGCCCCAGGTTTCTTCTGCAGCTACGTCTCAAAAAGAGGAATTGATTTCGCGCCCCAGGCCTGAGCTAGTGGAGGGCGTGTCCTCGAGGGGGCGGGGCCTCCGTGTGACGACTAACTTGGAGGCCGGAAGCGGCCCAGGGGCACAGCGGACCCGGACAAGCCCTCGACTTCCGGCGGCGTTTAGAGGACATCCTCTCCAGCGGCGGCCCGTGTTTCCGTGGCCTTGTCTCATTCCCTATCCTCTCTTTGTTTTTCTGTCCACGTCCCAGTCCCGCTTGACCCTGGCGAAGCGGGTGGTGGATTCCGCTGCTCACCCGCCCCCGGGGCCCCTCGCCAGCCGAGGGCCGGTTCCGGGGAGCCGCGCGCGCACCTCCTTGTCCGTGCCGTCGTCCTCCCGGGGCCAAGTCCGGGGACTGAGAAGCGTCTCCCCCGCTCCTCGGAGCGGCGGCGGCGGTGACAGCTCGGGACTGTGCGTGCGAAGGGAGCTCGGGGAGGAGGTACGCTTGAATTGCAAGACTTGGGGCAGAGATTCCTGGGGGTGTGGAGGAGGGGGCTGGAGTTGGGCTCCTGCTCAGTCTGGGAGCCGCCGCGATTTTGAGCCCCTTGAGCATCCCACCCTTACAACTCTGTAGCAGCTCCTTGTGCTCAGGCCTCGTTTCTCGCCCTCGTTCTGTTTCTGGCGAGGCTGTCTACGGGGATGGGGTGGATTCAGAAGGAATCATAGCGCTAGAGGTGCGCTTGGGGACCCTCGCGTGGGATTGGCGTTTGCACGTAACCGAAGGCTTCGGGAGTGTGGCTTTAGCCGTAAAATTCCTCTTCACACATTCCAGGCCTATTAGGGGAAGTATTGTCTCTTTCTTTTGGTTGTCTTTTGTCTTACCTATTTCCTGGCAGTAGTAGCTTAACGATTTAGGCCCTCGGAGCAGAGGAGTGCTACTAGACCGCCTTCCGTTCCCTAGGTGGATAGTTCTGACAAGTTACTATGTATCAGAAACCGGCAAGGTGCTGCCTGGCACGATGTGATGTATGGCGAAATGATTTATGCAGCTAGACAGTTATTCAGTAGGTATTGAGTGATGTTGGTAGAATCTTGACTACGGATCACTAGTAGCGTCAAGCTTTTTGGTTATTTTGCGAGATTTTCGGATAATCTGAACTATTCTGAAAATGATGGGAGTGTGCTCTCTTCAGGGGTTTTGTTTGTTTTTGAAGACATAACAAAAAGTTTGGAAAAGATCTTCACACCTCAAGTTTTCCAAGTCCATAGCACTCGCAGTGAATACAAATGCGCTTATGCAGGACGATCCCTGCGTGGTCAGCAGAATCTAGTTCTGTAATATTTGAAAGTACAGGTTTTAGGACCTAAGCGAAAGTATTTTTGGAGAGTTTTGTGAAAATTATCTGTAGATTTTCAAGTAATTTACAATTTCTTAGTGAAATACGTAGATCGTTACATGACAATTTCAACAAGAGGCTGAGAATGTTGATGTAGGAATGTAGCAATTCGTGTCAGTAAAAATAGTTGCAAGGTGAACCAAAGACTGTGGATCTGATAGTATCCAGTTTTATCAAACACATGCCTTTTACTAGCTTCCTAATTATTGATGATTCGTAATGAACATTGATTGCATATTTTAAGGTATGCAAATTAACCCAATTTCCATATCTGTAAATTAAAACTAAAATGGAGCAAGTAGATGTTTTAATTTGTGTACAAGTTACCAGTGTTAATTTGTATTATATGTATTGGCTTTTATGTATAGAAAGCAAAGTTTCTTAACATAGTTATTTGAAGAGTTGGTTCCCAGTGCCAGTCCATCTCCCCCATACCCCACTCTCCTCGTCATAGGAGTTGGAGCTGTTTCAACAGATATTTAGTAGCAGTTGAAGCAATAACAGGTGTCGATATATCAAGTGTCTGTTATTCTTTTTTTGGGGGGGGAAGGGTAGTTGCAGTTCTGTTTACTTCATTTTACAGTCGTTGCCAGAATGGAATTTTCTTCTGTGCATAGTCTTCTCAGTCCTTTTTTCCTGCACAGTGCTTCAGTGTCACCTTGCTCACACCCGTGTAGTCAGGTTAGGAATGTCAGTTCCGTTCACCATTCAGTTTGGAATTGCTTTAGTTTATCTACTACATCTAAGCAGTCTGCAAGATTGTTTTAGAAAGTTCTTTTTAAAAAATTCTCCCAGACTAGGCAGCAAATATTACTTAACTTTTTTCCTGTCAAAAGTATAAAAAATAAACAGGAATGGACCTTATTTTTAACATAGCCCTTTTTATTTTATTTGAGTGGATAGGGATTTATTCTACTACCACTTAGTACATTTATGTCGTGTTGGTTCCTTGGTTGTTTTGACAGTTTACTGATGTCAGCTGCTCATCAGATCGTGCCTGCGTTTATGTTACTGGGAGCCAGGACCCCAAAAGAACATCATTAAGGATGGAAGTGAGCATCCTAGAGCTGATACGTGTTTTACTAACAAGATTTCAGTACTTAGGCTTCAGAAGTAATAGTTTGAAAAGGGGCTCCTTTATATATTTTTTCTCAGCCGTATTTATAGTACGAGTTACAAACGTGATATTTATAAGTTTCGGGAGCAGGGGCAGACAGTGTCCACTTATAAAGACCCTCTTTTGTTGTGTCTTAGTGGTGCAAAATTTGTCCCCTGTTTTTCTTTTCAATTGAAAAAAATATGTAATAACTTCTGGTCTTTACTAACCCTGAAAACGGCGAAGAGAGCTGGGAAAGTACTCAGCAGACTCCCGCAAGGGTCACTCCGGCTTCCGTAATGCTGGTGTTGGGGAGAGACATGATGATGGGAAGTGCGATGGCAACCGAAAACCAAAGCAGAATTTAAAAACAAAACTGGAGAGAAAACCTTCAGAGTCTCTGAGCTGGGGGTCTTTAATGTCTGCATTTTAATTTCATTTTATTGTTTAATTTCTTTCACGTACTCTGAAGCATTTACTTTTTATTGAAGGCTGTTTAGATATAAATTGAAAAAGTCCCCCAACCGAGTCACATTTGCATTTTATTCTCTTGTAATATTTATCTTGCTTTGTGGACCGAAAATTTTAGGTTGAAAATTTTAATTAAGTCACATTAGTTGGTAGCATCGTTTTAAGCTCATTTATTACTTTATATAAGTAAAGGCTTTCCTGGTGTGTTTTAGATTACGTGTATCTATTCAGACAAACAGGACTGAAACTTTTCTATCTTGTATTCTTTGCAAGCATAAAGCATTTTATCTATGCAAAATTATGAATGTTTCAGTAATAATAATTAGGTAACTTGTTATCGTTAGGTACTGATGGAAGTTCCTAGATAGACAGATCAGAAGAAGGTCCTCTAGATTATAGGACCTTCCTGCACTCAAACCCACTGTTATTTTAAAGCAGGGTCTGACACTGGGACTCTGAAGAAAAGAGAATACCACTCTACTGCGTTGCTGTTCCTTCTTAAGGTGGTAGAGTCCGTTGTAGCTAGAAGTAAAATTCCCGGGATAAGCAGCGCGTAGGTGAATCCTGAGCAGTTCCTTATGTCTCTTACCAGTAAAAGCAACGTTGTTGTCTCTGCAAAGGAGCCGTTTCAGTGGCAGGAATGCAAGGAGAGGGGCAGCATGGAATCCTTAGTCCTCACCTGATGGTCTTTGCTGGAGCAGCCCAGACCCTTTGAAGTCTTCAAACCTGATGTCAGGGATGTGGGATTGGAGAGGATTCGGGAGACTGCCTGTTCCAGCCCCAGGTGGGGGGCAGTGCTGATCCAGGCAACCAGGGACAGAGCAGGAAGCCGGCGTGGGTGCCTCAAGGCCCTGAAAAAACCAGAAGGGAGGCCCCAGCAGTGGGAAACACTGCCATTGACCTGTCAGGAGGAGGGTGTGCTGGGTGGGAGTGAGGGTGGGAGTGAGGGTGCGGTGGGCGTAGGCAGTTTGAGGACAGAAGATCAACTGACGGTGGAGAGAAGAAACGTCGGGTTAGGGTCAGTTTCCTTTGAGGCAGGGTGCCGAGGTGGTGCGCCTGTTTGCCACGTTCCAGATAACCAGTCACAGCTAGTTACTAAAACTCATTCGGTTTTACATTTATTAGCACTTTTTTTAAATTAGTGAGTGGGCAATACAATGTAATCCACATATTAATATTTACGGTAACATAATGAAACTTTAGAAGTTTGTTTTTACTTACCAGTTCTCAGTTCTAAATTGTGAAGTGTGGTCTTCTCGATCAAAGCTCTACATTTTCCACATCTTTCTCACCCCCACTTAACATTGGCTTTTAGTTCTTTATGTTCAGTAAGTCAAGTAGACGAGTGAAATTTTACCAACTTTTCTTCTGTAAAATCACATTTGGGCTGAGAATGAGCCCAAGAAAAGCTCGGAGAACAGTTGATACTTTATGTTGCAGCAGATTCTTCATTTATGTGACACTCTATGCAATTTTTTAAAAATTTGAAATCTAAAGTTATTGTCTAACTTTGAATCACTAACAAGTCATTGCTATTAAAATAGTGATTATATTTTATATTAAAGAATGTATTGTGGTTTTTTGTTTTTGTTTTTTTTTTTCAATTTAAAAGTACCATATTGTATCACTTCATATTTTCCTCTTGGTTCATTTGTCAGATACTATCCTTATTCTTTGGGTCCTTTTAAAATGTGACCTGAAAAGTCTTTCACTGAAACAAACATTGTTAAATTTTTTTTTTTAGTTTTGATTTGGTACTACCAAATCAAAATAATTTTTGAAATGATATGCCTTTACTTTGAATAATTTTTCAAATGATATGGCTTTACTTTGAAACACATTAAAAGAACATCTGTGAACTTCACAAAGACCAGTTTTATACCACACAGAACTCTTACATTAACTACTTTTGACTACTAAAAGATTTCAACTAATATTTAGATCGTATAAAGTATATTGCTGTTTAATAGGGTTTTTTTCTTTCTCTTGCGCAGTTTCTGTAGTAGTGTACTCTTTAGGTTATTTTTGGTCTAGAATTTAGCGTTGTTTTTTTTTTCCTAACATATATCATACACTGTATTTTTTGGACCATAAGACACACCTAGGTTTTAGAGGTGGGAAATAGGGGGAAAAATGTGGTAAAATATTTAATAACATAAATAACACAGTATTTCACCAATGTAAATGTAAACAGAACTCAACAGCAGCATTAGCCACCATTATTCCTCCCAGATGGGGGGGGGGTGTCTTATAGTTCGAAAAACACGTGGCTTTTCCCAATATTTTCATTTTCGGGTGAATTACCTGATGACATATTTGGACAGTGCTTTATTGCAGTTTTGATTTTAATGTTTTATTTACTTCTGTAAAACATTTTTGCGATTTGTCTTCCTTGCTCCTAGCAGCCGTAGAATGGCCGGTTCCTTACTCTCGTGCCTTTGACTGTCATGTCGGGGTGTGTGGGTGAGAGACGCACCTAAACGTTCCCTGCTTAGATGGCCTGTTCCGTTGCAAAAGAAAGTCGTCTTGTTCTCATTGAGTGTTTTATGGGTTTTTTGTATTATTGAAAAATAAATATCCTTGATTACTGTTTTTCTGGACTACTACAAGACAAAAAATACTTAAATAGTCTTCATTTTTCTCCCAAGCTGATTTTTACAACATAACCAATGTTGCTTAAAGTGTATACAATATAACTTCTCCTACCAATAAAATTCTCACCTGTTTTTATGTTCCCATTTTTGAGATGCTTTATTTTCCAGTTAACCAATTGATGGAGAATGATAGTGCAACTTTTCCTTAAAAGATAGTTTCTGAATCTTGAAATGACCTGCATAAGGAACTTGGAAACTAATTGTTTTATAGTGTGTTTTCTGAGTACTGCTTACCTGTGGGAGTAAAATCTCACTCATTAACTCTGCAAAAGAGGTAAAATTCTAGCCAACAGACCCCAGAGTTACAAACTGATGGTAAAGTGTGTCTTAGAGGATAACTTCCGTTTACCTGTGACCTCTCCTATTTTTTTTTATCCTGAAAAAAAATATCCCTTGTAATTTTGCAGTGCTTTCTCCAGTTTTATCTGCTAGTAAGTTACGAGGTCAGTTATTTCAAATTGAAGAATTTTACAGTTTTGCCTCTTTCTTTTTTGGTTAAAGTAGTACAAAATGTCAAAAATTAGAAGGAAGGTCACAGTGGAAAATACGAAGACCATTTCTGAAAGCACATCCCGAAGACCCAGCGTGTTCGAGAGGCTCGGGCCCAGCACGGGGAGCTCGGCGGAGGTGAGTGGCCCCCCGGCCGTCGCGGGGCGCCTTTGCCGGCCTGCCCCTGAAATCTGAGGTGCGTCCTAGAACTGAGCTGGTAGGTGTGGAAATGGTGGTCAGGAAGAGGATCGAGGAGGAGGGTAGGGTTACGGGTTGGTTTTCTGTTGTCGTTTTGTTTTGTTTTTGCCCTGTTTTTTCTTTCATTATTTGGGGAATAATGTGTATCTCAGGTTAGCTGGAATGTGTATGGCGTTTGTTTTCATTTCGTTCCGCTGGCATCTGTTGCCCAGACGTAAGTGTGATGAAGCATGACACTGAACGGTGCTGTCTGTCTCCTAGACGCAGTGCCGGAACTGGCTGAAGACTGGCAACTGCCTCTATGGAAACACGTGTAGGTTCGTGCACGGCCTTTCACCCCGGGGCAAAGGCTACAGCAGCAGTTACAGAAGGTAAATCGAGGGCTTTGAATCGCCCATATACAATTAGAAGATGGTTTCTATAGTTTATCTAGTAAAATCTGAAATGCAACCATGTATTTGGTCAGATTTTCTGTTTCGGTGGTAGTCCTATGTATACGTAGTCAGAGAGCGACAAGAGCCTGTCAGTTGTTAATCTCAACATTAATACAGTTTGCTTTGAAATTAACTTATTGGGTCAATAATTACTTGTTTTGACAGTAGATATTTTTTTTAATATATTTTATTTATTTATCTTTAGAAGGGAAGGGAAGGAGAGAGGGAGAGAAATGTCAATGTGTGGTTGCTTCTTGTGTGTCCCCTGCTGGGAACTGGCCTGCAACCCAGGCATGTGCCCTGACTGGGAATCGAACCGCGATCTCTTGGTTCACAGGCCCGTGCTCAATCCACTGAGCTACACCAGCCAGGGCTGACAGTAGATATTTTTTATAACATACGCGTGGTGTACTTTCCCTTTCCCCAGTTATGTATTAAAATTATGCGTAAGACAGAATTTTATTAAAATTTAAATAGGGTATAATTTTAGCTTTTCAGAGGTTTTCCATTTAAATCTTGATGACAAAACATAAGCCGATGGGAGCTCTGGAGGTTCAAACGCAGTTTCTAAATCCTCATCACAGTGTGTTGGTGTGCTGACCTGAGGGCACACAGACTGCCTGTTTAGACGTCATTCTGTCTTCAGTAAAGGCAGCCCCAGGTTAATCTTCCCGAACAAAGATCTCTTCTTTTCCTTTCGGTTTCCTCATGACAGTTTTGTTGTGGCATCTAAAGTTGTGTCGTGTAAAAATGGTCAGAAAAGAGTTCAAATTTGATTGATGAAGAAATAATTTACCTAATTCTAAAATTGGGTGTGCTGATCGATTGCTTTGGCTACAGGAATAGTTTAAAAGTTGAAATTAGCATTTGGAGGGTTTTTTTTTTAATTGGGTAAATTTTTTTTGGTGTGTATAGGTTTTGAAGCTTAATAGGATTTAAAATTCGAACCCTTAACATTAACTTACTTTCTATTCACTTAAATATTGTATATTTAGTTTACTTGTGATGCTGAATACTGTCGTATTTGTATTTTGATCGCCATTTGTTTTCTCTGTTACTGATAGGAAATTAGTCTTTGTAAGTTTAGTTTCCTGTATAAAGACATACCTGGGAAAGTATTTCAGTGATTTTAATGTTTTGTTTATATTATTACACATTTTTAATACATGCTTTAATTCATCTTCAAAATTTATAATTAACTGATGCAAAAAACTTTTTAAAGATTATATTTATTTATTTTTTTAGACAGAGGGGAAGGGAGGGAGAAAGAGAGGGAGAAAACATATGGTTGCCTCTCATGTGGCCCCCCCCTCCGGGAACTGGCCTGCAACCCAGGCATGTGCCCTGACTGGGAATTGAACCTGTAACCCTTTGGTTCACAGACTGGCACTCTAATCACTGAGCCATACCAGCCAAGTCTCTGCAAATATGTTCTTATAAAATGATATGTAAATACAGATTTTGCTGTTTTGTTTTGGGTTTTGTTTTGTTTTAAAGGTCCCCAGAAAGACCTACAGGGGATCTCAGGGAAAGAATGAAGAACAAGCGGCAGGATGTGGACGCTGATCCCCCGAAACGCGGTGCGGAGGAGTCGTCCTCCCCTGTCAGGGTGGGTAGGCGCGGGTTCCTGCAGTACGTTACGTTTCAGTAGCGACCCGTCTATGTTCCATTTGAAATGCTACCTGTGTGGTGACTGTGTATGTGGTGAACCTGTAAAATTGCAGAGTGGTGTTCTGTATAGAGAATGTAATTCAAAGGGAGAAACTCCCTGTCCCTTTGCCAGGGGAAAAAGTCCTCTGGCAAAACTTAGTCTCTGGTTGTTCACTTCTTGGCAGAAGTGAAAATGAAGGGAACTCACTGGTCAAGCCCAAGCTGGACTTGTCGGGGCTTCTGTCCCAGACGCGTCCTTAGGCTCTCAGAGTTCAGCCGGCCAGTGGGTCCCGCCTGCTTCCCGAACGGTGGGGGTGGGGCAGCCTGGAGTAGGACACTTGTAGACAAGAACCCCGAGAGCAAAGCCTGTTGGGGACGGAGACCCAAGCGGACGCTGTAGGTAAAGGGAAGCACGCGTGACAGCAACACTTTGCCTGGGCCTTCCGGGCGGTTTGATGCGGTTTATTGAATAAAAGGGAACGGGTGTCGGTCAGGAGTGGAGGTCTTTCCCAGAGCTTTTTGTTTTTTCAAGGAATTTATTCTAACTGATTGAGGTACACTTCACATACAGTACAATTCGCCCATTTAAAGTACACCCTTCGGTGATCGTTGGTATATTCATAGTCAGGCGACTACGACCAGCCAGTTTTGGAACATTTCATCCCCTCCGGAAGGCACTCCACACCCCGTAGCAGTCACCCCTCACCCCCAGACAGACCACGAGTCCTAGGCTGCCGCCAGCCCGCTCGCTGCCACTGTGACTTACTTTACTGTCCCAGACGGGCACCTCAGTGCCCTCGTGGCTTTCGTAACCGGCTTCCTCCACTCAGCGTAGTGTTTTCAAGGGTCTTGAAAGATTCTAAGCTGTGTCTGTATTTTACTCCTTGTTTTTGCCAGATAATAGTCCATTGTATCGATACCTGACATTTTGTTTACTCATTCATCAGTTGATCATTTGGTTTCAAAATAGGGAAAGTCTCTTCTTTAAAAGCATTTGTAAAATAGCTAAATGAGTCTGGGTTTATGCTTATTGGGGCGTGTAGGCAAATGCTGTGATGTCACGGTGTGTGACGAGTCTTAGATCAGCAGTTGCCAGGATTGGTGCGTCCCTTTTTCGTAACTTGTTAAAGTCACAGGCCCGTGTGCATTTCATCCATTTTAAACAGTCCTTGCCCTGTGGTTTTCACACAGTGAACTATGTATATGATTATACATAGTATACTCTCACGTGCTTATCAAAGTATTAGATTTGCAATGTGTATTTTAAAATCTTACCACCCCTTGCAAGGACTGCATCTTCGTTCTTCAGTAAAATAGACTTAGTATGTCTTTTTACTGTGGTGCTACACTAAAGCTTGTCACTTCCTGTGCTTAGTAAGTCAGTGATTATTTACAGAACTGATTCTTTAATGAGCAAAATGAATGAAGTTAGAAATAGTTTCTATTGCAGTAACTGTCTCATACAGTTAAAGAATGTATAGTAACTTGCATGTATGTATGTACTTTTTAGAAAGAATCTTCAAGGGGGAGACACAGGGAAAAGGAAGACATAAAAATTACCAAGGAGAGAACTCCAGAAAGTGAAGAGGAAAATGTGGAATGGGAAACTAATAGAGATGGTGAGTTCAAAAATCTCTGTTTTTATAGTCAATTTATTGATTGTTCATGTTGCAGACCTTTGCGTGGGCTTCAGAGCACTTTTCACCTGTGATCTGCCTGTTGCGAATCATCGCACCGTCTTGCTTCTGCCCACTGAGGCCTGAGGCGGAAAGGGGCCTGTGGTGACAGCAGAGGCAGAGAAAGCCCTTCAGCTTCTTCATCCTTTTCCTCCCTACAGCTTCGACGTGTGGCCTCACGGGCCTGTAGAATTTTAGCGCATCTATAAATCTTCTTTTCCTCGATGGCAGAGTTAAAAAATTCAATCTAAATTTATATATTTTTACAATATTAAAAGATCTAACAGTTTTAAAGACCTGGAAAATTATTTCCAGGAAACAGTCTCGTGCCTCTTACAGACTGGTCGTGCGTGCAACTGTGCTCCGTTGTGGTTGACTGACTCGTGAGTGTGTTGAAACAAAATATTGCAAACCTCGACTGTCAAGATTGGATAGTTAACTTTCCTGAATGGTCAAGGGTTAACCCTTAACATATTCAGCATTCTTTTCATTTTAATTATTTTTGGATAAAAAAATCTGAACTATGTTAGAAACCTCCTATCTTTAAAAATAACAACTTCTCTATTTCTCTAACAATCACGCATGCTTATTGTTGAAACTTGAAAAGGTTCGGGAGAGCCTAAGTCAGTTTTCTCCCTATTTTCACGGCAGCTAATGGAGAGCCTCTCAGATCTCCAGGCCCTTGGTCTGCGCTGCTTGCTGTTTGCCACTCAGAGGTGATGGGACTCCTCGTCCGCAAGCCCCCTCAGCCTCCTGCCCCGCACCCCCAAAACCTAGTTGTTCGTCCACACCCGCGTGTTTCGTTCCCCTTTTGCTCTCAGAAAGGTCTCCCTGCAGCTGCGCGGGGTTGTATTCCCGTGTGTTCTGCACCTCATTTCCTTCTGCCTCGCACGCAGTCTTCTTCATTTATTATACATCCATCCTGACATTTTTCTCCTCCCGTGTTACTTTTACCTGTCACCCAGCTTGTCCCCAGTTTGCAGCTAAACTCTGAAAGAGTTCTGTGCCCCACTGTCTCCATGGTTTCCCTCACACTTACTCAGTCTTCTGACCCACGTCTTCCCTAAATCTGTTTCCCAAGCTCCCTAGTACCTTCCCCTTTGCGGAGTAAATGGAGACGCTCTCGTCTTCGTCCTCCGTAACCTTTCCGCAGCGTGACACATCCGCGAGCCCCTGTCGTCTTGAAGTCCTTTCCCTCGTGGCTCCCTGTGCCGCTCTTCGGGTCTTTGCTCCCTGCTCAGGCCTCTCTGCCCTGCCTGTTGATCGCCGACACCTTATTCTAGACAGTCATCTAAAAGTACTGACGTGCTTTTAATACAGGAACCTTTTCTTTATTCAGTGCTTTGGAACGGCGAGTGAACGTCTTCTGTAGCGGTTCCACTGCCAGCACCCTCGCTTGGCTGTTTGTGTTTTCTCTTGGTTGAAACTGGCGCAATTTGAAAATCGTGTGCCTTTCGGTGTCTTTAATGCTCAGAATTTGTTTCTGAGTGTTCTGATTTTATCTTTTAAAAATCCCATTTTCTAACCAAAACACAACCCCCAACTACCCAAAATTACTCCCAGAAAATCTAGGAACCTTACAAATATTTGGCTTCTCATAATCAGCCATATTGATTTGAATCCTTTATAGAAACAGTATATATTTCCTTTGTCTTTTAGAAGTATGTTAATCTAATAAAAGGCTCTACCATTTTAATTGATATAATAGTTGAAGAGATTCTCTAGTTTTTCATATAGATTATTATTATAGCTTCTGACAAGTAATGGGGTTTTTATTTTAAAGATTCTGACAATGGAGATATTAATTATGACTATGTTCATGAATTGTCATTGGAAATGAAGCGTCAGAAGATACAGAGGGAATTAATGAAGCTGGAGCAAGAAAACATGGAGAAGAGAGAAGAAATTATTATTAAAAAGGAGGTGTGCTATTTATTGAAATATATGTTAGTTAACTGACATCAACATGGATATCAGAACGCACTAGCTACTTGCTGCATTTTAAGTTGTATGAGGATACTGACATATATTGGTCAGCCTGCTCTATATCAGTCACTTCCTCTATGTTAATCATTTGGTCTATTAGATAAATAGGAAATCTCATTCCTGCTGAACAGGTGAACAAAACGGAGGTTCTGTTGCCTGGGGTGACCAGCTCATGTAGAGGGGGTTGGACTGTGTGTGTGTCTGTCGTTTAGGCCCATGGCTGCTTCTAGAAAACTCGAGTCATTTCTAGAGAGAGATAATTTATTAGAATATAATTTGTGGGTTTTTTAGAAGACTTTGAAATTTCCTAACTTTAGTTTGTTTTATTGGTGTTAGTGTCATTTAGGGCAAAAAACGCAGGTTCAGAAGTCAGACTGCAGTCAGTACTTGATGTTGTAACAACACTTAGTACTTCGTCTGACTTGCGGTGCGATTTAAAAACACCTGCCTTTCAGCCTGAGTGTCCAGCCCTGAGGGAAGTCCCTGCACTGACTCACTGCATTTTTCTGAAAGGTCTCACCAGAAGTGGTTAGGTCAAAGTTATCTCCGTCGCCTTCTCTGAGGAAGTCTAGCAAGTCTCCAAAGCGAAAATCAAGCCCTAAGTCATCGTCCTCGTCCAGCAAGAAGGACAAGAAGACAGCTGCGGTGTCCTCTCCGCTGTTGGACCAGCAGAGGTCAGTGGGCTGGTGGACGGGTGGGAAAGACACAGCTCTTTCGGAATTGACGCAAGGGGGAGTTCGTAGATTACAGAGGGTGCTCTGAATGCTTTCGGAATTGAACGGGTTTTGCTTTTAAAAAGACTGAAATGTTTCACTTCAAAGGAAAATAATAAAGAACAATAAAAAAGTTTCACATCTACGTGTGCTTCAGAGATTTTTATTTTTTTAAGAAATGAAACATAACATACATTTCCTGTTTTCCCTCTTGAATTTGGCTTTTATGATACTTGTGTGTATCTTCATACTGTCTTATTATTTTGCAGTATATAGTGGTATTTTCATCTGTTGAATCGTAACTGCAGATTTATTATAACCTTCCTTCTGCAACTTTTCATTTAATGTTTTTTACATTTATCTATATTGATATATTTAGCCTTAACTTTTTAGTATTTATACTTTATGCCTATTTACTTTGTTGAACATTTACATTGTTTCTAGTTTTTATCTAGTAGATATTATACATAATGAACTTAATTTCATTATGTACAATTGTCTCTTTGTGTACATGACCACAAGGTTAAATTCTTTATAGTGTATACATAGTAATATATATTTCCTATGCATATATTTTACATTGTATATTATAGTAATATAAACATTTTATGTAAATAACCTATACTTTATAATAAATATTTATATATTTGTAAATAAGTATACTCACAATATAATGAACATTTTATATAAATATTTTATTTCATGAAATATAAAATGTAAATATCTCATATTTTATGAAATATAAAATATAAACATTTTATATGTTGTATGTATATTTTATACTACTATATATTAAAATATATTTTAAGTAGTAATATATTACTTAGCTTCGATATTGATTTGATAGTAGAAGGAGAACGATATGGAAAACAGTATATTTTAGGTACAAAGAAAACACTGAATTGCCTGTCCCATTTCTTTAGCTCTGTAGTTTCTAAGCGTCACTTCTGAGTCATACAATAAACTGTTCAAAGACACGTCAAACCACAAGTAAGGGTTAGAATTTCATTTAAAATTTGGTGAAGTATTGCAGCCCGTGCCCGTGAGTCACCTGAGGTGACAGTCAGGTCGACAGACTCTTCAGTCTTTGTCTTGCACGGTCACCACACTGAGGAGGCCGAGGGGGTTGCAAAGCAGTTCATCTGACGCTCTCCCTGGGAGCCGGCCGTTGCCTCTGACCTCGTGTGAGGCACAGCCTGGCGCCGAGCGTTACGTCGATGAGTGAGACCCCCTGGGCCTAGAACCAGCCAGCGTCATCTGTTCCTGCCCTCCACGTGGTTTCTCAGTTTTTATTAAGAAGTAAATTACTTCTTTGCTCATTTCTCTGTTGTCTCGATACTGATTACTAGTATACAGAATAATCAAAGGCAAGTTTTTGAAAGGAATGCTACCATTTTTTAAATGTGCTTTGTTAAAGTGGAAAAAATCTATTAGACCTTCCAAAAGTATTGGGACCTCTAATGAGAGCTTTGTTACCTCCAGGAATTCAAAAAGCAACCAGAGTAAGAAAAAAGGACCTCGCACTCCTAGCCCACCCCCTCCAGTACAGGAAGATATTGCTCTGGGGAAAAAATATAAAGAAAAGTATAAAGTAAAAGACAGGACAGAAGAAAAACCAAGAGATGGAAAGGACAGAGGACGGGATTTTGAAAGACAGAGAGAAAAACGAGACAAGCCCAGGTAAGTAGGTAGGATTCAGTGTTTTAACAATTTTACTTTTGTGAGGTCGGAAATACTTTTCAGAAGCTTTTAGGCATTACTGTGATACATGTTTTTTAGTGTTACTAAGTTTTGTGTGTGTATTTAATGGTTCCCATATTGAATTATGGATACTTTAATAAACATTAACTTAAGGTTTTTTACTGTGATTAAAAGAACGAAATTTCCAGTCTTCATTTTTAAATGTACAGTTCAGTCAGTAAACTGTATTTGCATTGTCATATAAAACATATCTCCAGAACCTCTTCGTCTTGCAAATCTGAAACTGGAGACCCACGAACAGCTCCCGGCCCTCTCCCCTGCCCCCCCAGCCGCTCAGCCCCTGGTGACTGGAATCTGACCATGTTCGGTACTTACATGAATGGAATCATTCGGTCTTTTTGTGACTGGCTTATCTCAGTGTAATGTCTCTGGGGTTCATCCGTGCTGAAGCGTGGGGACAGGATTGCCCTCCTTCGGAGAGCTGAGCGATATTTTGTCCATATACCGACCGCATTTGTTCCTCCCTTTGCCTGTCGGCGAACTGTGGGCGGCCTCTGCCTCTGGACCTCTGTGGACAGCACCCTTCCTTCCGCACACAGCATGGTCTGTCCCATCGGTTTTTCTGGGTCACAGGGTCTGTGGGATGCTTACAGATTCGATAGGGATGTTTTGTGCTTGTTAGTTTTTTGAAATTTGTTTTCACATTTTTTCATGAAAATAATATTTTCTCAAGGGAAAAATCAAGCGCTTTAGAGCTCTCCCAGTCTCTGTCTTTTGAGTTGCAGTGTAAGGGAAGGTGCACGAGCCTTGAATTCACAGGAGCCTGTTTCCCGGCTCCGCCATTTACCCCGAGTGAGACCCTGAATGAGTAATTTGTTCTCCTCGAGCCTCTGTCTGTCTGGCTGTGCCGTGTGCACGGCATTGCCTCCGGGGTTGGAGTGAGGATTAAGTGAGGTAAAGCTTTAAAAAGTAGGCAGAGTGCTCAGTAAGCACACTCCACGTCTTTCTACTTCAGTAGTCGATGACAATACAGCATTAAGTTCAGAGGGCGGAATTATTCGCACTGTCAGCTTTGACTGTGGCATTCGGGTTTCGTTCGGGGGAAAGGGTGTCCCCTGGCGTGCTCTTCATCCGTGCGTTTGCCTCGCAGGTCGGCCTCCCCTTCGGGACAGCACCGCTCGCCCGTGTCTTCCCGACACCACTCGTCCTCCTCGCGCTCGGGGTCCTCCGTGCAGAGGCACTCTCTCTCCCCTCGTCGGAAGAGAACCCCCTCGCCGCCCTACCAGAGGACGCTGACTCCGCCGCTGCGACGGTCTTCCTCGCCATACCCGTCCTCACACGCCCCGTCGTCCCCGCAGAGGAAGCAGAGCCCCCCGCGGCAGCGCTCGCCCCTGCGCGAGAAGGGGCGGCACGAGCACGAGCGGGCCTCGCAGGCACACGACCGGCGGCACGACCGCAGGGAGGGTACGCGCCCACTCTGCGTCTTCGTTTCCTTCTCAAGGCTGCTCACGCGCACGTTTCCTAATTTAAAACGTGGCCATTCGGGCCTGCTGTTGTCATTAGGGGGAAGAGAACTGTCCTATTAAGTCTTCCGAGACACAGGAGAGCTCTCCAGGTGCTTGATGACCTGGGAATGTGAGCGGTTAAAGGACAGGGCCCAGCACAGGCAACGCTCCTCTTTATTACGTGAAAAGTCTTTCATTACAAAATCGTAAGTGTGTGATTCTGTAACATAGCAATGTCACGCTCAAGTGGACCCCGTGACACTTTAGGTGGATGTTCAAGTTGCCGTCCGTCTTGGGCGAGACACTCACGTCCTCACGTCTCCCACCAGCCACACCCAGTGGCGTCACTCCTGCTGCGCCCTGTGTGCGTGGACTAAGTGGGTGTTTCCTCGGAGATGTTTTACTTGAGTACTCAGTTCTAGAAGTTTTTGGCCATTTTATTCTTAGTGCATCCTTCTAATTTTTAGTTAGTTATTTAAAAAAAGGGGGGGGTTAAGGAAACAAAAGCAGCAAACCAGAGGGCAGAGGTTGAAGGCACCAGAGGTGTTTTGATGAAGACGTGGGAGTTGGCGGAGGACCCAAGGGTCAGTGCACATCACGTGACCAGGTTTCCAGGTGTAACTCAAGAAGGAGGTAAAGTAACCGAAGACGTCTTCCTTTCTGGATCCCTGAGAATTAAGTTTGGATTGGCGGCGCCCCGTTCAGGCTGAGAGGCTATCATGACCTGACAGGAGAGTCTTGCAGCTGCCATCTGCTGCCCCTGCCACTTGTCTCAGCGTCCTGTCCCTGCTTACTACCTTGGCAGGTTTTTCCTCTGACTCCTCCTGAGTTGGCTTTTGAATGTAATGACAGCTCAGGAAACACTTGCTCACTTGCAACAGTTCTGTTTAATATGCATGTTAAGAGCCTCTCTGTGAGTTTAGTGTAGCAGTTTCCCATGAAACACCTTGAACTTAGTTATTACTCTTTCCTACTAACAGCATAAGCAATAATTAATAAAAATTTTTTAAAGCTTTTAAAAAATATTTTTAGAGAGGGGGAAGGGAGGGAGAAAGTGGGATAGAAGCATCAATGTGTGCTTGCTTCTCGCACACCCTCCACTGGGGACCTGGCTGACTGGGAATTGAACCAGCGACCCTTTGGTTTGTAGGCCAGCACTCGGTCCACTGAGCCACACCAGCTGGGGTAAAGTTTTTTTATCCAGGAAAATGACGGATGCATTGGTAGGGAGTAGTGAGAGTGCCCATTTTATAGGTGGTCTCTATGTACCTGGTTTGGGAACCAGATCTACACATCAGTATTTATGGAGCATTGGCAAGATGGGAAAACTCTTTGTACCTATCTATTAATTTTAATAAGAGATTTAGCACCTGGAGTTGGCCAGGAATACAGTATTCACTCAGTGACTACTTACTGAATAAACACTCTTCGTCATTTCAAAACATAATCATCGTAAGCCGCCTAGTGAAGGGGAATAGCGTGCAGTCGAGTGTTTGTAGGATTGCTGTTCTTGTGGTAAGAGTGGCTCATGTTAGAGGAAGAATTTGTATGTGTTTAGGTTCTTTTTAAGGAGGACAGTTCTTTAAACTTCCATGCAGGAGATGTATGTTCCTCTCTACTTGGATGTCATTTCCTGAAATAAGAATAATGTTAGTGGAAGAATGGGGAGGTAGGTAAAGAACAAAATGTAGTACTTAGAAATATTTGTAAAGTCAGGTGGAGCATCATGAAAAGGTATTAAGTGAACCTATTTTTAGGCACTGTTGGTATTGGAGGAAGACTAGGAAGAAGTAACATACTCAGGAGATGGGATAGACACATAGCGCATCCTTGCCTAGCACCTCTGTCCTTAAATGGCACTGATGGACGTAGGCATCTGGACCTAGGACTTGGCAGGGTAGACGAGTTACTGGCATGAGAATCTGGAGGGTTTGTGGTACTGGGTCTTCGGATGCTTGGGAAAGTCTGTGGACCGAAGCCCTGGAGACACAGTGCAGAGGCGTGAATTGATCATGGCCTGGGTATGAGGCTGAGCCTGGAGGGGCCCGTGGCCTGGGGGCAGAGCCGGAGCAGCCCACTGAGGAGCCCGGTTTAAAGAGGCGGTGTTCTTCTTTGAGTTCTCTTGTTGATTCTTCAGCTCACGTCAGGTTCTTCTGTGATCCACCTGTGTCTGTCCTCGACCCATCTAAAGACTGGTTCCTAACCTTCGCAGGTTCCCATGAGGCATAGGGTTAACTGAGCCCTTTAAGTTCTGGGTCTCTATTTCTTCATTCATAGAATGACCAGTTTGGATTAAATAATCAGATTCATTCCAGCTTTTTAGTAACTAAAATTGCTCATTTATTTTTCTATGAAATCTTACAAAATGCCCTAAGTAGAGAAAGCTTTACAGACACGAGTGTGACTCCGTGTAACAGAAAAGAGAGGGCCAGCACCTGTTTGCCAGTCGGCTTCCTCGCTGTGGCCGCTCCAAACGCCTGACCCCATCCAGGAAGCCCTGTGTGGCCCAGCCCGGCCTGAGGTCCGCAGGGGGCCTCGCCCAGTGGTCCTACAGCGGAAGCCATCAGTGACAGGGGGTCGACTTCTTTGTTTCATTCAGTTTTTTACGTAGGGGTAAGTTGGGGCACGGGAAGATCTTATTTAGAGCTTATCCAATAAAAACAATTATCTAAGTGTTAGTGAAATTACTTTTGGGACTTCAGCTTTTGGATGGATTTAGTTTTCTTACGTGAACAGGTTTTCTCCTTTGGTTTTCTGCAAAGGACATGAATTACCATTGTAATAAAATCTCAAAAGCTCCATATTAAATATATTACTTAGTTTCCCAAAATTTTGCAGAAGGAATCACACTTGATTTCCAAACTTTCGTTACAGAGACTAGAGGCAAGAGGGACAGAGAGAAGGATGCCCGAGAAGAGCGGGAGTACGAGCAGGAGCAGAGCTCTTCCCGGGACCACAGAGAGGACCGGGACCCCCGAGAGGTGCGGGACCGAAGGGACGCCAGGGACGCGCGGGACCGACGGGAGCTGAGGGACTCCAGAGACCTGCGGGACTACAGCAGGGAGGCCAAGGAGAGCCGGGACCCCAGAGACGCTCGCTCCACGCGGGACGCTCACGACTACAGGGACCGGGAAGGCCGGGATGCGCATCGGAAGGAGGACGCCTATCCCGAGGAGTCCCGCGGTTACGGCAGAAACCATCTGAGAGAGGAGGGTTCTCGTGTGGAACTGAGGGGCGACCCCAGAAACGAGTCTCGGAGTGAAATGAGGATGGGCAGGAGTCGGGGGAGAGGCCCCGAGCTGCCCGAGAAAGGTAAGGCTGGGGGATTGCTACTTGTCTGTTCACGGTGTCGTGGGTGCTTAGGTAGAAATTGTTGCACCGCCTGAGATTTCTTTTCTAAATGCATTATTCCTACCTTCAGTATCACTGTTTTTTTAAAGCAGTTTTCAGTTCATTGAATTTGTGAACTCTCCTATAAACTCTGAACAGGAATTGTGAGCTGAGGTAGCGAGAGGTAAGCAGGCCTGCCTGAGACTCGGGTTAAATCACGTCCTGCCTGTGGTCTTGGTGAGTGTGAAACACTCGGAAGTCTGCCACCAGGACCAAAAAAGACTCAAAGGAAGTAATTTCTAATGAACAGGTGTGTGTGTGTGTGTACAATTTAAAATTAGCATTAAAGGGGGATTAAAATGGTGGGCTTTCAAAAGTTGGTGATGTCAGAGACCAGTTTGTGCATTCATCAGTATTTGTGCTCCTTTGAACCACCTCAAATGATGACATACCAAGATCTTGAGCCATTTGGCTTATTTTCCCCTGAGAAAGCATTTGTTGTACCCAGTAACTACCTACCAAAATGTGTTGGACTACCTGCAACGGCTTAGACGGAATTAGCTTGGACTCTCTCTCTTTCTCGTCCACCTGCTTCTCGCCCCTTCCCCAAAATGCCACTGCGCAGTCCGTCCACTGTCACTCTTCTCATTGGTCTGCTGGTCTGTCTTCTCAGTGTCACTTCATGTTAGGCTGGAGGCGCCTCCCCTCCTCTGTTGTGGTTGTCTTGGCTTTTGGGGGGAACTGTTGGGGAGAGGCGGTTTCAGGCTCGTGAGACCCCAGCACCATCCCTGCACCCAGAAGCTGTCTGCAGTCCAGCTGCACAGGGTGGGGGCGGGGTGCGCTGGGGAGGCCACTGAGAGCTTCTTTCGCTTTGTTCCCCTCTGGTCATGGCCTCACCTCCGCCACTGGGCTCCGCTGAAGCCTGCCCCTGCCGCACGTGGTGGGGGGCACTTCTGTCCCCCCAGTTCTCAGGGCTGCAGGAAATGCGTGCGGTGGTCCTACACCCCTGCAGATGTCCTACGAAAAATAGACATTTATTGAAGAAGATAATCATACTCTGAGGGTTAGTTTCCCACATTTTTTAAATGGAAATTTTTAGATACCATGTCATGTCAACAAAGTACCTTGGTTCTGTGCTGGAATGTTTGTGCTTTAAATTTAATGAAAGCAATGATATGTAGCCACATTTTCATTGTTTCGTGATAGTTCTGTGAGTTACACATGAATCGGTAGTTTTATGTTTTATTTTGTTGTTTTGGGGGTCATCGAAATGTGTGTTCCTGCTTCATGGTTTCATCAGAGGCGAGGGTCGCTGGGACCTAAGCTCACCCAAGTCAGTTGTCGGACGCCTCAGGTGTCCCGGTCAGCAGTCCGTATGCTTCCCGGCAGCGATCAGCCCGCTTTGGGGTGGAAGTGAAAGCACGTTTGCCTGGCTGTGTTTCGGTCGGAGAGGCCGTGACCGATGGGGCCTCTCGAACAGACTGTCTGCGTGAGCGTTTGTGTGTCTCCCCTTTGTTTGCTTAGGGGGCCGCGGCACGAGGTCCTCTCAAGTCGACGGTCACGGCGGTGGCAGCAACTATCATGACAGCTGGGAGACGCGAAGCAGCTACCCCGAGAGAGACAGGTACCCTGAGAGGGACAGCAGGGACCTGCCGAGGGACTCCTCCTTCGAGAGAAGACACGGCGAGAGGGACCGCCGAGACGCCCGGGACAGAGGTTCGTGGGGTCTCGTTAAACAGGGGCCCGCGTCGGTCAGGGGGCTGGGTTTAGTGTGCTGTGTAGTATAAGGTGGCCTTTAAGACTTCTGCTTGTTGGCACATTTGGAACGACTGCGTTTACTCGTATCCTCTGTCTCGTTTACTCAGTGTAGGGAGAGTGTGTACACGGCTCACCACCCAGTGCCTGGGGCAGTGGCCGCGTGCGTCCTGCAAGCGTTGACGCGCCCTGCGGTGTCGCTCACCCTGACCCAGCAGCTCACAGCCCTTTAAAAGATAGGGGGTCCTCTGGGGTGCCGTTCCAGGCATTTCTGATTCGGGGGATACCTGAACCTTCTCATCTGCGTGTGCTGGCCACTCACTCACTAGCTTGCAGAACTGTAAGGACTGCCAGAGGGGACAAGAAAAAAGTGGTCATTGTAGGTCTGGGGTAGTTTGAGAAACCTCTTACTCACGTTCCTTCCTGAGAAGATGGGGTGCTTGCTTTAGCTAATGTTAGGTTCTCGTGTATCTCAAGCTAAACGTTTTCTGTTCTTCTATTAGACGATCTCTTAAATCAAATTTGAGGCAAGATTACTAGAAGCCATTTAAGAAGGGTGATAAGTACTTTCTTGCACAAGCTTTCATTGCCTGAATATATTGGGGCCTTGCACACTTAAAATGTGGTGAGAGTCTCACTAACCTTGGCTGATCACTGGTGTCAGGCTTTACTGTGATGCTGAAATTAATAGCAGACAAGATCTGATGGAGCAGGGAATTGAGTATTGATGCTTCACAGTGAGCTGAATCAGAGGTGACATTGTGTCTTAATGTGGGAAAAACTGAGAGAGGGGTGGAGTCTGTGAGACACAGTGTACATGGGGCCTGTAGGGGAGGTGAGACTCCGGGGTTGGAGCGGCCGGGTGGGGCCTGTCGGGGTGAGCCCGCCGCCTCCGGGTCGAAGACGCGTGTGGTTTCTCTAGTTACAGGTGAGGCCGGAGCGTGTGCTCGGTGCTCGTGTCTGAAGTTACGTCTTCCCTAACACTGACACGCCCCTCGTGACGCAGGGGCCTGGCAACGGTTCGGTGTATCTTCCTCCTTTTTTTCCTCCTTTTTTCCTGGTTGCATATCTGGGCTCAGGTTTTTCTCATGTCATGCTTGAGTTCAGTAGCAGCATTCGGTTTCAGTTTTAGATTTGGTTCAGCCACACGTGCACTGAATTACCAAAGGCTTTGATAGTTGCTTTATATGTATATTCTCTGACTTAATGTCTCTTACAATACTGTCAGAGAATATATATTTTAACAATCTTTTAAAGTCCTTTCTTTTACATGTACAATATCTCTGTGAGTATAGGTATAAGGAAGGTGATATTTTGTAATTTAAGAGATTTGGGCTAAGAAAAAGGTAGCAGTTTTTCCAATATTACAAAGTTCCAGAGCTAGAATTCAAAGTTAGGTCTTCTAACCACAAGTCTTGTTCTTTTTCTGTTTTACTTTACTGTACCTCCTTCAATAAACAGCGTTGGTATGATGGAGAGAGAACCACATTTTTGAGGGTGATGGCACATGCCACAAATGTTTGCTGAGGCCCCAGGTGCTTGGCTAGGTTCCTGGAGCACAATAGCCCTGCACTTGCGGGACTTAATAGAGGCAAAGGTAACCCCCACAAATGAGGCAGTTACTCTGCGCTGTCGGGGATAATGCGCAAGGGACCCAGGTAGAAATGGGGATGAGGGAGGGGCCTTTTTTTTTTGTCTGCATAGAGTGTTTGTGGAACGTTGGGAGGCAGTGACATCTGTGCAGAGCCTCACAGCAGGAGGAGTGGAGGGTGGGAGCCTTCCACGCAGAGGGAAGAGCGTGCGCCGGCTCCGTCTCAGAGCGTGAAGGGACTGGTAGGGAGGTGCCCAGGCACTTTGCTCTGTGCTCAGGAATTTAAATCTTCCCTTCAGTTCGTCACAGTCTGATTAGGGTGCAAAGAGACAATTGAAGTGTGACTCATTCTACGACTGTACAAAGTTCTATGGGAAGACAGAGGAGCAAACAGGATTCTGAGGAAATCCAAGGGGGCTTCCTAAATAGGGGACACCTGAATTAGGGTCTGGGAGATAGGGGACACCTGATAAATAGGGGACACCCGAATTAGGTTTGGAAGACAGTAAGAGTTGCGGCAAGGGGCGGTGGAAGACACACTCTGCAGTGAGAGGGCGCGGCACGTGCAGACACAAGGGGCAGAAAGAAACACGTGTTTCGGAGTAGTGGAGACTGTGAGGTTGGGGTAGAGGTGCGCCGTGCTTGGTGGAGAAGGGAGGGGCCAGGAAAAAGGATCGATGAGAGTGTGTAGGCCCGGGTGTCAGCCTGTCGGTCAGGTTGAATATTTTGGATTTACTTGCCATTTCACTACCTAGAAGATAACTGCGTTTAAGCTGCTGGGAGAGTAGAGTTTTCATCAAAAAATTGTCAGTCGGGGAGAAGGCTGCAGCCCCAGGGTGCCAGCCAGGTAGACTGGACATACGGATGTCCAAGGAGGGCTTGCTGGAGTCTGAGTTAGTATCAGCTGTCGGGGCTGGGAGGGGACAGAAGGAAGGAGTGTGGGAGAGTGAAGTCCGGGGCGCCCGCTGGGACGGCACCACACGCGGGTGTGTCACTCACCAAGAAGCACCCCTTCGAAGGACACGTTTTAGGGGAAAGATCAAAAAGATAGTTTAGACATTAAAGTAGTGTTCTTAGGGTCTTTCCACTTTCTCGAAAATAAGAAACATTGTCTTTTTGGTTGGGAAAATAGACTTTTTATATGTCAAACGAGGGTGTCTATTCCCTTATTACTATAAGTTGCAGGACTGAATTTGTTTCAGCTTTTTAAAAATCACTATAACATCAATATAACCCCCAAACCAGAGATTCAGACAGTCAGGTAGCATTCCAAAAATTGAAAGTGTAGTGCAATAAAACCATGTTAAGTTTAAGTTGGTTTCTGCAACAGTAAGGAAGTGCTGCAGAGAGCTGACCTCTCGTGCTAATGTCTCGGTGCGCTCACCACCTCTCTGAGGCCGGCGACGGAACCGCTGGGCCACAGTTTCTGTGTTTTCTAGAAGGAAGGGAGGAAGGGGGCTGGACGAGGTTCGGTTTGGTTTTAGCTTTAAAATTTTATGAACTTTTGTTCTAAAGAGTAAATATGGATAATTCTTTCATTTGTGGTAAGAAAGGGAATTCAAATTAATATATTGAACCCTTCCCTAGAAATATCCTAAAATTATTCTGCTTAATCAGTTAATGCCACTTGCGAACCTGTTGGCCACATGATAGTATGATCTTTATAACTAGCAGGTAATACTATATAATATAAAAGTACAGGCATCATGGTGACCTTGGCCCCACCACAGTGACCTGGTTTCTGCAGGTCCATGGAAGAAGTCGTGCCACGTCCACACACTTTTTTGATCCCCGACTGATTTCCTGCTCAAGTGAGCGTGTGGGCACCATGCATTAATTTTCTCTGTGTTTACATGATTGGTGAAGTGAAAAAATTTATATATATAATGTGTTGAGACTATCAGTTAATATTCTAAGAAAAATAGCTCTTTGTTTAATCAGTTCTATGATTAAACAAAACTTTTCATTTATTAGTAGTTATTAATTATCAACCTATCACTAATGTGAAACACTTTTTACATTTAGTTATTTCAAGATTACAAAGCATCAGTACCCTTAATATTTTAGTTTATAATAAATTGATATTGCAGCAAAAATATGTTTTGTTCTACTATATTTTCTTCACATATTAGCTGCACTTTGATGTGTATATATTTTTGCCTGAAATAGAGGTGTGACTTACGAGGGAAATTTTTTTTTTCCTTCAGCTCCTATGTTCTACACCTCCTGCTGCCCCTATCCTTTGCCACCAGTGTTCTCAGGTCCTGCTGGGGGGACAGAGAAGATCAGAGGTGAAGGGTAGAGATGGCAGAAAGTGGGGTTGGAGCAGCGGGCTGGAGGCAGGGCAGGGAGCACGCAGGGGACGGTCAGCGGCGGATCAGCGGGAGGCGGGCGGGCCGTGGGAGCAGTACCGTGTTAGGGGGCAACTGGAAGTTACCTTTAAGAAAAAAAACGTTTTTAACATCTAGGGGTGATTACTTGGATGATTAAATTAAAAAAATAAAGATAGTACCTGATTTATATTTATTGCCACTGTGACCCCGTACACAGATAAATCTGAGATTTGCCATACTGTCTTACCAACAGGTTATGTGTCGAATTAATCATTGACAAAACTTGGTTTTCATTGTAGATCAAAGACCAAGCTCACCAATTCGACATCAGGGAAGGAATGACGAGCTTGAGCGTGATGAAAGAAGAGAGGAACGGAGAGTAGACAGAGTGGACGAGAGGAGAGAGGACAGGGCCAGAGAGCGGGACCGGGACCGGGAGCGGGAGCGGGACAGGGAGCGGGACCGGGAGCGGGAGCGGGAGCGAGAAAAGGAGAGAGAGCTGGAGAGAGAGCGGGCTAGGGAGCGGGAGAGAGACCGAGAGAGGGAGAAAGAGAGAGACCGAGAGAGGGAGCGGGATCGCGACCATGACCGCGAGAGGGAGAGAGAGAGGGAGCGGGAGAGGGAGAAGGAGCGGGAGCGGGAGAGGGAGCGAGAAGAGAGGGAGCGGGAACGAGAACGGGAGCGGGAGAGAGAGCGGGAACGCGAGCGAGCCAGAGAAAGGGAGAAGGAGCGAGAGCGCCAGAGGGACTGGGAAGACAAAGACAAGGGACGCGAGGACCGCAGGGAGAAGCGCGAAGATGTCCGAGAAGACAGGGGTCTGCGAGAGGGACACGAGGAGAGGAAGTCAAAGTAAGCCTGGTGGGAATGTAATTCATCGTTCTTATTTAAATTACCTTTTTGCTGATGTGCAGTGACTTAGTCACCTGCTATAGATTTGTTTTTAACAGGAAACCAACATAAAGGTGATAGAATCATTGAACTTGAATCACATCTACTTTGTAACTAGTTCTTGGAGTTGACTAGTTACAGGGGACATTGCTGATGCAACTCCTGACAATCCCTCATGGTTTTGTGCTCTGAAAGTCTGGAGTCGCTCCCCAGGGCTGCGGAAGCAGTCACAGTGTCTCAGCACTGGGGGATTTCTGTAACCACTGGGAGACTGGGGTCCTCTCTTGGACTGTGGAGTATAGTAGGTAATTGGGGAAAAAATGTGTTATTATTTTTCCATTAGTACATCTGAGGACATTTTCACCCTTTTTAAAAAAAAACAAACTGAAAGTAATCAATTTGCTCAAGTTTCGTGGGAGTCCGGGTTACCTTTTGTGTTTCTGTTGTACCCACTTCCTCGAAGCGTCAGGAGCGATGTTTCCCATCCCTCCACTCCCGTCTCTGCGCTAGTCCAGGCTTAGGTGGGCTTTCTCCTGATGGCGGCTGAGGCAGCCCCTCAGCTCGGCAGCCCTCTGTGGGGGGCGCTCACCCGTTGAGGAGCAGACCAGGGACCCAGCCAGTCACTGTGGCCGGGAGGATCTGGGCTCTGATGGGCCGTGTGTGAGGTTTTCCGGGCACAAAACCAAACCTGTTGGAGTTGACTTCTCTGTAAGGCATGCCCGCTGGGATGAAGGTATGGTTACGTCTGCCGAAGCAGACTGTGGCAGTGCTTTGTATCTTTGAGATCTTTGCTTCTGCCTCCAGCCCGTGCACCTCGTGGTAAAGACAGACTGTGCTTTAGGCTCTTTTTTTCATCGTCAGTATTGTGGGTTGTGGTTACAGACAAACAACAGAGCACAGAAGTGGCAGCAGCTTCCATTAGGTCTGTAGCCAAGACATTCTGTAGTTCACCCTCATTTTGTTAAAAGAAAAATCTTACATTTACATGAAAATCAGGTACTACCTTTCACGTACGCAGGCACGTAATGCACATTAGTTCTCTCCTCCCAGTGCTCTCGTCAGCTCTCTTCTGTCCAAGTCTGAAACCTCTCTCTCAACTCACGTGCATCCTAAGCTTTGGTTAATGTTTCCCATGTTCCTGATCTCTGCATATAGTAGCAAAAACTTCTTTTGTTTGTTTGTTTGTTTTCATTTTGTGACGGGACAGTCAGGGCACTGGTAAAGGGCCTCCAGTGCATGGCCAGTCAGCTCTGTGACAGCGGCCACTTCTGCAAGGTTACCTCTGGGCTTCTCCACCGTCTGTGCTGTCACCTCTGCAGCGCAAGTCCCCTAGCACTTTTTTTAGCCGCTGTTAATCCAGAAGGTTTGCAGACTTGTGATAGCTTTTATTTGACTTTAGTTTTATTTCTGTAGGTACTGCTTTGAAATTAAAGGGTTTTTTTGCATGTTTTAAATTTTCACTTTTTCTAGTGTATCTGTTATTTCCTGCTGGAAATCAAATCACTTGAGAAGTTAGTCGTTTAAAATAACAGTGTTTTTTGTTCATGATTCTGAGGATCAGCAATTCTGGCTGAATTGCTCTGACATCAGCAGAGTAGTTCTTCTGCTGGTGTCGCCTGGAATCAATGCGGCAGTTGCGCTAGGTCTGGTTGACCTCAGACGACCTCGCTCACAGGTCTGGCAGTTGCTGCTGGCCGTGGTTAGGGCATCTCCTTCGTCCTTCACATGACCTCTTCTCCGCCAGGAGTCTAGGCTCTTTCTTACGTGTGATGCTGGAAACACCAGGCAGGCAAAAGCAGGCGCTGCAGGGCTTTTTGAGTTCTGACTCTTAACTAACACACCGTCCCTTTACCACATTCTCCTGTCGCGTGAGGCACTACACCAGCCCAGACGGGGGGACGGGGAAGCCTAGTGCACGTGCGCACGCTCGGGCGTGTGAGTGGGCGCTGCGCCTGAGCCCACCCCCTTCTGTGTGCCCCCCTGGCACCTGCCTCCCAGTGGCTGTCAGGGAGACGGCGGTGCTGAGACGCATTCTCCATGTTGACCGTGGCACTTCCTGACAAACACTGTTACTTAGGAACTTGGGTAAGTTAGCATTTGATGAACCTACAGGGAAACACCAGAAGGACTTAAGTGCCCAGAGATACAGACCACCTCCTATTTAAAGTTCAGCTGAAGAACAAATGTAACGAACATCTGAATTATCTGTCACCAAGCAAGTGGTTTAGTTTAAAAAGAGAAAAGGAGCTAATTTTTACACAGCGTGCCTGGCTTATGACTGACTAATTCGTTCCTCATTACAGTTGTGTGGTAATTGTGTGCCTCATTTTCCCCCATTCTCAGTTGAGCAAAGTCAACTTCAGTGGCCTCACTGAACACACTTAAGGCTGCGTCGTAAGTGGCGTGGCCGTCCCTTGAGCTCCTCGTTTTGATTCTGAAGCCGTTTCTTCATGTGACTTTCCAACATGAGGTGTGCAAATGTGAAGTTAATGAGTCAGTTCTAGCAGACGGTTCATGCACATCCTGAGTCCTCTGCTGTCTGTTTCCACTTTGCGCACGTGTATCTAGTGATTTTCAGTTTCTTGATTCTACGTGGATGATGAAAGGGAGACAGGTTGCCATGTGTTCTAAGTTCACAGTTGTAAGTGTTAACAAATGAAGGATTTTATTTAAAAATGCCGAATGCCCTTTGTATGATACAACTCTGATAATATTGCTATCCTACAGTTATGTATTCTAGTTACAGTCAAGGAATAATAGTAAAAAACAGAAGGGAAATGTCTCTCGCCCCCTGGAGTTTACAGATTACGTCCGTCTGCCCCGTTTAGGAAGCGCTATAGAAACGAGGGGAGCCTGAGCCCGCGTCCGTCCCCGAAGCGCCGGCGCGAGCACTCTCCCGACAGCGACGCCTACAACAGCGGGGACGACAGAAGTGAGCGGGGTCTGTTCTGTGTCTGCACGTGCACATCCCCGTGCAGCCGGGAGGCCGTTCTCTGACGGGCGGGGACGGGTGAAGGGGCGCGCGCGGTCTTTCCTGCTCCGCGGCCTCGGGGTGTGTTCTGTGTGGCCGAAGGGCGTGCCGGGAATCACAACGGCACCGTCACCGCCCACCTTCGACAGTAAAGCCGTGACAGATGACTTGATTATTATTTGTGTGAAACGTGCAGGTTTGTGGGCTCGATGACAGTGTGATTACTTTTATCCTTTTGTGTAGACGAAAGGCACAGGCTCTTGAGCCAGGTTGTGCGACCTCAAGAATGTCACTCTCTCAGCCCGTCACACTTCCCCGAAGACAGGCAGGGTCGGTGGAAGGAGGAAGATCGTAAACCAGAGCGGAAGGAGAGTTCCAGGCGCTACGAAGAGCCAGAGCTCAGAGAGAAGGCCCCCCCTGCAGATAAGCAGAGGGAGCAGAAGGAGCTCTCGGAGGGCTCCCGGCTGCGGGCGCAGGACGCGATGGGACACCGCCCGTCCGAAGACCGCGACCTGTCCGACGGGGCCCACGATGAGAGCAAGAAGCGAGTGAAGGTGCAGAAGAAGCCCGTCAGAAAAAAGAGAGAGGAGGACGTGGGCGTGGACAGGGGAAACACGGAGGCGGCATGCGAAGACGGGCCGGTGTTCTCGCCCAGAAAAGGAGTGAAGAAGAGGAGTGTGGAAAAACGGCACAAGCGCCCCAGAGGCGATTCCGACATTTCTGATGAAGAGGCAGCCCAGCAGAGTAAGAAGAAGAGAGGCCCTCGGACGCCCCCTCTGACGGCCAAGCAGGGGCTGGCCGGACTCTCCGGAGATAAGGACGTGACCGTGGAAGACGCTCACAGGAGAGAAGACACGGCGTTCAGTGACTGGTCTGACGAGGACGTGCCTGACCGCGCCGAGGTCCCCGAGGCCGAGCGTGCTGCTGCGGCCGTCACCCCTGGCAGGACGCCTTCCCCATCCTCTCTCCCTCCTCCTCCTCCTCCCGCCGCTGCCGCTGCCACTACCACGGTGCCTACTGCTCTCACCGCTGCTGCTGCTGCCGCCGGCACCTCTGCCGCCACCATTTCCGCTTCGGCCACCCCCGGCGTCGGTGAAGACTCACATAGAAAATGCCACAAGGTGCGAGCAGAGAGAGGGGACGCCCCTCACGGCACTGCGGACGACGCGTCCCATCGCAAGCCAGTGGATCAGAAGAGGAGCAGCAGCCTCGGGAGCAACCGGAGCAACCGGAGCCACACGTCCGGGCGGCCGCGCTCCCCGTCCAGCGAGTCTGCCCATCGAAGTGGAGATGACCAGAGTGGTCGGAAGAGGGTCCTGCACAGTGGCTCGAGAGACAGAGAAAAAACGAAGAGCTTGGAAGTCGCAGGGGAGAGGAAGTCCAGGATCGACCAGCTGAAGCGCGGGGAGCCCAGTCGGAGCACGTCCTCAGGTAACGCGGCCGCGGGGTCCTAGTCCAGCCACGTCCCCTGTGCGAGCGTGTTGTGCACAGTCACCATGTTGCAGTGAATGCTCGGCGGGTGGCTTTCCTCCCTGCCCTGACTTTCAAGGAACTTCGTAGAGGTTTAGCCATCTTCCCAGGGTGTTAGCCGTTGCCACATTGATGCAACATTACGATAAAGGTGCATTCAGTGATGTCCATCTGCTTAACATCAGGATTTCAGTAGTACAGCTCGGTGGAGGGACTTATGTGTTCAGCTCCCTTGCCGATGCCCAGAATTTAGCCTTCCCGCTCTCCCAGCAGCCAGCCGGTTCTGCTGACCACAGAATGTAAAGGAGGGCTTGGTTCTGTTAATGCTCAGCCATTTCACATCTTCTTTCTTTGAGGATATTTTGTGGTCGCAGTGGGAATAGACAAGGAAACACATTATCTTAAAATATGTTTCATAACATTTTTATTTTTTATTATTAAAATCATCACTCAAGGACACGTCCGTCAATCCTACAGGTGGAGGAAGGGAGAGAGAGAGACACTGGGTGGCTGCCTCCTGTACCCACCCCAGCTGGGGATCGAACCGCAGCCTTTTGTTTGGTGCGCGGGGTGACGTTCCAACCAGCTGAGCCACCCGGCCAGGACTACCTGGGATATTTTAGCACTTTGACAGAGCAGTTTTTCCTTAAATGAGTTCTTTGGATAAGTGGGAATAAAGACAGAAAAAGATAAGCTGTAAGCTTTAAAGTGGCCTAAAGCGAGGCATTTTATTTCTGTCTGACACATCAACTCTTTGTACCTGATACGTGTATTTTAGATCGCCGGGATTCGAGAAGCCACAGTTCAAGAAGAAGCTCTCCTGAGTCGGATCGACAGGTTCATTCTAGGTCCGGGTCGTTCGATAGCAGAGACCGGCTTCAGGAGCGTGACCGGTACGAGCATGACCGAGAGCGGGAGAGAGAGAGGAGGGAGGCCAGGCAGAGAGAGTGGGATCGAGACGCGGACAAGGACTGGCCACGGAGCCGGGACAGACTGCGGGAGCGAGAGCGAGACAAGAGGAGGGACCTGGACAGGGACAGAGAGAGACTGCTTTCCGATTCCCTGGAAAGGGACAGGGACAGAGAGAGGACTTTCGAAAGCTCTTCTCAGATGGAATCGGTGAAACGCAGTGAGGCAAAACTGGAGCCCGAGCACGAGCGAGACGTGGAAGGCCCTTTCCGAGACTCTGGGGCGCTGGAGAAAGAGCGCCCGGACCGAGACCCTGCGCCTGTGCAGGGGCTTGACGACGCAGACAGAGCCGAGAGAGCCGAGAGCATGGAGGGTGAGTCACGCCTTCCCGTCTGTCTGTTGGTCTGTCTGTTGGTCTGTCTGCTGTACTGCTCGTTCCTGCTCCGAGTTCACAGGGATGGTCCGCTCTCTCTCTCTCTCTCTCTCTCTCTCTCTCTCACACACACACACACACACACACTCACAGTTTCGTAGGGAAGTAGATTTCAAAAGGCAGAGTCATACCATATTTTTAAAATTTTCGCCTAGTTAGTATCATCAAGGCAGACTTGGTGCACACAAGCCTAAACGAAATAAAAGATTACTTAGATGCAGGGTTTATAGATGATAAAAATAGAAAAATGGTAAAAATTGAAGTGACTTCTTGGTTCAGAGAGCCATTGGAAAGGCTCCCCATGGTTCCTGTTTTCTAGGGCCCTTGAGAACAAGCACATGAAACAGTAACATCACCTGAGAGCACATGTAGGGACAGATCGCCTGGAATTCAGTTTGCACTCCCGTCCCTGGAGCGTGGGGCCCTGCGGAGCCGCAGCAGCCCCTCCGTCCGTGCCCCGCCCTTTCCACAGCGACTCGCCCATCTGCTCTGAAGGGCCACAAGGGCCACGTTCTTCAGCCCTCCTGCGCCTTCTTTTCCACCGTCTCATGGACCTTTTCCTTCTGTCTTCTCGTTTTTACTCCGATTGAAAGTCCACATTTATGGACTGCTTCTTCTGAGAAGCCTTCTGTGCTCAAGGCCCGCCCTCTAAAACTGACCTGGCCCTTGGTTGAGGCATCATCGTGCAGGATGGTGTCCTCGTACCGTTACAATTTTACAGATGTTGGTTTCCTCGCCACTGTCCAGCTCCTTTGTGAAGGACCACGTGCTTCCTCTCTGCGTCTTCGCTCCCACAGCCAGGGCACAGCGAACGGCTCGTCCGTGGGGACGCGCTTTGCTTGCTCATACTTGCCCTCATTTCACTCTCCGTGGGTTATAACCAGAGCATAACCTGGGCACCAGTAGTTATGGCTCTCCCGAGAATTCCGGAAGTCCCGCTCTGAACGCAGCGCTCACACTGCTGCTCTGACGTCGTCTGTCCTCCTTGAGACCCCAAGAAACTTCTGGGGTGCTTGCTACACAAGCAGTAATATTTCACTGTTCCTTTTGTTTGCCATATTGTAGCATCAGGCCCAGAGTAAATTCACGTTCTTTGACAATTAAACAGCTTTACATCTTCTGATTGCCAGGTTAAATATTCCAGTATGCTGTCTGTTACATGCTTTTCCTACCTGACAAAAACACTCTGTCTCAACATTCTTCAATTACATCTTCCTCCCACTCATTTTTGAGTTTAAATAGCATTGTTTGTGAGCCATAGTACTAATGGAGGTACAGCCTTGGGTTTAACTGAATATAATTGAACTAGTGATTATAATAGTTCCCTTGTGACCATTTTTCTAAATCATTCATTGGCTGTGGTCATTGATAACACAGCATAGAAATTTATAGGTGAATTACCTACTGTGAGATGAGGCATTTTATTCACCTGAAATGGGAAAATGAGTTGGATAAACCTGAAAAAATTAAGAATCCTATCATTTGTACTTATGTTTAAATTTACGTTTGTATAATGAAATTATTAAATTGGTTACCTTATAAGTGAATTGGTGAGGGTATAGGAGATTGCTGTAGAATTTAATTAAAGGATAACACGGGACAGGGAGGATGAATTGGGAAATGCAGGGAGAATTAATGGTGCTTTTACCTCATGCTGTGAAGTCCTTCATATGAGCTAAATTCTGTGCACTAAAGTTGAAGTTTCAAGCAAATTTTGTGAAGAAATTCGCAAGTTTTTTAAAAACTAATGAGTTTAGGTAAAGAAATTAATGCATCATTTTGAAGTTAGTAGATTTGTTGGATTTACTTAAAGTTTTAGTATAAACATGAACACCACGGAATGTTAGCGTGTCGGCTCTCATACCTCAGAGGGTAACTCTAACCGCAGGACTGTTCCGATGCAGCTGTTCGTACTGTGGTCTCGGTGTTAAAATAAAGTCGGACTCATTGAATTTCTCAGTTTTTTGGAATTATCAAGGGTTTTGAGTAACTAAAAATGTCTTCTTCTAGTGAAAAGACACTTTTCTAATTTTTTTAATGTGCACAACCTCTACATCTTTGGCTGGAATTAGATGTCCTTCCCTCTGATGCCCTCTCTGACGTGAAGTTCATGTTTCCAATCAGCAGGAGATGACGAGTCCAAGTTAGATGAGGTGCACTCCCTTGGCTCCGGTGCGGGCGAGGGCTACGAGCCCATCAGCGACGACGAACTGGATGAGATTCTGGCCGGTGACGCTGACAAGCGGGAGGACCAGCAGGATGAGGAGAAGATGCCAGGTGGTGATGGGTGGGGTGGTGGGCTCAGCAGTGCCGGGGGTTTGGGCGCGGAGGGGCTGCTGTTCCCTTCCTGCTGTGGCAGTTAATCAGAGGCAGTGAGAACCTTCCCTTTGCATTTTAATTAACATCACAAGGCCAATAATAATGAAAATTATGACCAATAAAAATCCTAAAAATGCCGTGCTCATTTGTAAGTAGACTTTGCCTATGAATTGGGAAAGGCCTCATTTAAAATAGCAAAGTTGTGAGGTGTCCTTTCTGGAGTTTAAGATTCACATTTTAAACAACTTGGGATCTGACCAAATACTGACCGCCCCGCGGTGTTCTGGGTGGGGGTGTCTGGTGCAGAGCTTCACAGCGTGACCCACGAACCAGCCTTTGAAACGACTGTTCTCAGAAATTGACTAACAGTTGAGATTGTATTTCAACACTAATCCCGCTCCTCTTTGTATCCGTGTTCTACATTGTGACAGGACTTCATGCCTTGCCAGAGTGTACGCTGACTGTCAGTCTCCCCACTTGGTCTGGTTGTTAGTGATGAGTTTGAGGTTTTTTTAAATCACGTGAGGATCTTTGGGTGTATGGAATGTTCCATTTTATTTTTACTTAATTTGCTCTTCCATTTCACAATTTTTCCTGCTAACGTAGAAGGTATGTGTAATTGTTGTCTGTATCATTGGCTATCGCGTGTTTCTAAAGAGAACATTAGTTTGTTAATTTCCCCAACTGCTCCTTGTTGGAGAATGAATTATTTATTGCCAGTATTAATAAGAGCAACTGTCTGAAATATAATTTTGTAATGGACCATTTTTAAAAAGTAAATCTGTGCATGTTTGCACGCATACACGTGCAAGTAAGATGTCTAGATTTAACCCATGAAGGGATTCTGGTACCAAGTTTCAAACATCACACCTATTCTTAGTCAGACAGTGGAATTTTTTCATTGGCATCATGCAAGCAACTAAAAGGGTTAGTTATAGGGATCGGTTTGCTTGGGTTTCTGTGTGCTGCCTGTTTTCTTTTGGTGAGAAGGATTTTTGTATATGTAAAGGTTCTTAGTTTCTAAACATTGGTGTTTATAGAAAATATTTCATCTTAAGAATATGGAATTTTGGTTTAAAGTACTTGTTACTTAATGGTTTTACGTGTTTCACAGCTTACATTTCTCTGTGGATGACAAGAGTGGTGTTACTTGGTGTAAGAAGGTTCCTGCTCTCTCACTCTTTGCAGACCCACTGGACGTGATCGACGTGGACTGGTCCGGGCTTATGCCAAAGCACCCGAAGGAGCCGCGAGAGCCGGGGGCCGCACTCCTCAAGTTCACGCCTGGGGCTGTGATGCTGCGGGTCGGGGTTTCTAAGAAGCTGGCAGGTTCCGAACTCTTTGCCAAAGTCAGAGAAACGTGTCAGAGACTGTTGGAGAAACCCAAAGGTGACTGCGTTCTGCTTTGATGTGTGCCGTGTGCCGTAGCTGTCAAGATGCCGGCGGACAGACTCTGCTCTGTCCTCACGTAGCATGTGCAGTGTTGGATCTGTGTTTTTAATCCTCGCCCAAGGAGATGGGTATCGATTTTTTTTAGAGGGAGAGAAACATCAGCATAAAAAGAAATGTGGACTAGTTGCTCCTGTATACACCCTGACTGGGGATCGAACCCCACAGCCTTTTGGGGTTCGGAGCAGCTCTCCCAGTAACTGAGCCACCTGGCCAGCGGTATGTACACACACACATGTGCGTGCACACACACGTGCGTGCGCACACACATGTATACATGACAGGGTACTTTGGACAGATGGTCTGTCCAGAGAGCATCCGGCCAAGTAATGTGAAAAACAGACATTTATTGTATCTGATACAAGATACAAGAGACTGTACACAGGACAATAGCACCTCAGTCCCCTTCAAAGTAGGCACCTTGGGACCTCACACAGTTCTCCCAGTCGCCATCTGCTGCCCCATTGTATTTTTTCTGAATCTCATCAGTGGTCAGAAATCTCTTTGCTTTCCAAAGTGACTTTAGTTTTGGGAAAAGCCAGAAGTCTCAGGGCACCAAATCTGGGCTGTAGAGGGGCTGAGCCACCTGAGTGATGTTTCGCCAGAAATTCTGCATGAGACGTGATGCATGAGTGGGCACATTGGCATAATGAAGCTATGGAGGAGTGTTCAAGGTTAACGCAAAATCTGATGCAAATTCATTGCTCTTTGAGTGTGACGGCCACACAGTGCACACGCTCCCTCAGTGGCACCTACCGCCCCCACTGACTAGTTCAGTGAAGTCGTCATTGTTCACACATGCGCATTGCAGTCCACTCTCCTTGGCTGCCAGGTTACATCAGTGTTGTACAAACCGCTCTCACTGTATTAACAATGGCTGGACAGGCTATGTGTATGTATGTGTGTATATATATATATATATATATATATATGTGTGTGTGTGTGTGTGTATTATTTATTTAATTTTCATGGTGAGAATTTCTTTTTAAAATTTGTTTTGAAGAAATTTTAAGCTCACAGAGCAAGTCATAAAAATAGCACAATGATCTTTACTGCGATCACATTGAACGAAGTACTTGGTGGATTGTGTAGGGCTAAGTGAGGCGGACCCGGGGAAGCAGGCTAGGTTTTCCGTAGCTGAGCAAGTTGGATGTCTGGGCAAACCCTTTCTCCTGGGAAGTGGGGGGGTTCTACCCAAGTGCAGTTGTGTAGGTTGAACATTGAACAGAGCTGTTGGAAACTTGGCCTCTGGGCCAGCTGGTCTGGTCCCAGTAGACACACTGCTTGCTGGCTCTTCTTTAGTCTCTCGGAGCTTGGCCATCGTCCCCAGCCGGGACTGTGACAGCACCCACTGCAGTGACTGCCAGGAGGGGCCAGTGGGTCACAGGAGTAACAGAGTGGTTCCTGATGTGCGGTAATACTCCATAAATACTAACTGCTACTCTGCAGTTTGAGAATATTTTTATCATATCGATTTTAGACCTTATCGAGGCAACCTCCCATTATTCCAGAACACTTCTGTGTTTAGTTTATGGAAGATTTTGCACTGTTTCTCTTACCTAGTACCTTTCTTCTTTTTTGCTGGCAGCTTATTGATACCTTATTAATGGGGAGAGGGTGTCGAGGAAAGGAGGTAAAAGGTGAAAGCAACATTATTTAATTCTGTATCATGTTCATGAAAATAAAAAAATTTAGGTAAAACAATGAAGCTTTTTCTAATATAAAATTGAAAAAAATTGTTTTCATAGTTTCATGAATCCGTCTCCTTCCTCCCAGCTGTTAGCATCAGCAGTAGAACTCGGGATGTTAATGCCCCAGTCACTAAGCATAGAATGGATGCAAGTGAAACATACCAGTCGTGACTGTGGACGTACTTTAACTGGCAGGTGGCTGAGAGCTCAGGTCATGGCCCCACACACCCTCGTCCAGTGGGCTCCGTGGTCAGAAGCAGGGCGCTGCGTGGGCATGGAACGGCAGAGTGAAACCCCGGGGCCTCCCTGCCGCTGTTTCCCCCCGTGACTTTTGCCGGTGGCCTTTCAAGTCACGGTCTAGTTCGATGTCGCTCTCTGTAATACAGTTTGACCCTGGCTTAATGATGGCTTAATCTCAGTAATGAAAATAAGCACTTCCGGCCCTTCTGATCGTCGCTCACCTGTCAGCCTGTGTTCTGCTGTGGTGGCTCTGTCAGAGACAGGTAAGGTGCTGCTTGTGAGTTTCCCGAGGACCACAACTTACTTTCTGTCCATTGTGATCTGCTCTACTGATTACGCCGTCGCCGAGAACCCCCCTGCCTGACACGCAGTAGGTGTTCAGTGAATATCTGTGAAATGGCTGATCCCAGTAATTTTCTGTTTTGCTGGTCTGTTTCAGTGCCCCCGTCCTGAAGAAAGTAAATCCCCACTCCATATGTAATCTTTAAAAATATTCTAAGAACCACAAATTCTTTCTTGAAAGCAGAAAACGTGCGTGTACAGTTGCCTCTTGGGCGACACAGGGTTGGACTGTGTGGTCCACGTGGACCTTTCTGTGCACAGTCAGCCCACCGCGTGCCTGTCTTCACATTTGCAGGTGCAGGGACTTGAGCATCAACCATCTGCGGGTTTTGTTCTTCATGGGGGGTCCTGGAGCCAGTCTCCCTCCCCCACGAACACCAAGGAACAATTGAGTTAACGAAGGGTCAGAAGTTGTAGGGAGGTGTTGACTGTACAACGGTTGGTGTCCCCCGCCCCCCCCAGTTTCCAGCTGGTTCAAGGGTCAACTCTTTACTGGCATTTAAATTGCTTTTGTCTAGCTTTTCTGATTGTTGTGTGATTAAATTCTTTTGAGCTACTCTTTTCCGATTGTTTGTTTTCTTGGTTTTTCTTGTGCTTAAGTGCGTGTTTAATCTTTCTAGAGAGGTTTACAAGTATGTGTTAACTGTTCTAATACAAAGAAATTAGTCTTGACAAGCAGTATTCAGGGATGGCATGGATTCAGCACCAGTTTCTTCTCTGCTTGTATCTGGAGTGGAATGGGAGTTGGCGGCGTGTTTTAGCAGTGCAGGTACGTGGCTGTCACTGCTGGGCGGAGACACTTGTGTCTCTGAGGAACCCGAGGAGCCGCCTTTCTCCCGTTCGGGGTCCTGGTCCCGCGAGGGAGGTTCTGGGGAGCCCGGCACTGTTGTTGCTTTGAAGTTCCTCAGGTGACTCCGGTGGGTGCCCGAGTTTGTGGACTGGTTTCGAGCTTTTCTTCATATTTATTCATGCTTTTTTTATGTTGTACACCTGTTGACCACATACATGACTTACTGACCGAGTGTGTTGCATGAGGCAGGTTTTTCAATAATTATCTAATCTCTGGTCCACAGTTCAGAAAGTGAAAGTGAAATATGTGGTGTACTGTTACTCTCAGCCAAGTCCGTCTGTTTTGTTCTCGCTCGGGAGTTACTTACTACTTCCTTTCTGGGCTGGCCTGCTTGGCCAGGTTGTAGTGAGGCGGTGACCTGGACCGCCTCGCAGGGCGCTCTCATTGGAGTCACTGCTCCTTCTGGGATTTATTTTGGTTACTGACTGGTTCTGGTCCATTACTCTGACTTCCTTTTTGTCTGTTTTAAATGTAGCCCATTTATTAAATGTCCTTGATTCGTCAGGGTTTTTTTTTAAGTTTGAAGTACTTTTCCCTACCTTGGTGTTATGCCTCAACTAAGTGATTTTAATTTAATACACTGTCCAGGATTTTGTAGTGACCAAATCTAGGATGGAGTGTGCAGATTGTCTGACCAACACCTAGTCGCTTTCCTAACTGATTTTGAAGAGGTCGCAGTCTGCATTCACATTATTACACTTGAATCTTACGACTGTAAAGTCCTCAAATCTAGAATTTTAAGTAGAAGTGGATGGGATGCATTATTCTGAATTTGACTTCACAAATTCTTAACTTGAACTTTTCTTCCCAGTCATAGTTAGTTAGTGGTCGGTGTCTAGACTCTCTCTCCCAAGTCTGCCTTTCTTATATCTTAAAGTGGCTATGAGAATGTTTATTTTTGTTTCAGACTAGTGGAGAATAGATTTCCTTTTATATAAAATAACTTTCATCAACACTGTTAACTTTGAAAACTATATAAGATAATTTTCATCAACATTGTAGACCGTGGCATATTCATCTAAGCAGTTGATAACGTTTATATTGTAGAAAAACTTAATATTTATTTTTATTTTTTTGAAAGATGCAGACAGTCTTTTTGAACACGAGTTGGGGGCTCTCAACATGGCTGCGTTACTGCGGAAAGAAGAGCGGGCAAGTCTTCTCAGTGACCTCGGGCCGTGCTGCAAAGCCTTGTGCTTCAGGCGGGACTCTGCGATCCGAAAGCAGCTGGTCAAAAATGAGAAGGTACGGGCGTTTCCCTGGAACAAGTGCAGAAAAAAGTGTTTGGTGAAGTCATATGAATGGCATAGCTTTCATTCGATTGCTTTGAGGTGAGGTTGTGGTCTTGTCTGTATCTTTGAGTTTGGTTTTCTAGTTTTTTACACATGTAAAAAAAATTCTATTATAATTTACAATACTTTTCATTTTATACTTGAACATTCTGTGTGTTGAATAACAATTTGTTATTCAAAAGTTGACGTATAAAGCTTAAAATACTCTTTTTGTAAAATACTTTATTGTGAAAAGTTCCTTTAGATAACAAACCAACTAGAACTTTATTTAAATTGAAGCTTAAGGAAAAATATTCCCGTGAATATGGTGAGAATATTTATAGAAATAGTGTTTCTGAGATTGTGTCCTGTTGAAAAGGGAGGGAAGAGAAACGAACGTGTTTGTATGTAAGCATTTACTGGAGAAGAGCGGAGGGGGCTGCAGTGTCAGAGAAGTAGGAGTTAGTTTCCATGTAGAAGAGATCTGATCACGAGAACTGAAAACCTCTCAGGCTTTCAAAGTAAAGAACTGGGACTTTTATTTTGGGGGCGTGGTAATGGTGAGCACGGGTAGCCAACATAATTTTTTTTAAGATGAGCAAAAAATTAATCACACTGGGAGGCTCCCACCACCTGATTTTAAGATTTACCGTAAAGCCATGGTACTCAAGACCCTGTGGTCAGTGTGGTCAGAGAGGTCAGAGAGCAGGGGGCCCACTCAGCTGGGGGCGGGGCCGAGTGGGGGCGGGGCCGAGTGGGGGCGGGGCCGAGGGGCGGGGCGGAGTGGGGTTCAGGAAGAGAACTGCGCCGACAGGACTGGCCAGTTGCCGGGGCAGTTTTAAAAAGTTAGTTTTTTTTTTTTTTTTTAAGATTTTTAAATTTATTTATCTTTAGAGGGGAAGGGAAGGAAAGAGGGAGAGAAACATCAATGTGTGGTTGCCTTTCATGTGTCCCCTGCTGGGAACTGGCCTGCAGGGAACTGGACTGCAACTCAGGCATGTACCCTGACTGGGAATCCAGCTGCCATTGTCTGGTTCGCAGGCCCGCCCTCAATCCACTGAGCTACACCAGCCAGGGCTCCCCCCCCCCCCAAAAAAAAACAACTTTATTTTGAGATAACTGACTTTTAAAATTTAAAAATTTTATTCTGTGACAGAGACTGAGAATGCAAAGACAAGTATATTGGGAGAAAATACTTGTATGTATTTTCAAATCACTTTGAAAAAGAGCTTATATCCAGAACATACCCGTATTTTCGGACCATAAGATGCACCTAGGTTTTAGAGGAGGAAAATAGGGAAAAAAATTTTGAAGCAAAAAATGTGGTAAAATATTTAATAACATAAATAACATAATATTTCACCACTGTAAATGTGAACAGAACTCAACAGCAGCATTAACAACTATTATTCCTCCCAAATTTGGGGGGGAGGGGCAAGAAATGTGCATCTTATAGTCCAAAAAATACAGTATAGAGAAGTCAAAACCTAACTTAAGACACAGGCATCTCTCTTTTTCTGAGTAAGTGGAAGGCTTGAGCAACTGCAGAGAGGACGTGTGGGCGTCACGCAGGGAAAGGTGCCTGACGTCACTAGCAGTCGCAGCTCTGGGGGGGAGACTGGGACCTACTGCAGGGAGCTGAGACAGCAGCAACAGAAGCTCCGACAGTGCTCGGAGCAGGGGGAACTCCCACGTGCTGCCGGCGAGAGTACAAAGTGGGAGAGTTGTTTTGGAAAAGGAGTGCTTATTTCTTATCAAGTTAAATGTATGTTTACCCAGCAGTTCCATTGCTACATACTTACCTTAGAAAATGAGAACTTACGTTCACGCAAACATTCATAGCAGCTCTATGGTATCCAGAGCTGGGAACAAACCCAGGGGTTTTCAAGGGGCCTTAGATAAACCGGCACCTCCGCTCCAGGGATCACTACTGATTGGCGAGACCCGAGCTTCCGGTGCTCTTGGTAACCTGGGAGAATCTCAGAGAGAGCGTGATGGAGTGAAAGAAGCTAGTCTCAGAAGGTCATGTGCCCTGCCTGACTCCGTTGATGTGACCTTCTGGAGCAGGCCGCGGTACGACTGCCCTCAGGGTCAGAGGTCAGGAGGGTGTGACTGCAGGGGGTTCGGCGGAGGGTTTTCTCAGTGGTCAGATGTCTGCGCCCTGACTGTGGTTAGTGAGTCCGCACATGTGGTAAAGCCCTCAGAGCTGCCCTCGTGCCTTGGGACTGATCGGCTTCAGAACTCGCCAAGCCCCGCACTTGTTGCATTTGGGCAAGGAAAAGTGTCTCGGCACCGGCACTTGCTCGGGACTTGTTGCACTTGCTAGACGTGTAAGAGTCGCTAGGGAGCGAGTTAACGACAGGTACCGGGGAACCACTGTGAACGTAAAAAGTTAGTTTTACTGACTCACAACTTACAAAATATCTTTTCAAAGCAGAGGTGATCGGGCACCACCCTGTTCCTCTAAGGACCTTAGCAATGACTGAGAAGGCCTGATGCAGGGATGTGCAGCCTCACCCCGTTTCATTGCATGTGCGCTCGGAGGGCGCTGCCTCCCAGAGCCGCGGGCGCGCATTCAGTTACAGTGGCAGAGACACGCTGTCTGCCGGGAGGGGCGGCTGCCCACGGAGCCCACGCCCCGCGGAGCGCGGGTGCCCCGGCAGGAGCACACAGGGCTCGGTGCCGCTCTTCCGAGAATCCGTGTGAAAGTGCGATGGGTTAGCGGGCGGCTCCGCCAAGGAGAGTATTTCTGCAGGTTGGAGGAGTCGGACGGTTCCACGCAAAAGGTGCAGGGCTTTTTCTCGTTAGAATGAAGTCAGAACTGGTCGAGAAGGTTCCTCCATTAAGCAAAATTGCTTTCTTTTCTATGGTTCTTCGAGTCTGAAAACATTTCCCAGTTTGCTTTTAAATATCCAATATAGCTAATGTCCATTTCAAGTTAATTTTTCATAGAGCTTTTACACTTTTGTTAGAAGCCTGCCCGACTTTCTCACTGTCCACCGATCCCGTCCGTTTCTAAACGAGCTTTCGCGCTGTCCCGCAGGGCACGGTGAAGCAGGCCTACACTGGGGCGCCGGTGGTGGACAACGAGCTGCTGCGGCTCAGCCTGCGGCTGTTCAAGCGGAGGAGCGCCTGCCGTGCCCCGGGGCCCGACAAGGCCGAGGACGGCAAGCTGGTGCCCCCCGGCGAGCAGGAGCTGTGCGCGTCCTGAGGCGGAGGCTGGGTCCTCCGGGGAGATGCGGTTTCACCAGCGTCCCGGACAGCGGCAGAGCATGCTCCTCAGCCAGGCCACGAGAGCGAAGGCCGGGTAGCTGACGCTTAAAGGCGTCGGTTTGGCTATACTGAGATTTTGTGCAGTGCTTAATGCTCGTGAAAAGTAGTGTGAAAGCATCTAGAGTCAGTAGTTTGGTGCATTTTGTTAAAACTGGAGTTTGGGGAAACGGTTGTCACTGCTTCCAGTCTATGGAGGTTTTTCTGAAAAGGAGCCACTGGCGTGTGCTTGGTCCTTCCTGGAGAAACTGCGGCGTGGCTCAGGAGCTGTGTCCATGGCACCCCTGCACGCACGCACTTGTGCTGTGCACCCCTGTGCTGCGCAGAACACGGGGCTGGCTCTGCCCCCGGGGTGGGCAGCACTCCGCAGGAGGGAGGAGCCAAGAGACTCTTTTCCTGGCTGAACTTCTAAGAAAGTTACTTAATGAGTCTGTTTTTCTTTTTTTAATATGTTCATTGTTACGGTGTATACTAATGCATTTGGAATCTGAATGGTTTTGTTTGTTATCAGAGACTGTCTTCTATTTTTATTTTTAATAAACATGCCCTCCTCCCTTTTCTTGCTTTAGATTTACTTCTCAGTAGCACTATTCCCGGTATTCTGAAACACTTGCCATCAACATCACATGTTTCATGCCTCAGGTATTCACCGCTCAAGTTCTTGCTCTCGGGCGCCGTTAATGGTGTGCAGTGAAGACGTGCTTCCGTTAGAGCGCGGCAGTGCGTGAAGCAAACCGAGAGTGGAGAGAGCAGTGTCATCCGAGCTTTGAAACACCACCATCACATTTTCCAGGGCTTTAACCTTTGATTACATTAAACTGGCTCCAGCCTCTACTATGTAAAATGACTTGCTTTTCAAAGATTACAGTGTATCTGCTTTACTCTGTGTGTAAATATTTAACTCATGAAGTAGATTCTTAGAAGGACTTGAAATAGACTCAAAGCTGCGGAGTATTGGGGGAGACAGAAATAATAGTAATAACAATAATAATAATAAAGGAAACCAATCAAAATGGCAGTTGGTCCTTACCTCCAGCAGTTTTCTGTCTGACTAAGCTTATGATAACCTGTCTCCGTAGCTTTTTATTGTCGCTAAAGGTAATCAAGTTTCTTTCCAAAAACTTCAGGAAACATTTACTGTGCATTTAATTTGTGCAAGGCACTTGCCCAGCAAGGGAAACGGCAGCCTGAAAGCATGTGTAAGAAAAATAGCAAACAACGAAAAAATTGATTTTCTTCATGTCATTTTCTTTTCCAGTTAGTAAACGTTACAGTCACTCTGGAGAATGTATACCCTTTAAGAAACTACTTCCTGATTCTAATGGACAACCTTGTTCACAGTAACATACAAATTTAAGGTCCCGGAACATCTCACGCTAGTCCCCAGAATTGAGGACTGTAACAAAAATGTTTTTCTTTTTGTTTTGTCCACTGATTTTAGGAATGTTTCACAAGTTGTTCAGTTACAGAATGAAAACTGTGTACAGGTGGTCCTTGGTTTACAGTGGTTCGGTTTACAGTGTTTCACCTTTATAATGGTGAGAGAGCAACACAAGCTCAGTAGAAATCAGCTAGGGATACGTACACTGTGAGGTTTAGTAGGTTAAATGCAATTTTCCGGTTATGATGTTTTCAGCCTACTATGCGTTTATCAGGACATAGCTGCATCGCAAGAAGCACCTGTAGCTGAATTTGCCACATAGTTGAATCTGTTTGCCTTTTAAGTGTGAGGATGTTTTTATGTCATGAAAGAAAATTCTAGAACGATTCCTGTTTCTCTAGCCACAGTATTGGGAGCATTATGTTCGCAGTGGGAATGTACTGTTAAGTCTCATAATTTTTTAAAGAGTTCATACATTCTTTGTATTGCCAATTAGATATTTATAGAGTTCTAAAGCAGATCTTTTTATTAACTTTCTCATAAAACTCTTGGGCCAAAGTTACAATCGGTACTCCTGAAAATGTCTTCCCATTCATAAATTATTTGCTCATAGAGTCAAAGGTCTGCCGTAGCTGGTGGATCAAGATCGTCCAGTTGCCGTAATTGCACAGTGGCCTCCAGCTGCGGGCAGTGATGTTGGTGTGTCTGTGGTCCAAGACGCGGTGCGAGTCCCATGCACACACGTCCTGGCGGCGGCGGGTTCCCTTTGGCCGCTGTCCTCACCGTTTGGTCAACGATGATGCTCACTTACTACAGAGCTGGTAACTTCATGGCAATTGCTAAGTGCAGGTAAGTGATGCAGCTGCAAATCGGGGCTGTCCCTCCTCTGCTCCAATCAGCAGCTGCGGGTTGCTTTCCCGGTCCCCCCCATGACTGCGGCGGGTTTTATGGCTCAATCTTTTTTTAAGTAATACTTTCTTTTTTAGAAAAAATATTTTATTTATTTATTTTTAGACAGAGGAGAAGGGAAGGAGAAAAAGAGGGAGAAAAACATCAGTGTGTGTGGTTGCCTCTCACACCACCCCCTCACTGGGGACCTGACCCACAACCCAGGCATGTGCCCTGATTGGGAATCGAACCCACAACCTTTTGGTTCACAGGCCGGCGCCCAATCCACTGAGCCACACCAGCCAGGGTGATGGCTTAATATTTATTAACCTGGAAGTTTGTGTTGGCAAAGCATCCCATATCACTGCCTACTGTCTGGTTGGGTAAATAATAAGTCATGTAGTACTGACATTGTTTTTTAATCTATTTTTATTTTTTATGTTTCCATTACATATAGTTGATACTCGCTATTAGATTAATTTCAGGTGAACAGCATAGTGGTTAGACATTTACGTAATTTATGAAGCGATCCTCCAATAAGTCTAGTACGCACCTGGTACCGCACATAGTTATTGCGGTATCATTGTATTTACTGTGATGTACTTTACACCGTGACTTTAGTCCTCAGATGAGGACACGTTTATTGATATTAGAGAGGAGGAGGGAGGGGAAGGAAGACATTGGTCGGCTGCCCCTGTACACACCTCAGCTCGGGGGCTGCGCCCTTCGGTTTGTGGCACGAGGCTGCAGCCAACCCAGCCACACTGCCCAGAGCTCCTGTGACTGTTCTTAAACTTGCACTTCCTAATCCCTTCCCCTTTTCCCCACCCAACCCACCCACCACCCCTCTGCCAGTCTGGCAGCCATCGGTCCTTTGTACCTACGGGTCCGTTTTTGTTTGGTTGTTCAGATGGCACGTGCCGGTGAAGTCTTACGGTATTTGTCTCTGACTTAGTCACTTGGCGTAACACCCTCTAGGTCCATCCGTAATGTCACAGGTGGTAAGATTTCATTTTATTTTTACGGCTGAGGGTGGTCCATTGTACAGATTGAGGGGCAGTTACGTTGCTTTCGTACTTTGGCTGTTGCAAATAATGCTGCAGTGAACACAGGTAGATAACTTCGTGCTTTACTGTTCGGGGTGTCTTTGGATGCCCAGAAGTCACAGACAGTTCCAGTTTTAATTGTGTTGAGGGACCTCCACACTGCTTTCCACCGACAGCGCACGAGGGGCCCCTTTTCCCTCATCCTCACCAGCCCTTGTCAATTTTTTAATGATGGCCATTCTGAGGTGGGTGAGGTGGTCCCATTGTAGTTTTTACATTTCTCTGATTAGTGACGTTGAATATCTTTATTTAACAAGTGACATTATTTTAGATCCTTACTCAACAACATTTGTATTGATTTTAGAGGAAAAGAGGAGAGAAAGCCACGTCGACGTGATGGATTGGTTGCCTCCGCACACAACCCGACTAGGGATCGAACCAGCAGCCCAGGCATGTGCCCTGACCAGAAATTGAACTGACAGCCTTCGGTGCATGGACCCAACTGAGCCACCCAGCCAGGGCAAGCTCTGCTTCGTTTTTAATGACTGTGCAAGGTCCCACTGTGTGTGTTTGTGATATTTAACCTGTCTCCTCGTATTTTAAAGGCCTGCGGACACTTAAATGGTGTCAGTATTCTGGACCAGGCTGCCATGAAGGGTCCCACGTAACGAGTTTTATCTCTGTGACTGCAGGGTAAGGGCCTAGCAGCGCCGTCTGTGGGCCAGGGGGCCCCTGCCTGCCTGTGTGACAGGAACAAAGACGGGCTGCCACCTGGCGTGCCTGTCGGGCTCAGTGACCGCGAGCGGCCACGGAAGGGGTTCTGACCGTGTGAAGTGCTGAGTGGGCGCCACGTCCCAGGGCCGCAGGACAGGTCCGCCCGTTCCGTGGGCGAGCTCTGCGTGGTTTTCGAGCATCTAGACTCACGCAGGTGGACTGGCGGAGCGGTCCACGCTCTAGACCTTCGGAGAGGAGCGCTGGTCCTGGGCGGAGGCCCCAACACGACTCGTTGTTCTGCCTGCACGCTCTGTAAACTCTGTCCGGGGTTGACTGTCCTGTCCCCACAAATGTAAAGGAAGTCTGTCTCTCCGTCTTGCTCTGTCCAGTGTGGGAGCATCCCTTCTGCTTTCCCCAGGAACCTCCCCGCCCCTAGTCTGGCACCACGGGTGTCCCTGCTCACGCTGTCCCCTTGGGGTCAGGGTGTGAAACAAGCTGCGGCCTGGAGCGTTTTCTCGGCCCTTTCAGACTTGTCTTCTGCGTCTGGCTCTGAACCCTGGGTCAGACACACTCTTTAAACCTTCAGGTTTGGGACTGACTTCGTGGACAGTAGTAGCATGTGCCCATGTTAGCACGTAGGCATCCAGGGTTCTCACTCCCATCATCAGCCGGTAAATACCTGTACACTCTCTCCAGCGATACCAGGTCTGCGTTTTCCAATTGAACGTGTAAAAAACGACGTCCTGCTGTTGTTTCCACTTGCATTCTCTCTTTTTTGTTTGTTTTAAATATATTGATTATGCTATTACGGTTGTCCCATTTCGCCCCCTTTATTCCCCTCTGCCCTGCACACCCCCTCCCACTTGCATTCTCCCCCTTTAGTTCATGTCCATGGGTCATACATGTAAGTTTCCTGGCTTCTCCATTTCCCATACTATTCTTGCCCCCCCTATTTTCTACCTACTGTTTATGCTACTTACTCTCTGTACCTTTCCCCCTCCCTCCCTCTCCAGCTCCCCCACTGATAACCCTCCACGTGATCTCCATTTCTGTGATTTTCTTCCTGTTCTACTTGTTTGCTTAGTTCATTTTTTTGTTTTTTACTTTTGGTGGTTAATAACTGTGAGTTTGCCATTTTACTGTTCATCTTTTTTTCTGAGATAAGTCACTTTAACATTTTATATAATAAGGGCTTGGTGATGATGAAACTCCTTTAACTTGACCTTACCTGGGAAGCAGTTTACCTGCCCTTCCATTCCAAATGATAGCTTTGCTGGATAGAGTCATTTTGGATGTAGGTCCTTGCCTTTCATGGCTATGATTCGGGTGTGGGAACATTTAAAGATGTCCTGGAGGTTCCTAAGCCTCTCTTCATTTTTCTGAATTCTTGTTTCTTCATCGTGTTCTGGTTGAATGTTTCTTTCTTCCTTCTGGTCCAAAGCATTAGTTTGACTTCTGGTTTCCTTCCCATCACTGTTGGTTCCCTATACATTTTCCTTTATTTCACTTAGCATAGCTGTCATTTCGTCCCCTATTTTGTGACCTTGTTCAACCAATTCTGTGAACTCCTGATGACCAGTGCTTTGAACTCTGTATCTGATAGGTTGGCTATCTCTTTGTTGCTTTTTTTCTGGAGCTTTGATCTATTCTTTCATTTAGGCTATTTTTTTCTTGTCATGACTGTCACGTACTGAGGGGTGGAGCCTTAGGTATTCACCAGGATGGGGCACCCAGTCACTGGGTTGTGACGCTGTATGTGGGGGAGGGTCCGAGAGAGAACAGTGCTGCTTGCTCCGCACTCTGCCAGATTTCAGTCACTTCTCCCACTTCCCACAAAGTGGGCCCTTCTGGTGCTGATTCCTGGGTGGGTGGTTTGTGTACGTTCCAGGACCCTTTGGGTCTCTTCAACAAACTCTCCTGTGAGGCTGGGAATCTCCCAGCACCTCAACCCCCACAGGTGTTTTCAGTCAGAGGTTTGAGGCTTTATTTCCCTGCTGGAACCCTGGGTAGTGGGGTCTGTCTTGCTCCCCAGTTCCTCCCGGTTTATCCACACGTGGATGCAGGACCCCCGTCCACCAGCCAACCCCTTGCCATGAGTCCCCCCGCTGGGCTGCCCATCTCTGCGCCTGCTGATGGTCTGGGTAAGTGTTTCTTCTTTACTTCTTGGTTGTTATACTTCCATACAGTTTGATTTTGTCAGTTTTGGTGTTGTTTTTTTTAATTAGTTGTCCTTTTGGTTGTGCAAGGAGGCACAGTTTGTCTACCTACGCCTCCATCTTGGTCAGAAGCCCTCTCTACTTGCTTTCTCTTATTAGGAGTGAGGTTGGGTATTTATGTAAATAATGTTTGAGCCATTTCCATTTCGTCTACCTTAAACTGTCAGCTTCTACCCTTTGCCCATTTTTCTAGGGGCTTGTTGCTCTTTTATTCAATTACAGGAGTCAGGCACGTCACCGAGGCCTTGGTGTGGCGGCCTGGGAGCCAGCACTGGCAGGAGGCAAGCTGGCGAGGACCACAGGGCCGGTCCAGGCATCCAGAGGGCCTCCTGTGACGTCCACCAGCAGGAAGTCCTCCAGTTCACTGACAGCAGAGCCGAGGTGTCGGGTGAGCAAAGGAGAGCCCAGTGTGGCCAGTGTCGTGCCCCCCTCCAGGGACCCGGACACTTGGGAGGGGAGTCATGGGGGGGCTGGCGGATTGGTTTTAGTTTGGGGCAGATTTTGCTGTTTGCTCGATGAAGGGGCTTCTGCACCTGAATATCTCTCATTAGCCTAAGCTGTTTTGATTGGATTGCAAGATGCTTTTCCCCAGGGGATGTTCTGGCAAGGAGCTCAAAGTAGTTTAGCTGGATCTAATTCTCCTAATTATTCAGCAACAGAGATAGGGTTACACAGGCCTGCTTTAGGGGGGAAAAAAGTTCTGCTCTGGAATCTGGAGTGAGTTTCCCTCTAGAACTGAATGCAGATAGAAGTACAGCGCAGTGACGGGGACCTGGAACAGCCTACCGGAGAGGTTCTCCGGTTCAGAATCGGGGAGAAGAGCTAGGAGGTCGTCGTTCTGTGACGAATGTGCGGCCGAACCCTGTCCGCTCCCCACAGGGGTAGACGGTAGGGGGGCCACAGTGACCCTGCAGCCCCGCCCCACGGGGAGCGGCCACACGCCAGCCTCTGGTCTACAGCCCAGGGGCTGTTCGGACCCAGGCGGCGGGAAGAAACGGCTTTTCACTTCTTACAAAGGGACGCTGAAGGGCCTCCACCTGGGCCTCACTGCACACTGAGTGTTTCTGGCCCCCCCCAAACTCTCGTGTCGGAGCTGATGCCCACGGCGATAGCATCTGGAGGTGAGGCCTGCGGTGCCCACAGGTCCTTCCATGTTTTTAATGCCTGACTAGATCCTAATACAAATGCCACTTTCTCCCAGGCTAATCAGTCATTCATTGGCACTCCTTGGGATCAATTTTTATATTCTCTTTTAAAATTTAAAGTGAAGACTTGGACTTTAATTATACCTGCATTGCAGTTTCAGTGCCTCAGCAGCTCTGATTCGGTGATGACTATGGCGGGGAAGGCAGGCAGGTGGGCGCGATCAGCTGACAGTGCTGTGTGCACAGACAGCGCGCCCGTGGGTTCCGTGTGTTCTCGCTCGTGACTCCTCCCCCTCCGCGCTGGAGAGTTGCTATGGGAGTGAGAACAGGCGAGCACACTGAGGCTGGGAGACCTGCGCCAGCTCACCCGGCGGTATCACCTGGCGCTAGTAAGCTGTAGAGCCGGGGCGCGGCCCAGACGGTCCCGGAGAATCCTGTGCTCACGGCCACTGCTGGGATGCTACAGGCATCGGAACAAGTGGGAGTTCCCACACGCATCACTGTGGTCACACTGCCTACTGCACGGCTGGTGTTTCCTTCCACGGTACTCAGCACTCAGCAGTTACCCGCGCAGTGAACAGAAGGTCACACACAGGTACAGGGACACGATGTGTGCTGTCTCTGGAGAAGGCACAGATTCGGCACAGGTGGGCCGTTGAGGTGGCCCGTGTGAGCCGGGTTCCAGCGAAACAGCCACGAGCAGTCCGACTGCAGTCAGGACTGCAGGGCCCCGCCCGCGGCCTGCGGAGCAGCTCCCCGAGGTGCTCCGTGCAGCAGCAGACACACCGCCTCCTACCGTGCCTACTCAGAAAAGAAATCATTGCTCCAGGTCACATTGGGCGACTTTTATTAACTTAAATCGACATCATCAGCTCTGTCTGCCAAATCCTTGGTAAACACGCCTTTTTTCCATCCACGCCCTAGGCTCTTCTCGGTACCACGGGGTCAGGCTGACTTGCCGTCACTGGTGTTTGTAATGGTTAAACAGTGTTCAAATAATCAAGTTACTGCACTGGAATATTTAAAAGAACATTCTGAGGAGTGTTTGAAAGCTGTGTCTATAAATAGTGATTGACATATTTACTTAGGTATTTGGTGTTGAAAATAAACACTTACATAGAACATCATTTTATTACACTGCTCTACTAAGGAGGCTCATTAATTAGGTACGATGTTTCTAATGCTAAAGAATAAAGCTTTATAGTCATATTTATTTTATTCAGAGGACTCACTGACGAAGAACATCGTGTCCAGCAGTGAGGACTGGCCCAGTGCAAACCGCACTCTGCGGAGGTGGCGGGGAGGCTGGGACGGGGACCAAGGAGACCAGGTGGCCATGTCACACGTGCTTTACACAGACAACCCTTCTCAACAGCAGGGTTAGATGCGGACCGACTGCTTTACAGGTTTTGTGCCTGGTGGCGCTATAATTTCCACACACCGAAGAGAACAGAATAACAGAACACAGTATTTTTAACGGTCGTAGCGTGTTTGGAACCTTCAGCCGCCCGCTCTATTGTCCCATCAGATTGGCAGCTGAAACTTCACATCCACCTGGGCCTGTTTGGCTAAGGTCACTATTTCAGAGAGCTTCACAACCTGAAAGAAAAAAAAAATCTTTGTCCATTCTCAGAAACGCGACATCGGAATTACTGGTCAACGTGAAGTTAACGCCCTCCCCCTCTTTTCCGTGGGGACCGCGGGCTGTCCTGCTGTCAGCCACTTCCCACTTGCAGGAGCACAGAGCACTCGGGCCAACCCCGCCGTCAGCTGCCCCCGGGGACCGCGCACACCAGAAGGTGCTGCGTATCTGACGTGTGGGTACACCTCTGTTTTACTGCCTATGTTTTATCGTTCTTAAAGACGAAAACAGTGTGTTGGTTGGATGCTACACATTGCAAACCACACATAAATAAGTTTGCTTTTTAGAGAAAGGACAGTCTTAACAACACCGGGATGGGAGTTTGGATCTAGAGTTAGTATTTTACTTTCTGCCAGTGAGGTGACAGTTACTGGTTTGAACCCCGGTGTTCTTGCTGTGGTCTCTCTGAGAATACCCAGCTGGTGCCACATAGAACATCACGCAGATTAATTCTGCAAACGAACGACAAATGCAGGTTCTCACCTTCCCCACAGAGTCGTCAGAAGGCAACTTTAGTGAGGCACCTTGGTTTCAAGTCTCACTCAAACGCTTATGACATGTGAACCTGGGTGAGGTCGTTCATCCCGCCTCCTTCCTCATCCCTAAGATGACCTTACACCACCGCACTCACAGGCAGTAATGTGACACTTGGGAAAAGCTCAGCACGGCAAACATGAGAAGTGGGTGACACACAGCAGCAGCTGCTGTGTCACTGCCTCACTAACACGCGTGCCTCCCACAGTCTTCCGGTCGGCAGAGGACTGCGGCCCAGGGCAGATCAGCGGCTGTGCACTTTCACCCCTCCTGTGCCCTCGGCTCAGGGTCCTACCGACTCTCCTCCTTGCTCTCCACGTCCACGAAGCTTTCCTTAATTTGCGCTCTCGCTGCAAACAGGAACGTTTTCAGGGACAGGCTGCAGCCAGCCCATCCCAAACCCTCACCTCACTGCACATCTGATTACTGCCCGCGCCAGCCTCCTTCCATCCCTCAAGGTCAGACAGGCTTTCTGAGCCACTTTCTCCCTGCCACCCCCTTGCTCAGATTGTAAACTAAACTCAGGACTGCACATAAGATCCTCTGTCTGTAAACCGCAGTGAGACTTGTTTACTAACAGGTCCTTTCCCAGAGTTGTCCTCTTATGAAATGACAGTAACTCAGCAAATCCCAAAAGCCCCCTAACTCACTAACCCACACAGCCCTCAAGAGCATGCTGGGAAATGTCTGCAATCACAGGTGGGAAGAACCCAGGGTTCTCCTTTGGAAACATCCGTGTGTCTGTGTGGCGGAGTGTGCCAAGACACAGTGCAAAGTGCAACAGGTGAGAGAAAACGTGTGTAATGACCGTTTTACGGGGGACAGTGCACATACATACATGTGCCCACACACTGCCTGCAAAGTCGACTGTGGGGCAGGAGAAATGGAGTGGGTGTGGCGGTCAGATTCTCAGAGTGTACTTTGTTCGACAGTCATGACACTTTGGACCAAGTAAGTATCTAATACACAAAAGCAATTCCTTAGGAAGACGGCACTGAATGACACCGACTGTATCCCAAGCTGGGATACCACACGCAGCTGTTTCATGTGCGTTTATTTAAAATCCCTGCAGTTGCGCACACAAGTCTTGAGCTGCTTCCAGCAGGTGAGGAGTCGTGTTGCTGGCACCGTTTCCACGCGACTGTCATGTCTGCTCTGTAAGCTGAGTGAGTGAGCATCACTCTGTGCGTCCGTGGGACTCGGGGGGAGAAGAGACAAGAGAAGACTGTACTACTACATTTCTGCTGTTCGTCTTCAACGTCTTTTTCTACACCTACCATTTTAAAAGCTCAGGAATGACCAACAACCCAGCAGCCACACGAACCTTTAGAGTTCAAATGTGACGTCTAAACACCATGTGCCTGATCCTGGAGCAAACAGTGTAGAGGTGAGCCTGGTACATCGGATCAGAGCAGAGAGCCCATCACAGGGCCGGCAGGGAGGACTCGGGAGCCCCCTGAAGAGGCTCCCACTGCCCACAGGGGGGACCCCTTGCACATCAGTAAGAACAACTGAAATGGACTGGAGCCCATCAAACAGGCATAGATCCACTGACGTCAAGCTAGCACATGCGTGTGTGTGTGTGTGTGCGCGCGCACAGACTCCACACATACCTCACAACGAAATGAGAACAAAGCCCGGGGCACTTCCATAGGACAGAGGAATGAACTCACTACTCTGAGAACTCATCAGTGAAGCAAATAACCAAGTAATTGTCCTGCTTTTCCTACCCACAGCTTACTTCCTGTCACTGATAACCAACAGTTGTGGATACCAGGTAGTTTCACTTTTTACAAGCACTCCGTATGGTAAAGAATAACAGAATTAGGACAGTAGCACTTGGCATTTACGAAACACCATTAGGCCTAAGCTATAATTGCCAGTGACTGCCAGGGCCATCTAATGAGGAATAACCTGATGTTAATCACACCTTTCCTGTGGAATTACACAACATCAGCTACAAAATATTCCTGCTCCTTGCTCCCCAAAACCAAATACCCACACGACACGACCGAACTGACCGACCAGGATGGCCAGTGGACAGGAAATACGGGGAGAAGACACCCCAGGGACACACTCATTTCTGTCCTGACTATGGGAAAGGCCACACGACCATCAGCCTGTTCAACAACCTCCAGGAAAACAAAAAACAAAGGAGTCTACAGATGGACAGAGACGTAAGACCGACTGCAGCGCGTACAGACTGCCACTCTGCAGCGCCAGGGCCCACTCACCATTTTAGCAGCTTCGTCCAGGTCGTCACAAGCGAGAATTTTCAGCCCACTGTCTGCGATCAGTGCCTTGGCATCATCTACTTGTGTACCTGGAAAGTGTCGTGTGATGAAAGGCGTTTCAAATGTCTGCACAAAGGCACTAAAGACGCCCGTCCACATGCACAGTGCGACACCGTGGCGTGCGAGCACGCTCGTCACTCAGCGCGGCACACACCACACCAGAGACGCGGGGGACACACAAACCTCTCGGGTTGTACCGAGCGAAACTGTGAACAGCTCTGCCCCCCTGCTAAGAAACTTAATGCCACACTGCTTAAATTCCCTGTGACACAGAGCTCTCATCTGAAAGACACAGCTGTGTTTTAAAAGAGCTGAACGTTTCAGCAGCCAGGGTTCAGGGTGCGGGCTGCGCCCCACTCACCCTGTAGCCGCACCACGATGGGGATTTTAATTTCCAGGTCCTTCACCGCCATGACGATGCCCTGGGCAATGACGTCACACCGCATGATGCCGCCGAAGATGTTGACCAGGATGGCCAGTACCTGTCAGTAATGTGGTTTTTAGCAGGTTAAAATTTTAAAGAAATGCGTATGTGTCCTTCCTTCCCAAGAAAATAGCGTTTGTCCCTTACGATAAAAGTTAGTTCTGTGGAACCCCTTTCAGACCAAGGAGCCGCCCCTCTGTATGCCACACCGCTGACATCCGGGCATCCAGCTCCTGTTCCCCTTCCGCCCCACCTGCGCAGACCTCCTGATGCCAGTCACCTGTCCCCTATTAACCCAGCCGTCCACCAGCAGGACCACCCTGACCACGAGCAGCAAGGCCATGTCGCAGGCAAGATCTGCTCGTGCTCACTGACTGTCCTCTCCCCTCCCCTATCCCCGCCCACCCAACACACTGTTCAAGGCAGCCAGGCCCCAGGACCGCCCCCTTCTGTGCACGCACTCGCCCCCCAGCTGCACGTCACACCCAGCTGGGGGCCTGCTGGGTTGTGTTCCTTCGCCATCACACCGATAACCCAAGTCACTGATCTTCCATCCTTCATAAAAAGGAAGGAAGATCCTTCCTTTTTATGAAGGAAGATCCTTTTCCTTTTTTAATGCACTGCACCCTGGTGGAGTTACAGACGGATCGAGATACTGTAAATCAATAGTTACAGAAGTTGTCTCTGGACAGAACTGGAGATGATTTTTTATTTTCTTCTTTTTAGCTTTAAGACTTTTCAAAGGAATACACCTCCATGCCAAATCACTAGCATTTTTACTAACAATCTAGCATCTCTTCATCTTGTGTTCTAAGTCACAATGGGAACCTGCCTTTTTCTGTGGTTGACTTTTACTGAGTTTGACTGCAGCCAATGTTCTCCTACGATGGAGATGTTCTCCCACGATGGAGGACTTTTAAACTGAAATGCTCAGCTAGGGTACCAATCACATCTGCTAGTGAATCCAGCGCTGCCTCACCTTTGCACTCTGAAACACAAGCCCTGCCCTTACCTTTTTATCGGAAGTGATGAGCTTAAATGCCTCTGTTACTTGATGGACTGTAGCACCACCGCCGACGTCCAGGAAGTTGGCTGGCGTCCCTCCGTGGAGTTTGATGATGTCCATTGTGGCCATGGCCAGACCAGCACCGTTCACTGGGGGGGGGGGGGAATAGTGTGTGTGAGCAACAGCACAACGAAAACACGGCACAGTGAGCTGAGCTGGCCCGACTCTTAACGCGAGAACACGGTACCGAGACAGCCTATGTTCCCGTCGAGGCCGATGTAGTTGATATCTGCCTTCGCCGCGTCTCTGTCCCTTTCATCTTCCTGGGTCCAGTCCTGCAGATCAAAGATCTTCTTCTGGCGATAAGCTGAGTTAGAATCGAAATTGATCTTTGCGTCCATACAGAGCACTTAAAGGGGGAAAAAGAAAGTGATCTTAATTTCAAGGCAGATACAGTACACCGTCCAATAACCAAACATTCTTCAGTTTAGGGGAAAAACACATTCTGCTACTTTATTGTAAGTATTTCAACTTATGTTCATTCACAATGGATTCAACACTTTCTTCAAAAACAGAACTTGGAATTGAAACTACCTCTTCAAAGTTACTTATTCTATATATATTCTAGGCAACAGACGAAGAGAAGAAACACCTCAAAGCACAGGAGTATTTTTTAAATTGCCGATTAACTGTTTGTGCCCCTGGCCAACTTGGGGCCCCTGCACTTGGGCCCCAAATTCCACCTCCTCCCACCTGCTCAGAGACACGGCGCCAGCAGGTCTGTCTCCCCCACATTGTACCTCCTTCCCCTGCTATGGGCTAAATCAAAATGACTTGCAAAAACACGGTCCTTTCCTCCATCTTAATAAAAAGAAAACATATTTCAGTCCTTACATCTGCCTTACTCTTCTCTTCCTGTACAGCAAAACCAGGGATCAGGGAACTATGGCCCAAGGGCCAGATTTGGCCTGTGAGTTAAGAATGGGTTTATAGCTCTGTCTAGTGTGGGTCAGTGGACTGAGCACCGGCCTGTGAACCAAAGGGTTGCCGGTTCCATTCCCAGTCAGGCCAGGGTTGTGGGCCAGGTCCCCAGTAGGGGGCACGCCAGAGACAACCACACACTGCTGTTTCTCTCCCTCTCTCCCCCTATCTAAAAATAAGTAAATAATATCTTTTTAAAAATTAAGAAGGAATAAGAGGCCACAGGAGCCAGCTTACAAGTGCTTCTACTGGCCACATTGGGGGTAATCTGAGCAACAGGAAATGGATGAAACCTGGATCACAGCCCGTCTGACATAAACAGATGAACGAGCAGGTGGAGAAGAAGGGAGTGCTCTTCTTCACAAGGCAATGCTAGGCCGTCGACACAGGGGCTAATGGGTCCGAAAATGGTCAGGAGATGCCCAAACTAACAGGTACAAGTGTGATCAGGGACAGTCTCAAAACACTTTCCCACGAATTTCCTAATAATTGCAAATGGAAAAACCAGGGATTCGATCGTCAAGAACTCTGGTGGACACGACCCGAGCCAGCTGATGCCGGTTAACACGGTCAGTGCTGGAGCACACCTCGGAGCACGCCTCCTGCCACCGCCTGCCGGGAAGCACAAAACCCCACGACGTAACTCAGGCAGGGAGACCTGAACGGAAGAACGTGCCGCAAAATAGATGACTCCTCCCCACAGAAACAAAAGCATGGACTGAACGTGTGTCCAGGCCAAGACACGAAGCAAAGGCGAGGCGCTGAGGCCACACAGAGCTGGCACCCAAACCCACTGGCACTGGACCGGGGCGCGGGACCAGGCAGGAGTTGGGGGGGCCTGTCTCCATTTGGCGGATGTGCCGTGGACTAGATAGCACTTTATCAACGTTAAATCCCTGGTTTTGATAAACATAGAGGTTATATGAAGGAGTGTTTTTAGACACTAACATAGTTCGGGATGACCAAGAACAGTGTCTCCAATTGGTGCTTGGATGACTCTAAGAACCTATCTGCACACACGTGCACTATGTAGAGAAAGAAAGAATAAGGCAAATAACGCAAAATGTACGTGACTGGCGATGTGGAGCAGACGGTAAAGGGGAGTCCCTTGCACCATTTTCTCTCTGTATCCGAAAGTTGGGGGGCATATAACACCACATTCACAGTGAGCAGTGACTTAGCAGAAGTTCACCCGTCATATTAAATCGATGCTGCTGAACGGAAAACAGGCTATAAAGCTTGATCATGTTTTTTGCCGCAGCAGCAAATTTTTTTCTGTTCAGAAAAAAATATTGGCAATTTTTATCCTTTTATTTCCCATACGAACTATGTAATGATCCATTTTTCATATTCAAAATTCTTAGATGCATTTAAGTTATATATCAACTAAGAAACTGACCACTTTTGATAACTCTTCCTTCCAAAGAGCACTACATACTTTGCAGTTTGCTCAGTTCTAAATATTTTCTCATTTCCATTATTTCTTAACTCATGAAGTATTCTCATTAAATTTAAAAAAAAGGATGATGTCTTACATTAATTTCTAACTTTACTGCTGTGTGCTTAAAGACTATTAACTATGTTATTCTTACCTATTTGTTGAGACTTTTAAATTGTAGGTCAATATTTTATTTTTTAATTGGCATTAATTTTTTTTAAATGTGGGGTAAGGGGTGTGTGTGTGTATCCACTATGTTCAAAACCTTAAGTGAGGAGCACAGAGCAAAGGCAGTAGCCTTTACTGGGTCTCTTGGGTAAAGACTCCAAAGGACCGAGACAGGCTCACTCGGGAGCCAGTGGAGGGTGATTCTCCACTGCGAACACTCTTGGGGTGAAATCCCCAGGAAGCAGACTTCTTAGGCCTGAGCTCCATAATGAAAAAAGTTTTAATGAAAGACATGATATTTCAGTCTTACCCTTTTCAACACATGTAGAACAAAGGCTGTCAAAGGGACAAGCCACCTGCACTTCTCCAGTGGCTAAAAATAAAGACCCACTGTGTCTCTGCGGTCGAACACTCGGGGCGGTCAGGCCGGCGCACTCCCCAAAGCTGCGGCGCCTCCGAGGCCACACCGGGCACTCCGCCCGGCACAGCCCAGAAGAGCCTCCGGCAGTTCTGTCTGCGTGCTGTCCCATGCAGTGCCTACGTGTGGCCACAGGTGGGGCCCCTGAAACGTGACTACTGTGACTGAGGAGTACTTGAACCTTGTCATCATTTTAATTAATCCTGACTGCCACATACAGCCGGTGGCCACCACACTGGACAATGCAGCTTCACGCCCTCTGTGTGTACCTCAATACAAATCTAAGATATTTAAAGTGTTTGCTTTAATGAGCCTCTTTAATGTTTACATTCCCTGTTTATCACAAAACAAGCTCCTACATAGGAACGAGTTCATTTCCTTATGCGTTCAGCTCTCTGAGTCAAGTGCACAGTAGGTGGGTGAGCACGGAACCAGGGTTGGGTGAGGGGACAGCGTACCGGCTCCGTCGGAGTCCTCCACCATCGGGTTGATCTCCACCATGGTCGCGTCGTACTTCAGAAACAGGTTGTAAAGCTTGATCATGTTTTCTGCCGCAGAATCCACAATGCCGGGCGGAAACCCCATCTTCTGCGCCAGCTGAAAGCAATTTGTCTCTTTACGGGATGCCATGCATACCCAGACGACACTCAATGACTACACGTCAGAACGGGTCCCTCTGCTACTTCGGTAAGCATGGTCAGGTGTGGGGGCCACTGCCGCCACTGAGAGCCTCAACAGACCTCTGCCCCCCAGACCCTCCGCACGGGGCAGGCTGCGTCCACTTCCCACGCACCGGCCGCTCTCTCACCTCGGGTTCGGTCCGTGCTCACCCCACGGCCTCCACACGGCCTCGTGGCCTCGTGGCCGGCCTGGTTAACGCTGCACTAAGACCACACCAGGGATACAGACGGTGGTGCACTGACGGTCCGAGGGGCCCAAACAGTGTGTCGCCTGTTGAGTGATTTGTGAAGAGCATCTACCGAGCAAGGAGGCCGTACCTGTCACATAGGCGTCACCTCCCTCACTCCACACACTACTGAGCACATGGTGGGCAGAGGGGGTCGAGGGAGCTCACAGATGTTTGTACGGAAACACAACAGTTGGTAAATAATAATACAAGCAAACTCTGTGTTCTGCACACTCCCAACTGTGACCTGCTTTTGCCCCACCCGGTGTGGCAGGCCCCGGAGACACAGGGTGTGAGCTTCCGCTCTCGTGTGAGCTTCCGCTCTCGTGGAGGAGTCCACAGGCTTCAGCGGAGGCTGCTAACTACACAGGCACGAAGAGCTCCCGACAGAGCACATCAGTGAAGACCCGGCCTAGAAGAGCTGACTCACTAGCCCGACAGTGGACCCCGAGTCTGCCCCCCCCCCCCCGCGCTGTGCTGCTCAGGAACGCCACAGAGGGCTTTCCTCCCGGGCTGTGTCACGGGCCACACCACATCCCGCTGTCAGTGACAGGATCTCAAGTTCCTGGAGGGTGAATGTGATTTTCTGCAAAAAGTCCAGTGCCAATATATAAAGTAACTGATCAAGCTAGGAAATGCCATTTTTGGTTAAGGCTGAATTCAAATAAAAAATAACAAGCCTTGATCAGCATGGCTCAGTGGGTTGGGCATCATCCCCAAAACCAAAGGGTCACCAGTTCAATTCCTGGGCAGGGCACAAGCACGGGTTGCGGGCCAGGCCCTGGTTAGGGGACTACAAGAGGCAACGGACAGGCCACAACCCACTCTCAGGCTTGAACACCTGGGAACTCCGGCAGACTTCTGATCGACCCAGAATGACACTGATCTGCCAAGCACTGTGCTGGGTGCTAATTGTGCTCCATGCTCAAAAAGCCTCAGCGGAGTCTTCCTCCGAGAACCGTGGAAACGAAGGCCCTGCTCCCTGCTCGCCTGCACCCCCAGCTGCCACCTCACACAAACACCTACTGGGTCGGACCTCTGTCCCCTTTTGACCTGTATGCCACTCGCTTGTCTTGATGACTCACTTCCAGCTTCATCAGGAAAATTTCTCTGTCCCTTCTAAACTTTCGTGCAGTCAAGTCTTACTCTGCTGGACTTCAATACCAGAAGCTTCTTCTGACAATTCCCACTAACACACACAAATGTCACTCAAACTTTAATACTCCGACTCTTCGTTGAACACAAGTCACTGAGTTCCATATCCAAGCTGAACAGCCTGCTCGGCAGCAGTGCTGCAAACGTTACCGAGCAGGCCACGCGGCGCGCTCAACCGCATGCCCGGGTCTGCGTGCTTTCGGGTGGGGCGGGGGCGGGGGAAACGGAAGGGAAGGGAAGGAGAAGCTCACGAGAAGCACGCAGACGACCAGTGAAGCTGAGAACAGGCTCGATCACGCACGTGCCCACACAGAGAAAGTCCACAGCTTTCGGCAGATTCGTCAGTCCCCACCCACACAGAGTGCGAGAGAAAAGGAATGTGAGACAATCGGGAACTGGGAATGACCGGACCAGTGATGATATGAAGAATTACTGTTCACTGGACTGGGTGTGGCTATACATTGTACATACTTCTAATAGTTTCCATTTCAAACAAGACATTAACATGCCCTGACACTCAAAAAAATTATTTTAAGTTTTGTCAGTCATTTCACTTGTACAAAGTTACCTCTCTTTCTTCCCATATTATAATCTCCTAACCAAAAGCTAGAAGTGTTTCGGAATGCGACCTACCCGGACGGCTTGCTCCTTCTTGATGCCTTCCACGATATCGATAGGTTCCTTCACTATGGCTTCCGGGTTTTCTGCAGCGACATCTTCAATGTTGACACCGCCCTGAGAACTTCCTATTAATACAGGGCCCTATGGGGAGAAAAACCAGCCCAAACTTTCAGATTTGATTTTGGACCCATCAGTAAAGGTGTAAAATGTACTTGTGCACAGTCAGACTTACACACCGGTCACTGCCCACTGCTGCTTTAAATGCGCTGGAGGGTTGGTCCTAGTGCCTCCTGCACAACGGCCCCTGTACTAAATGTTCAACTGAGATCGCGGAACAGGGAAAAGGCAAAGACAACGGCTCACGATGAGGGAAAGGCGTGCACCACCCCGGACGTAAACAACCGCGCTGGGACTCACTGTGGAGCCGAAGGGGGACAACTGGAGTAACATGAACAGGAAAAAACCCAAGAAGGAAGTTAAGAAAACGATCCATTTGCAGTAGCATCAAAAAGAATCACGTGTCAGGAATAAACTTAACCGAGGCGGTGCAAGACCTGTATGCTGCAAACCACGAAACACCGCTGGGAACCGAGGCAGGTGCAAAGAGGAAGACATCCGGTGTTCACGGACTGAGCCCCGACTTTGTTAAAACGTCCAACATTACCCAAAGCAATGTACAAATTCAGTAGAATCCATACTGTAATCCCAATGGTATTTTCCCCCATACAATTTTTTCCATTTTCAATTTTTTTTGCAAAAATAGAAAAAAATTTTCTAAAGCTCATATGGACTCTCAAAGGCCTCTGAATAACCAAAATAATCTTGAGAAAGGAAACGAAGCTGGAGGCCTCATACCTCCTCATTTCAAAACTACAGTCACCCAGAGAGCGTTGCCGCCATGCAGACAGACACAGGGAACAATGGAACGAACAGAGGACCCGGCGTATGTGGTCCAACAGTCTTAGACAGAGGTGCCAAAGACTACACCATGGCTAAGGGACCGTGTCTTCAACAACATGCTGCAGAAACCAGGTATCCATGAGTGAAATAAGGAAGTCGGACCTTTACCTTATACCATATTCAAAAACCAGCTCAAGATGGGCTAACGACCTAAATGTAGGACCTGAAACTGTAAAAACTCCCAAGGTAAAGCATAGGGGAAGAGCCTCATGACATTGGATTTGACAGGAATTTCTTGGATAAGACAACAAAGCCCAGGAGACAAAAGCAAAAACAGATAAGCAGTTCTATACCAAACAAAAATGTCTATGCAACAGAAGAAAACCATCAGCAGAGTGAAAAGGCAGCCTACAGAGTAAGAAAAAATATCTGCAAACTGTGCATTTAATGAGATTAATATTCTAAATATGCATATACAGAGAACTACAACTCAACAACAGAAAACACACAATCCAAATCAGAAATGGAGGACGGACTTGAATGGACGTGTCCCCAAAGGACAGAAGCCTTAGCGCAGGCTGCTGTGACCCAGGTCTGCAGGCCTCGTGGCCTGGCCAACGGGCCCGTCTCCGTGTGTGTGCTTCATACCCACACTCCTCTCCTCAGCACGTGGCTGCTTGGCCACGACATTCACATTCCATTCCTGCTTGGCCACGACATTCACATTCCATTCCTGCTTGGCCACGACATTCACATTCCATTCCAAACAGCTTTCTCATTGTTTGCAATACAGTGATACCTCCTTATTTGCAGGGGACACATTCCAAGTCCCCCTGTAGATGCCTAAAACTGCATAGTATCAAACCCTACATATATTGGGGTGGCCACAGAGTTCACTTGTTTTTTTTCTATACCATGGCTCTAGTAGTACTTAGTTGTCCTTAACTTCATTCAGAACAATTTTGTTAGATTGTATGTGACAGCTGTCATATCAGCACGCATTTTTAAAAGCCGATTTTAGAGTGAGAGGAAGGAGAGAAACATCAATTTGTTGTTCCAATTATTCATGCATTCACTGGTTGATTCTTGTATGTGCAATGACTGGGAATTGAACCTGCAACCTTAGCATTTCAGGACAGTGCTCTAACCAACTGAGCCACCTGGCCGGGGCTGATGAATTATTTCATTGTTTAACCGGGATCTATCTACAGGGATTCCAAAAAATTCACTGTATCCCAAAAAGTAACACCAGCCAACTCCACAGCGGTCTAAGATGAGAGCATCAAGAACATTATAATAATGTCTTTGGCCAAATGGTTTTACTAGTACTATCAAATTTTAGTCTGAATTATTATAATTATGTATTACTTTTTGTATTTCATTTTGCAAACGAAATAACATTTTTTCCTTGAGACGGAAATAGTTCTCTGACAATTTGCATCCTTAAAGTGAACTCAGATTTCATCCTCTTCCCTAATGCTCTAATCTCCAACAACACCTGCGTGGTGCACGGTGACGTCTGTACTGACACACTTTGTTTGCTACAGGTACTCCAGTCACTGTGCGCTGCTCTGGATGTACTGTGTCACGGCGCTCCGTCTCGAGTTGTTCAGGCACACACACCTGGTTTCAGCCATAACAAAAAGTAAGAACACAGTAACGAAATGACAGATGCTGATGTAGAATACCAATAAAAAGGAAAAAATAGAGTGAAAAGAAGTGAGTTTGTAAAAACACGGTTTTTGCCAATGTGTGTGATGTGTGATGGGACTGCTCGGACGACCCACACGGCCGAGCTCTGCCACACAGGGGACCCACAGAGGGAAGGACACCCGAGCCGTCTCACGTCCTGAGTGGGTCTTCACTGCCATGTACTGCCATGTGCTGTGCTACCTCAAGAGAGAACCGCATCTTGCTGTGTATGACGTGCACCCACGTTTCTGTGTGCGTTACACATGGGATTGTTACGCCCCATTATTATACCCATGTATAATGCGCATCCTTGTTTTCCCCTAAAAAATCGGGGCAAAAATGTGATTTCAGTTGTTCTTAGCAAATCAACAATTTAGAAATCCTGTGGATTTTATTTCAGCAGGGCTTTGCCTACAGCTTTTTTTTTTTTACCACAATATTATATATTAAATGTTATGGCATCAGTCATGCTATTTTTTAAATGACACAAAATAAATATTGTGCTATGACACGCACAAACAGAAGTAATACTCAAGTTTTAAAACAGTGTATTAAAATCACCCGAGGTAGATCATGACTACTCACCTGAAATGACCTTTCCATTGTTATCGCGAAGTAGTACTCTCTCCTGGGGTATCTCCGCTCACAAACCAACACTTGGTTGCAAATCCTGCCCTTTTCTCCTGTTTGCTTGGTAAACAGCTTTTTCCCAATCATTTGTGAGGAGACAGCTTTTGCTTCTTCTGGACTGAAATAAGAAAAAGAATTCAAAATTCTTTTTCCTCCAAATGAGAAAAACAAAAGCCTATGATAGCCAAAATCTCATTTCATCTAATATTTAAATTTCAGTATTTTCATCAATTCAGTAAGGAGGGGAATCTTTTACAACGTGTGATTCTCTTCAATAGTGACTTTTTCCAAAAACGTGACTTACGAGAAAACTATCTTCACTCCTCCTTTGAGGCCACTTTCAAATGTTCCTTTTCCTCTGCCACCAGCTAAAACCTGTGCCTTTATCACAACATCTTTTGAACCTAGAAGAGAAACACTCTATTAGACAAGCAGCATGGGTTTTACCACAGAGATAAAACAGTGGTCTTAAGGATGCTCAGTGCACTTGGGAAAAGTAGATGACCTCAGTGAGAACTTCAACAAAGATACAGGAAACACAAAAGGGGAGACGGAAAACTTAAAAAAGAACTAGCAGCTGAGGCATACAATAGCTGAAAAGAATACATTAGAGAGAATCAGCAGCAGGTTATATGAAACAGAGGATCAAATCAGTGATTTGTAAGACAAGGTAGCAGAAATTTAATCTTGTAATTAAAACAGGGAAAAAAATCCCCCAAATTGAGGCTAGTTTAAGTGGCCTCTGGCACCATCACAAGCTTAACAACATTCGCATCATGAGGACACCGGAAGGAGGGAGAAGCAAGAGACTGAAAACCTGTTTGAGGAAATGACGACAGAAAACTTCCCTGACCAGGCAGCATCGAAGACATGTAAGCCCAGGATGCACAGGGAGCCCCAAACAGGCCCCCCATCGAGACACGTCACGACTGAGATGCCAAAGGTGGAAGACAAAGAGCGGACCTTGAAAGCAGCAGGAGAAAAAAGCAGCCGGTGTTCCACCAGGGGGCGCCACGCCTTGTGCAGTCAGACCCCACATCTGTCTGCTGTGATGTTGGTGACTCGCTGCGACCCGACCGAAGTCACCGGCTGTAGGGCCCAGTGGCCTCATCCCCACACTGACTGGCTTCTCCTGCCACCCACAGGACTGAGGGGAAGCACCAGTCTGTGACACCTGCGTTGCGCTTACCCTAGTGCGTCAGCAGGTACGAGGTTCTAAGAAATGTGCATTAGCACTTCGTGAATTGTGCAGTAATTCAGGAGGCAAGGCAGCCAGAATCAGTACTGGGACTCACCAGTCTGATGGACAAAAGCAGGTGTATTTCTAAGGTAACTCATACCACACCCGAGTAATTAAATCCCATAACCACTGTCTTAATGATATTCGTGACTCGCTGGGACAGACACTGTCGACCTCTGCACAGCAGATACTGAGCACATCCTTCACAAAGCAGCTTTCTGTCCCCCGGATGTAGAGGTCCCTGTCTAGTCACTGTACTCACCATTCGCAGTGCTCTTCAATGAGAGCAAACTCTGGGGGGGGGGGGCAGATGCCGTCCACCCCTCGGGGCTCGGCACTGCAGCTGCCCACCTGCCGCTCCCCACCACTTGTGAGTCCGAAACCTAGAGCACTTGCTGGAAGTAATCACAGTTGCACTGTATCTTACACATAACTATTTTTTCTTCCATAGCTAAGAATCACTAAAGATTTTTACAGACAGTAAAGAATTCAAAAGCTTGGCATCCAAATAAATCCTACTCATTTTATGAGAGTTCTACAATTTTTTTTCTAATAGAAGAACAGTGAAATAAGACTAAATGAGGAAATATATGAAAATTTTCAAAAAAAATTATGATAATTATAAAATTTGGAAACAAGAAGAGACAGCTTTTACTGACTTCATTATGCATAAATCGGGCCCTACTAATATTACTGGTATGGAAAACATTCAGCATTATTATGAAGGAAAGAACTGGTAGACAAAAAAATCACTCAAAAGATTAAAGTAACAAAAATTTTAAAAAAAGAAAGTCAAAGGGTTGGGAATTCATCCTTGAGGACACAAGGACAGAATAAGAAAAACTAACTTTCTCAATTACACTTCCAAGTTTTCCTTCTTTCCTAACAGATCTTCTTTAGAAATTAACATTTTAGGTCATATATAAAAAGACTGAATCTCAAGGCAGTTTATTAAAAAGTAGCCTTTGCAAGAAATACTACAGAAATATAAAGTACAATCATGAGTTTTCTTCCAGCCTTGACCCTTAAGAGCCTTTTATACATGGTGCTTCCAAGGTAACAATGAGGTCCATCTTTTACCATGTCCAAGTTCAAACTACAGGTCACCATCAATTAACAAAAATTTCACCAAAATCAGCATGAATTTACACAAGGTTTTGCTAAATAAAAAGAAGTTTGCTTGTAATCTAATGTTTCAGATTAAAACGAATGTTTCAGATGAACAACAACAAAAACGGTGAATGAAAAATCACGCTCCAAGTCACGGAAGTCACGGCCACCAACCACGTCTGAAAGCTCAGTCTGTGACACGTGGCCACTGTGGTTGTGAGCATGCCCTCACTGCTGAAAAAAAAACCCTTCTGGATCAAGCAAGTACAAGCAGAGAGGGAACTTTAAACTTTTAAAAACATTTTTGAATGTTCCAAGTGTTTTTCTTGAACAATAAGTAACACCAAAGTCTTCATAAAAGCACAATTAAAGCCATGTAATCAAAGGTACATACAGGAGTGATTAACTGTGCCAACCCACAAAGATACTGGTGGAATTAATTAGTTAATTAAATTTCAAAAAAACTTTTAGAGAAAGGAGAAGGGAAGGAGAAAAAGTGGAAGAAAAACATCAGTGTGTGGTTGCCTCTCATGTGTGCCCTACTGGGGACCTTGCCTGCAACCCAGGCATGTGCCCTGACTGGGAATCGAACTGGCAACCCTTAAGTTTGGAAGCTGGCACTCAGTCCACTGAGCCACACCAGCCAGGGCAGATATTGGTAGAATTTTAAGTACTGCTAAAAAACAAAACATATTATATAGCTAGTACATTACTCATTATTAAATTCTCTCATTATATCATTAAAAAATAAACTGAAGATTATTTTCTAAAGTCAAAATTTATGTTTTAATTACAAGGTTAAATTCGAATTAACAAAAGCTATTAAGATTTCTGTTATCAATTAAAGAACCTACTAACAGACACAGGCAACTACTTAATTCATTTATATTCATTATGTATAATTCATTTATATTCACTGTAACTCATTTATATTCCTTATGTATAATTCATTTATGTTCACTTACATAACTCATTTATAGTCATTACTCTTAATTCATCAATATTTACTGGTTACCCAAACGTCAGGCACTCTTACTCTTCTCCGAGTTGGGGAGATGTCAGTGAACGGAATTAGACAAAGAAGCTCTATTCTCATGGAGTCTGAATTCTAGTACTCAACTTTCTGTTCTCCTCTTGGCTCCCTGTTTTTTAATGTCCAGAAAGGTTTGGGGGGCAGATACTGAACCTCTTTACAATCACATGAATGGCTAGACTGTCTTTCACCGCTCTTTGAAGAATCACCACAGCACCCACACTTTTAGACTGCGGGGCTGTAAAACATAATTTCCCTCTCACTCCACTGTAGCTGACTACAGATCGGACTTGAGCTTCCTAACACACTATAAGAAAGCCTTAAGTTACTAGCACTGTAGGAGCTCATACTCATACTAATTTTAGAGCATCGACAATCATAAAGTCCTGCTTTCTAAGTAAACTATTTTTTTAGCTTTATTAATAAAATAAAAACTAAAAGTTGTCATTACACCAAAAGTAAAGTTCTCATCTTCTCAGAGTTGCCATGTCAAGGTGGCGTGAGTTTTTTAATTCAGTACCTAATTTTTTGGCGATGGCATAAGCTTCGTCTGGTGACTTGGCCACATGTCCCTTGGGAATGTTGACCCCCGCGTCCTGCAACAGCTCCATGCTCATGTACTCATGCAGAGCGAGATTCCTTCGTTGCTGCTGCTGCACTTGGAGTCCATGGTTGTTAAACAATCCAGAACTCCCCAGAACCTGAAGAAATTGGGGATATATTTACATATGACAGTCATTTGGCAGTCATTCTTATTAAAGACACCTTCTCAAAACACTTTGTTTCTATGGATAGTTGGTTCTTTGTAACTGTAACAAACTTGTTATGCTCAATAAAATGTAGTATACGCAGTACCCAAATCACAACATAAAATTAAAAGCTAATCTACCAGATATCAAATGTGACCCTTGCAGTTTTACTTCCTTCCTCGTCACCTCTCATCTGAGCTTTACCACACTATCTCCAAGGAGCTACAGAGCATTTCTGTTTCAAGGGCAAATTCAGCAGATCTAAAATGAATCTTCTTTCCCAACTGAAAAACCCTTCCCAACTTTCTTCTCTCCACCATTCCTCCAGTACCTGACAAACTGCCTGGCACTTGGTATGTGATAATCAAACGATTGGGCACCATCACTCCTTCACACACTCAAGACTCAAAAGCCTGCACTGGACGTTGTAGCACAAGGCTCAGTCCTCCCTCCAGGACCACGGCGGTCGCAGCCCCAGCTGCCGGGAGTGCGGGCTGCTCTCAGCGGAGATGGGAGTCATCCCTCTGTCGGGTACATCCACACTGCATACGCTGCCCGCCCATTAGTCACGTAGCAGCCACCGTGGTTACCAGATCGACTGCCATGTATCGCAATGCTTGTGTGCAAGCCACCTTTATGTTACCTCGGGGTGTCCCCAAAGCCTCTGTCCCACGTGCTAACACGTATATCACCATAATTGTTCCAGTGTGTTCTGTTGCTGCTGCAGATCTTACTGTGCCTGATTTATAAATTAACTTTACGACAGGTATGCATGTACAGGAAAAAACAACACACCCAAGGGTTCGGTGCTGTCCGTGGTTTCAGACACCTGCTGGGGGTCTGGGAACACGTCCCCACGGTGAACGGGAGACTTCTGTGTATCTGTACAGTTTCTTTCAACTACTTATACTTACAGAGAATTAGCAGGACACAGAGGGCACTGCTGAGAGCTTTTATACCACTTTAAAGGTTTTTAAAAAATATCTGAAGTATCTCATCCTTTCATACCAAAATTCAACGTGTGACCTTGAAAAAGTTTCCTAGGACCCTGCACTTCCAAGTCCTCATCTACAAAAGCAAGGGGACAGACTACCAAGGTCCTTCCAAACTCTAAAGCCTCATTACTTAATGTGAGGTAGAAGAGAAGATGTTATTAAGACAATACACCAGGCATCTCCATACAGAGACACAAAGGCTTACAAAGGAATATCCAAAAGTATAAAGATTATGATTATGATGAAAACATAATCTAAAAACTAGACAGCACCCTTTACGATTCATAAGAAGAAAGTCCAAGGCCAAAACACATCATGTTTCCTATTAGAAAGCAAACTCCTGAAAATCACTATCTCTAGGCTGAAAATGAGAACAGCTTCTAAAAGAGAAAGACAAGGGTCAAAATCAATTCCTTTACACGTCTGAGGAGTTACTTCTTACAAAGCCAATTATGCCCTTCCTCAAGTTTCAACGTATCAGCATTGAAAAGAATCAGGGCCCGGAAAAAAACTGTAGAGCAGTTTCAAGCACACGAGCTCGGGCCAGACAGTTCTGGAATTACACCTGAGCTCCGACCTTACTACCTGTTCCTGACCTAACCCAAGTTACTCGCCCTCTTGGCGACAGCTGCTTCATCAGCGGCGAGGACGTTAAGGCCTCCCTGCGGTGCTGCTGAAAAGCCTAGTAAGAGACTCCGTGCAAAATGCTCAGCACATACCTGGCACACAGGAAACACTAAAAACCAAACCAAACCTGTGGCCATGATGCTATAATGTATCCAGAAATGAAGTGACCCAAAACACTGTTTTCTTACTTCCCCAGCTGGTCACCTGGGAAACATCATCTCATTTCCGTAGGAGCAAACGGGGCGAGCGGTACTCGACGGCCCGCGGGAGGGAGACAGCGAACTTCCCCGCCTCGCCCCAAGAAAGCCGTCAGCAAACACCGCGGTCCCCACCTCCGACAGCTCCCCGGGAACACCGAGTGCATCTGAAGGGCACGTTCCCGTCCCCAAAGGTGACCGCGAGAGCCTCGGCCCGCCTAGCAGGACCGGGAAGGGCAGAAAGGGACCGCCCGACCTCGCACCTGCCCTCGGACCCCACCCCAGTCCCCCGCCGCCCCCTCGAACCGGGAGGAGCAGCGGCAGCCGAGTCCCCAGGCTCCTCACGGACTGAGGGCCGGAGCCAAGCAACGCAGACAGAAGCCGGCTCGCAGTCGCGGGCGAGCCGCCCGCAGAGCCGCGGTGCACCTGGTGTCAGCCAATGTCACCGATGTCAGCTGGGCCTCCGATCCTTTCCCAACCTGGCCCGCCGGGGCCGAGTCTCCCGCCTCGCCCTTCCTCCCACCGACCCTCCGAGCACGAGCAGGCTGGGCTCCGTACCTGGGCGGCGGCCCCCAGCGCCCTCCGGGGCGGGTGGCTCCTTAGGGTAGCTGCGACTAAGAGCCGGCTGCAGAATATGGAGGCCGCCATTTCTGCGCCCGACCCGTCCCCTCCGCGCCTGCGCAGGCGCAGCAAGGGGGGCGCCCGCGACGCAGCTGCTTGGCCGCGCGGGGGCGGGGCCCGGGGTTAACGAGGCGGGTGCCGGACGCCCTGGGGTTGGCAAAAGCAGAAACTGCTGGGCTCAGGATAAGCAGGCTTAGGCGAACTTTGGTCTTTGGAACTGGGCGCTGCCTCGATATCCGACCTGCGGCCAGAGGGCACCTGAACCCAGTGAAAGGTAATGGAAGGGCAACCGGCACCTGCACCTGTGTGTGTGATCTTAACTTCTCTGAGTCTCGGTTGGTTCATCTGTAAGATGATGTGCGTTCAAAGACCAAGCCTGGCCAGGTAGTTCAGTTGATTGGAGTAATGTCCCAATGTACGTCAAGGTTGCGGATTTGATCCCTGGTCAGAGCACATGCATCAATCAACCAATGATTGCATAGCTAAGCAGAAGACAAATCCCTATTTCTCTCTCTCCCCTCACCCCCTTTTTCCCCCTGAAAACCAATAAATTTAAAAAGGTACTATTATTATACACTCAGGGCATACAAAAAAGTGGAGACGACTTCTCCTTAAATGAGTTGGCCATGTCACATGTGTGGGCCCGGGAGACAAACGTGGCAAGCAGAGGTTGAGAAATTCCTGCACTCTGCGGTTTGCTCTTGGCGTTCCTCATGAATCGTGCTGCCCCGAGAACAGGTCCAGTTACCTTTCTGGATGAGGAGCAACACGCATCCAGTTGCCTCCACCAAGAGCCGGCCCCACACCAGTGAGGCCATCCACAGCAGGCAAACCACCACCTACAACAACGATTCCCCCAGCACAGACAAGCTGACGTGGTCATGCAGCTGGGCCTGAGAATCGTAACTGAAATAAAGAGTTGTTTCAAGTCATCGAGTTTCGGGGTAGTCTGTTATGCAGCAAAAGTAACTAATACACAAGGACAGGAAAGGAATTTGAGTGCAAGCCTGTGTGCAAAGCCCCTATTCCTCCCAGAAAGCTATAGTTCCTCCCTCCGATGAAAGAGGGGCCTTGGAAAGTCCTGTACTACATTCATGCACGCAGCATGCACTTAACAAATAAATGTGTGCCTAGTGACTAGGCTGGCACATGTCAGGTGCTCTGCTGTGTTTCGGTTCACTGATTCGGACTAGAAAGTATCCTTTGTCATCAGAGCTTACAGAATCATGGCTTGAGGAAAAGAAATAACCAATGAACTAAGAATTTAAGTGTGGTGAGAGATAAAAAGAAAACCAACAGAGTCGTGTAGAAGAAACGTGTAGAATGGGAGAAAGAGAAAGGATTGGGGCAGGGCTGAAGTTGATGGAGATTGGCCAGGGGAGCAGGAAGTCCTTCCTAATGAAGTTGTGCTGATCGGGCTCCCCAGGAAATAGGGGTGCAGAAGGTTTGTCAGAGAACAATACTTCCTGAGAAAAGGCAAGAGGAATGCTGGGCAGGGTACCATCGAACGAATAACCCCACCGGAGGCCACGATTGCTGCCCAGTGAGGAGCTCTGGGGCGGAGACCGCCTCTGAGATGAACTAACTCTGCGTGGGGTGAAAACGATGCGCACCACTGACTCGAGCAATTTGTTGGTTGGGGGGCACCATGAGAAGAATGTGACCTTGGTCCAAACACTGAGGGGAGGGCCCTGAAGGCGCTTACAGCTGGTCAGTGTTGGCTGACCACACTCCTCACACCTGGGCCGTGAATTCTTTCTCTCTCTCCTTCATGTGCTTTCATATACATATACACACACACACATACATATATATAATAAAAAAATATATAAAACAATGTATATTCAGTGTTACATATATTAAATATACATATTTGTATATAATTAAGTTGCATATATAAAAATTTCATGTGCTTTTATATGAAGTCTGTCTAGAAAAAGTCCAGCCATGATTAATACAACAAGAATGGCTTGCACAACATCGATGTAACCTGGCAGCCAAGGAGAGTGGACTGCAATGCGCATGTGTGAACAATGATGACTTCACTGTACTAGTCAGTGGGGGCTGTAGGTGCTGATGACTGAGCTTGTGTGCTGTGTGGCCATTGCATTCAAACTGACTGAGCAAGTAGAGCAAGGAATCTGCATCCAGTTTTGCCTTAAGTTTGAACATTCCTCTGGAAACTATTCTAATGATTCAGAAGGCCACAGCTATGAGCAACTGGTGATTGGCAGCTTTATTGTGATAACACACCCACTCATGCACCACATCTCATGAAGTTTTTTGGTGAAACATCAAATTACCCAGGTGACTCAGCCCCACTACAGTCCAGATTTGGCACCCTATGACTTCTGGCTTTTCCCAAAACTCAAATCACTTTTGAAAGGGAAGAGATTTCAGACTCTCAATGAGATTCAGAAAAATAAGATGGGGCAGCTGCTGGCAACTGGGAGAACTGTGTGAGGTCCCAAGGTGCCTACTTTGAAGGGGACTGAGGCGGCATTGCCCTGTGTACAATGTTTCTTGTATCTGGTATCTTCTTCAATAAATGTGTTTATTTTCATATTACATGCTGGATACCTTCTGGGTAGACCTCATACACGGTTACATAAAATCAACCATTTTTAAGTGTACCCTTCCAGTGGCATTAAGCATTGCTGTGCAGCTGTCACCACCATCTATCTCTAGAGTTTTTTCATCTTCTGTAACCTAAATTATGTGCCTCCCCTCCCCGCAACCCTTGGCAACCACCATTCTATTTGTTTCTGTGAATTTCACTACTCTGGGGTTCACGTGAGTGTGCGGTCATTCAGTGTTTGTCTTTCCACGTCTGGCTTCTTTAACTGAGCAAAGTGTCCTCCAGGTTCATCCTTAGTGTGGTGTCAACATGTCTGTCATTCCTTTTTAAGGCTGAATGATATTCCGTTGTATGTATATGCCATATCTTGCTTATTCATCCATCCATACCTGGAGGAAAAACTACAAAGATTCTGATGACCTATTACCGACCATTTTTCTATTAGATTTCTTCAGTCAGGAACATTACTAAGGCCAGTTTCAAAGGAAAGGACATTAAATTCCACTTCACGACGGGAGGAGGAGCAAATAATTTGGCCAGTATTACCTGTAATCTACCACAGACTGATACCCGTCTGATATATTCATTTTAGACAGACAAAATTTGCAGTTGTAGTTAAAGAAATGCAAGGAGACCGGTCTATTATTCAATTTCTAACATTCACAATAGGATTATGACAGGGGGCAACATGGTTGCCAGTCAGACCTTCGTGTCGTAAGAATTTGAAGAACTGGGGCTCGGCCGTAAATTACAGATTTTAAAGATGGAAGGGGGCAACCTTTTTCTTCTTGTCCCTTAGGACTGGTTGTAAGTGACGTGTCAGCTTTTCTTCTCCGTGATCCTCAGCCCTTCGGCCCAGAGGAGGAAGCTTCCTTCCAGGAGTGTGGGTGGTGTTGAAAGCAGGGGCGGTTCCTTTTGTCCCGGCCTCGTCACCCTTCCCGTGGGAGGCTCTGAGAGGAAGTTGCTTTGAAAGTCCCAGGAACCGAAACCCTCTTGGTCACATGTTGTGGTTCGGAGCGGGGTGGGGAGGGGATTCTTTGCCACCCTGGGCTCCTATGCGTGGACTCCAGATTCTTCGCCTGCCTCGTCCCTGAGCACCACGGGAATCCGAGGACCCCGTGTCCCCAAAGTGTTAAAAAGAGCACAAGCCCATACACCTGAAGATCTTAAGTAAAAAAGGAGGAGGACGCAGACTGACAGGCCAGCCATTTGAACCAGGACAGACTGCACATGATTTAATGATTCTAAATGATCAGATGAGACTTTGAATCAGACTGAATGTTTAAGGAAGTCTTCACAGACCCATACACCAACTAGTGAGAGTTTTGGGAGAAAAATCAGACTTCTTAAAAAAAAAGGAAGAAAGAGTAAAAGAGAAAATAGAAAGAAATAGAGAAAAATATTTACTTTTTATGTATTTATTTGTACATCTTAATTGCAGTGTGAGTTAAATGTTTGATTCTGCTACAATACATACCATACCATATTAAATAAAACCACAGGTAGGTTCCTGAGTTTTGTTCCTGAGTTTTGAAGTTACACAGCTTCACATATCAGACTCAGGGACAGGCTGGCAAGAAAGAGAAGGAGATGCTGGGTGAGTTCAAGCCGGAAGCTTGGGTGTGGGATAAAAACTAAGCCCATCCCACTGGCACAGGGTTGCCAAGGGCAGTGTGGGCCCAGGAAGGAATCCGGCTATCGTAGCTCTTCTCCAAACAAGCCTCCCGAGGAGGAAGTAATGGGTGAAGGAAAAAGAAATTAGACAGCATCTACATTAACTGTATCATTCCATCTGATAACCTAAGTGTATTAGAATTCTTTTAAGGAGAATGAAAGGAGGAATGCTTCATAATTCATTTCTAGGACTATTCTTGGCTTTACTGTAAACTGTGAAGTAGTATCAGATAACCTTAGGGGAAAAGCTGACTCAATACTAATAAACACACAGAAGAGGCATGGAAAATAAAGAGATAAGGTACCACTAAAATAAGGAAGTTTTGGAGCCAGACAAAGTAGCCAGTTTCGGGGAGCTGGCACCCTCCAGTCTGAGTGTGCGACATTTGTGTGTGAATGGGAGGGAGGAGAAGGGTGCTGTTGGGTTCAGGCCTGGAGCTGGGCGGGGAGGGCCCCTGTGCCGGAGTAGCCTACCCTTCAGCTGGGAATCTGGATAAACTGGGTAGAAGCGATGATAAGAAACTGGATGGTTCTGATGCTGCAGTCAATCGTGGTTTAAGCTAGTGTTCCACGCACTGAAAACCCTGCAGAAGGGAAATCCGATATGTAGATTCTCAAATTAGAGTTTGCGACATCTGAGCAGGTTGATTTATACTTCTGTAGGAGTCATGAACGTCATCTTGGTGCCTTTTTCCTTTCCTAAACGCTTGTGTTTCATGTGAATCATGCTATGTTTCTACATACAGCATGAAAATGGGGCAGGGAGGTGTTATTCTCTAGTTTGCTTAATTACACTGAGACTGTTTTGTTACACTCAGAAGAGAAGCTTTCATTGAAGTCTTCATTTACTAGGCGCTTGGGTTTTAATCACTGTTCTGACTACAGTGGGCACTGAGATCAAACGCATGCCCTTTGGCCTCTGTTGCTCTCTGTTCTTCGTTCCTTTAATGCAAGGGCAGACCCAGGCCTCACCCAGCTGTCTGAGGCACAGGCAAGACCAGGCCCTAACATGTAACCAGACTCTACTGGAGGCTTCGGATAGTACAATGAAATTACAACGCAGTGAAGAAATACTTTAAACTGGCTGCCGAGTGTGATTTCTGAATGTCATAGGCTGACCCTCCTTACCCACCCATTTCAGCCCCTGACGTCCTACTATGTTTTAGGAGGAGCCTACTCTCCCTAACAGGAATGCCTGTGGCCATGAACATCATCCTCCAGAGCTCAGGCTCCCCAGCTGCCTAAGGCCTTGTGAGAGGAGGAGCTCGCTTCCCCCGAAGTCTGGCTTCCCGAGACATGTCCACCTCGGCTTAGCACTGCCCTGAACCTCTCTGCTGCTGTTGCCTCTCGACTTTTTCTTTCTGCAAGTCCACATGGCACTTTTAAAATATTCTGATTCATTTTAAAGCCAGATTTATTGAGGTTTGCCATATGTAGAGTAAAATTCACCTGTTTTGGTGCACAGTTCTTTGAGTTTTGGCAAATAGGTCACCACGTCACTGTTATCACAATCAAGAGGAAGAGCAATTCCTTTGCCCCCCGCCCCCCAATTTCCTCAAGTCCTTTCGTAGCAAACCTTCCGCATCAGGCAAATACTGCCCCGTTTCCTGCACCCACAGCGAACCTGTGTCTGTTCCCTATGGTCACATACGTGGGGCCATACAGCAGATAGTCTTTTCTGTCTTCTTCCTTTCACTTAGCAAAATGAAACAGAGTCACCGCGAATAAAGACAGTTATTCTTCCTTTCCAAGTTAAGTATCGTTACTGATTTTTCTTGATTTTATTGGTTGCACAAACTAGCACCTCCAGAAATATGACTGCAAGTTCGGAGAGTGGATATCCTCGCTGCTCTCAAACCTTAGTCTCTCACCGCTGTATGAGTTTGCTAGAGCTGCCGTAACAAAGCACCACAACAAATTTTTTTCCTTACAATGTCGGAGTCCAAAGTGTAAGATTGAAGTGTCAGCAGGATTGTTTTTTCTGGGGACTCCCTCCTTGGCTGGCAGAGGGCCGTCTTCTCCCCGTGTCTTCACAGGGCCCCCCTCGGTGTCTGAGCCCTGACTCGGAAAGCCCCGACTCTTCCAGAAAACCAGTCAGATTAGATGAGGATCCACCCTAATGACCTCGCTGTAATGTAATTCCCTCTTTATTGATCCTACCTACAGAAAGGCACATCATGGGCACCGGTCATTAGCACTTCAACAGGAGTTTACTGTAGAAAATGATTCAGTCCATAACAATAACTAAATATGATGTCAGCTGGAGGCCTTCATAGATGCCCTGTATCTTGGTTAAAATTCCCTTTGACTTGTAGTTTGCTTAAATTAAAAAAAAATTATGGATGAGTACTGGAATTTGTCAATTTTTTTCCTGCATCTATTAAGATGATTGTGTGCTTCCTTTTTTCCATCTGTTAATATGGTAAATTATACCGATGGACGTTTCAACTTTTAAGCCAAACTTGTATTCCTGGGAATAATGAGAGATGCTGTAACACAGCTTAATTAATCTTCATTTACTACAAAATGCAGAATGAACATATTTCTTTTAAATATATAAACAAATATAAAAAATAACAAAGAATCGAAAGTGGGTGGAAAGAGGACTTGAGGGTAAGACTGCTTGTTTCTTTCTTGTACCATTCATTTGGCCGTTGTAAATTATGTGCACATTATTTTGGTAGAACTAAAACAATTTATGATAATTGTAAAAAAAAAAAAGGCAATTCTCCCCATCCTGAGGGAGAATTTTAGTTTGTTCTAATTACAGTTCTGACTCCGCTGAGATTTTGTGTTGGTTCAAGGCGTGTGAACTGGAACAGTGTCTGTTTTCTTTCCTGAACGGGTCACAAACTCCCAGAAAAATTTATTGTTTAGTGCTATTTCCCCCCACGATTTGCGAATACTATTGGTGATGTTAGGGTGTTTCTACACGATGTGTCCGTTGACTTGCGCTCTAGTGGAATGACGTCACTGTGGTGGAGAAGATCAAAGGAACAATAGGGTGTGCGAAGGCACAGGTTGGTTCAAGCAGGTGGCTGGGGAATGCATCGTTTGAAAGGAGCTGCGAGTAAAGACATGTTAAAAGCGTAATAGTAAGTGCCATTAGAAAAAACGAAGCCCTTGGCACGCGGTCCTTTGGAGAGCTTGGGAAGGACCCAGCTTCCCAAGCTGGAACCACTCCGGCCCCAGCTCCGGTGAGCTTGACACCAAGTCAGACACGGGCGCCAAGTACCAAAGTCAGCCTCGGAGGCAGGCGGAGCCCGCGCCGGCTCAGGACGCGATTGGTGGCGGCTTTGGGGGCGGAGCTAACGTCAGGACGCCTGGGCTCGTCGCGTCCATCCGCGCAATGAGCGCCTGCTTGGATGCGCGAGCGCGGCGGCCTGGGGTTGGGGTGGGAGTGGTGGTGACTAGCTGCGTGCATCCTCGTTGCGTCCTCTTGGGGAAGAGGAAAGGGTCTTTCGGAGCCGGCAGTTTCCAACTTCCTGGGGGTCACTTGGAGTTCGGGTAAGCGGACCCCCGCGGCCGAGCGGGGGGTGGGGGGATGGGGCGGAACGCGCGGTAGGACCAGCTAGACGCTGCCTCCTTTCTCGCTCCCTCTGTGGCCTCCTTCGGGCCCCCGCGCGGCGGGGCGCCGGCCGACCGCGGGTGCAGAGCTGGACCAGGGTGGAGGAAGGGTGCTCTCGCCCACTCAGTCCTTGCATCTCCGCGTCTGCCGTGCCGCGGCTGGGGGTTGATTTGTGATGTGTGTTTTTCTTAGTGCTTATGCAGGAAAGAGGCAAAGGGAGTGTTTGTAAACCTCGAGCAGTCCGGCGGGGTCAGTTAAGAGATTTTCGAGGTTTCCTGGTGATTTAAACGCACGCAGGTGTTCTTACTCTAGTGCCTGCCCGCATAGGTCCCGTTGCGGGGCTAGTGAAACTCTCTGAGCCTCAGTTCCCCATCTTTAAAATGGGGAAGGAAGACGAAGTAATCTTTGCAAGGCCTCTGCTTTGGCATTCTGTGATTTGAGGATATATCTATCAGACTGACAGAGAAAGTTGAACAGTTAAGAGGCAGGTCTGCCTGGGTTCGGGCTGGAAGGTGCATTCTGAAGTGAGAGTACCGTTCGCGTTAATAGACAGACGGCATGTAAAGCATTCAGACCCAGTGCTGGTTTCTCCTTTAGTATCAAAAGTTCCAAATATACATCAAAGTAGAGGACATAGTGAGTCCTTCTGAACCCGTCACTCGGCTTCTTCATGTCTCATCTCTACTGCTGTCCCCAACAGAGACACACACCCCTTGTTTTCCAGACCATTTCAAAGGGAATCTCAGAGATCCTGTTATACCACCCGAAACAGTTAAGTATGTACCAGTAATAAACTTTTTAAAACACAGCCACGCTATTTTCACACCTAACAAAATATTCTTTAATGTCATACCCAGCCTGTGCCATTTTCCCCAATTGTCCCAAAAGTGTCTTTTTACTATTTTGCACCAATTGTGATCAGAGGAAGAGCACGTGTCCCCTATGGTTAATTTTTAAAATCTCTAACCCTAACCCCTCCCCACCTTCCCCCCAGGCTACATTGAAGAATTCCGTCCATCCATTTCTCATAAAGTGGTAGTTAGAAGTGCCTTTTAATCAGACTTTGTTCTTTATAAACTATGGGATTCTTATGACCTTTTAGCACACGGGATTTTTAAAAGTCTTCAGAACTTTATTTTTTATTTTTTAACAATCCGTATATTTTTAAGTTGATTTTCGAGAGAGAGAGGAGGTGGAGGGGGAGAGAGAGAACGAAACATCGATTTGTTGTTTCACTTACTGATGCATTTACCGGTTGCTTCTGGTACGTGTCCTCTTGACTGGGAATCAAACTCACAACCTTAGTGTATCAGGAGGTCGCTCTAACCAGCTGAGCTACGCACCAGGACAGTGTTCAGAACCTTAAGAAGCATCAGTCAGTTTATCACTTTCAGGGAATTAAGATGAGCCATCAGTTAATAAATATCTAGACTAAGGAGCAAGTTGTGAGTACAGACACGCCGTATTAGGGTGTCAGTTGTCGGTGGGCATTAGCCAACCTTGGGTCACAAACGAAGCACTAGTCTAACTCGTGTGTAATTGCTAGAGCAAAGGCTGGTGATAGCATTCTTAATAACACAAGGTGATGTTGGAGTCTTGGCCAAATATCGACTGATAAGAGCCAACATTGAACTTCAGTGAGCTTTCTGCTGAGTGTTAGGTATTTTGTGTGCTAAGCTCTTCACGTGTAAGCCTTTTCTGTACGTAATTGGTATACTGGGTGGGCTACATTCAATGGGAAACAGGAAATGGCCTCAGTTTCTCCTTCCATTATCTTCAAACAAGGTTTGTCTTTCCCATTGCTGCTGTTCTACGATGTTTCCTGCAAATTCTATTTTCCTGTCTCTTGATTATAAAAGTAAATCACATTTTGGCTGTTATGATCCACTTCCGAGCATTTCTCTCTCCTGTGGAGGAGAAAGGACGGGCGGGCTGCTGTTTTGCTTTCTCCACCTTCTTCTCTTCTCCCTGCATCTGGGCTCCTTCTGTCTGCAGTGTGTCGGGGAAGGAGGAGGCGCGAGCCTTTCACAGCCTGGTGCTGCTGTTCCATCCGCAGGTGCCTGCTGGGAGCAGATGCACACGTGCACTGGCTTCCTGGGTGTGGTTGGTGGTCATCTGGAAGCCTTCCAGGGACTTCCGCTCTGCACAGCTCCCTGACGCAGGGGACTGACTCCTGGTGGCACTGGTCCCCCTCTGCTGGCTCCTGCTTTTAGAACACCACCCTGCATTTTCTTTCTGCTGGGGTCCCCAGCAGTCTGCCTGGCCCCAAAGGAATCCGCAGTGGGAATAATGCCTTCGCTGCTGCCCTTTTTCCTCGTTCAACCATTGTGGGCAGCTCTGGCCAGTCTCCTTCCTTCCAGGTGTCCCAAGTGGGAATGAGCAGCAGCTTCTGTGTTTACAACCCTGCGGAGGTCGTGTGTATGTGAGAGATACACACTCTTATAAAATATGCGTTATAACCAAACTGATGGCTTAAACATTGTGGTGTAACATTAGTCATGTCCAACTGCGCAGCCAGACATGACCTTGAACCTATGCACCTGATGTATGTAACAGTATTTAAGGAAAGGCTTTGTATGTCTCAGATCAGCTGTGACCTCCGCAGGGACAAGCATCCCAATGCACCGAGGGACACGTTTCAGACCCGTCCAAGAGCTGTCGCCCTCCCGACACCTCTACTGTGATGCGTTGATGAGGGCCAAGAGTTTCGCACCTCGTCACGCACGTCTTCAGCAGGGCAGCGGCACGGCCAGTGTCTCCTTGGGAGTCGCACCCTGTCTCTAGGACTAATTCTCCTGGTTTGGGGGCAGAGTTGGCCCCACATCAGGAGGAAGGGAAACATGCCCACCAGGCGGAAAACTCCCAGCTTTCCTGCCTCCCAGGGACCTCCCGACTTTCTGTGTGCACGGGCAGGGCGGGCGCTCTGGCCGCCTCAGCAGGCCCTCAAGTTCATGCGGCCTCCGTCTGCCCTTGTTCTGTCCGCTTGGGAATTTGGAGGAATTGTTCTCCATTGTGAGGCTTGGCTTGAAATTCTGAGGCTGCAGGAAAAGACATAGCCCCTTCCTGACACACATGCAGCAAGTCCGTGGGACACTAACATTCTTCTTTTTTTTTTTTTAATACATTATTCCCTTTTCACTTGCCCCAGGTAGAGAGGGATGGAATTCACACTCAAACCTGCGTCTGGCTGGCTTCGCAGCCTGTGCCGGGAACAGACCGGGCCGAACCGCCGTCCGTGGTCCTGGCCGCTGACGGCGTCCAGGCATCGGAACTAGTGCTGAGCTGGCTCCAGGCTCACGATCCGTCTCCAGATGACTAGACACGGGAGACGCTGAGTGTGTGAGGCAGGGTTGGAGTCACTGTTTTACAGCATGAACCAATTACAGTCCCTTTTGCTTTCCACCAGAAGTTTCTCGCCAAGAACTTCTGGCAAAAAAAAAAATAAGGTAAATAAATGGAATCGGATACAGCGGAGTGTTTCCGTTCTCCAGGGAGAGCTGGGAAGAGTGCGCTCGGAGGGAGACCTGGGAGGAAGCAGCCCTGCGCCTGAAGCACGTCCGCTTTGCCTCCGTCGTGAACTCTTTCGTGGAGAAGGAGAATTACCATTATGTCACCATATTAATGAGAGGAGAGGTGGACACGGCCTATGACTCAGAACCCACGAATGTCGAACCCGAAAAAAATGAAAGTAAGAGATTTATGTGTAATGATGCTTTTTTTTTCTTTTTGCGGAGAGTCTATATCATCTGAAAGGATATTGTGTTACACGCCTCACGTGGGTCACTGGAGGGGAAGAGGAATTACTGCATTTAGGAGCCTACTGAACACAGTAAGCAGTAAATGTTAGCTTTGGTGTGAGTATTTAGCTTATTTATTTATTTTTTTACAAACTCTGCTTTTGAACAAAACATTTACTGTGCCTGCCTGAGTTTTCTCACCTGTGCAAGAGAGGCAGTGACTTCCTCTTACCGGGAGTGATCAGCCCGACAGCAGTGGTGTGTCACCTCCCGTGCGGAAGGGGGCGCTCTGAAGGCCTTGCAGGCAGGAACTGGTCTTTATTATTTACTCCATGTTAAGCGTTGTTCTCAGTGCTCGGCCTGTATCATCTCGCTCCAAGTTTCGTAAACAGAAGAGGCGCTGAAGGGGAAAATAGCAAACTTGATGACTAGGTTATTTGCCTTGGGAGACTTTACTCAAGTGGCCTCATACTGGGTCCACCGTGTAAATATTTCATTTCTCTTCTAACATGGAAGGCCCTTTTCATTCAACGAATCCTGTGTGCCAGGCACTGGTCTCGCAGGCACTGAAGAACCAGTGGGGTATAAGTGAAGTCCCTGCCCTCCTGGACTTGACCTTTTCACAGTGGGAAAGGCAGCCGATCAGCAGGTATTTTGTGCCAGTGACGATTGGGATGAGGAGGAAAACGCCGTGTAAGAGAGTGGTGTGCATGGCCGGCGGGGCCTCGGGGAGGGGCCATGTAGGCAGACATCTGGAGGAAGTGCCGCGCACAGAACGAATAAATCACGTCTGACTGTTTCAGAGGTGGTTCGATTGAGTGAACCCAAGGGTGTGTTCTGCCCAAAGGTCTCTTGAGTCATATGAATGTTTTAAATAGAATAACTGTTGACAGGAGAGACCTGGTTCTTCCAGCTGACGCCTGTAAAGGATTACAGATCAGCAAATGCATTACTGTGAAGTCAGTTTATTAGTGATGTGTTCCAGGGAAGAGAATGAACAGGGCTAGGAAGAGTGAGGGGTGAAAGGCAGAGTTTCAGGGCAAAGCAGGGCAGAAAGCAGGGTGGCTGAAGACCAGGGGGGCAAGCCCCCGGGGGGCCTGAGGCCAGGTGGCCAGAGGACCAGTGACCTGAGAGCCAAGAGCACCGAGAGAGAGAGAGAGAGAGAGAGAGAGAGAGAGAGAGAGAGACAGACAGACACACACACACAGACACCTTTGTTCTGAGGACTCATGTAGTTGGTGGGATTAGGAGGAAAAAAGTCACCTATTGATTGATGGGTAAGTGCCGTGCCAGCTGTCCTGGGGGATGTGAATACCCAGACTTAGGGATGTGTGGGGGTCTGTTAGCCTGAATCCTTATCTCGCTCCAGACCCCATTTGTTCATCTTGTAAAACAAATACGTGACAGGAGGCAGTTAATTAAAGTTGGGGCACTTTCCAAAGTTATTTATGGGCTCTTTCTGTAAGCACCCAGGACCCCCTCGTAAAACAGTGACCAGAGGTAGATAACTAACCAAAGTTGTTTTATGGGCTCTTTCTCTGGGCACCGGGGACCCTCCCCCGCATTCCAGGCCCTGGGATGAAAGCACAGTTTCAAGGCTTTCGTTCCCAGACAGTGGAAACGCTACATAGAATTCCAAGGACTTTCCTCATTCTTGCTAACATAGTGTCTCTTGTGATGTTGGAACACCAGCATATTATCAGACCAGCCGCAGGACCGCTGAGTTAGCGTGTGGGACCCGTCTCCTTCCTCCTCCCTGCCTCTGTTTACTGTTCACTCTGCCTAAGTGGTGAAAGGTGCTTCTTGGCAACCGGGGTGCCAGACGCTGGCCGGTAACAGCACCGCAGTTCCAGGGCTCTTCCAGCGTGGTGTCCGGCTCATGACCTGGAATCCCCTAACCCGAACTAGCGGAGTGCGTGCAGGTTGAGCGGTTCTACTCACAACACCGCAGGTGCCAAATGGGCGGGTTTTTCCTTGCACCAGCCAGTTCTCCAGCTCTGCAAAAACCCACCGGCTGGCCTGTAAGGCAGTTCAGTTCGGACCCTGCCTGTGCAGAGTCGCCCTCAGGTCCCAAAAGCTAAGAGCTGGGGCGCACAGGCTGCCCCCACTTTCAACGCCCTGCAGAAGGCCTGGCCTCCTGTAATTTTGATCACGTGACTATACATTGGGCTTCCCACAGCCCCCTTTGCCAGGATCAACAACTGGCTAAAATGGCCCACAGGACTCAGAAAAACACTTCATTTACATTACCCATTTATTGCGAAGGATGTAAAACTCAGGCACAGCCGGGGCGGGGGGCGGGGGAGGGGTGCGGCGCTTCTGTGCCCTCCCAGCGTCTGGCTGTGCCCACCGACTTGGAGGCTCTCCAGGCTGAGTTGTGTGGGGCGGTTGCTAAGGTTCCCCCCACGGAACTTAGGCTGGATCACATGACCGTCCATTGGTGGTTGACTCAGTGTCAGTTTCCCCTTCTTCCCCTAAGGTGGGGCTGAAAGTGCCCACCCTGTACTCATGCCTTGGTCTCCCTGGTGACCAGCCCCGACCCTGAAGCTGTCTAGGGGTCCCTGGCCACCAGTCCTCTCATTAGCATGAACCCAGGTGTGGTTGAAAGGGGTGTGTTATGGGTAAAAAAGATGCTTCTCTCATCTCTGCCTGCCACTTAGGAAATTACAGAGGGCTCAGGAACTCTGTGCCAGGAAAAAGGGGTGTATTTCTTATATTATTTATCACACGAAGCAGTACCCCCAAAATATCCAAAGGCCTTCAGTTGGCCTAGGGTAAATTAAAATTGTTCTCACCTCAAGGAGTGGAAGGCCAGAGACGTAGGTAAGAACTGTGCCCGGTTCGTTGGTGGTCTTCTGTGCAAGTCCCCCTACCTCTGACATATTTAAGTATCCCAGATAAAACGAGGGCCTGGGGAGGAGAGAGGCCAGGATGTCAACAGTGAAAAACAAAAACCAATAGTCTCGACATTCGCAAGCTGTGGAGAGAATCAGTTGATTAGTTGGCCTTTTAATATTAAATTGAAATGTAAATATACCTATTTCCATATTAGCATTTTTGGTAGGACTATTTACTGTTTGTGAAGCACCATAGATTGCATGGAACTGAATGTGTAAACCCTGTTTTGAGGTGTAACGTGTTCAGGTCATCGGCACAGATGGCTGTCACAGGGCCCTCAGCTTGAAAGAAGGTTTCCTTCCTCTGTCCTGCGGGCAGGACACCCTGAGACTAGAAGAGATGGATGTGACCGAGTCTGGAATGGCAGGGGAGGGAGCACCGAAGGCCCCCCTGAGCTGACGAGCTTCATCCACCCGGCAGGCCCCTCTGTGTCCTCAGTCCTCCTGCCCTGCTGGTGCTGGGGGGTGTGAGCTGGCGAGCCCTGGGCCACACCGTAACGTCTCACCCCGCCCTCCTGAGCTGCAGACCCTCTAGTGGCCGTCCGGTTTTCTCCTCTGATGCTCAGAAGGCATCTCAGAGGAGCGTACCCGTTCAACTTCATGTCATGCTTCTCCCCCTTTAACGGGCCTACAGAGAGCAGGGATCTGGGCTCACTCATCTTTGACTCTTCGGGGCTGACACTGTGGGCCTGGCTTGTAGTCAGTGTCAGAACGGGGTGAAGAGGGAGCAGGGGAAGAGGTGTGAGCAAACCTGTCTCTGAGGTTCTGCAGTACGGCAGCCGGATCGGCCCGTTAAATGACCTTCTAAGAGATCACTCTTCTGCTTTATGAAGTTCTGTAGTAAGAGTTTTTGCTACTACATTGTCGTATGGGTTGTTTTTTCCCCTAGAATATAGTAATTTTTTTACTATATTCCTCATCTGAGGACATGTTTATTGATGAGAGACAGACAGACAGTCATTGATCGATCGATCGTTGCCTCCCATACTTGCCCCGGGTGTTGAACCCATTGTGCAGGGATGTGCTGTGACGGATAATTGAACCTGTAACCTTTTTTGTGTACAGGACAACTGAGTGAGCCACTTTGTCAGGCTAGAATGTAGTGATCTTCAGTATTTTCTATATGCTTTGTGATTTTTTTCATTTGTATAACTTTTTTGAGCGTGTCCATCTTCATTTTGTTGCCTCTGACATGCTAATAATCTCAAGTCAGGGGGCGTGATTTTGTAAGTCCCAAGGTCACTAGCACCAGGTCAGAGTTGATCAGAATCACCTGTTCCTCTCTGCATTCCTTAGTAATAATACAGCAGAAATCACTTTTACTTTCCCCCAGTTGAAAGCTCTGGCTGATAACCAGTTGCATCCTGACCAAGGCAATGGAGTGATGAGGCTTTGCTTTCTCTGTAATGCAGAGATGCAGTGTCTGCCCCATGGTCACCGGGGCCTGGATCTCGGAGTCCTGCTGCCGTTTTCCCGTTAGTGCAGCCTCCCTCCAGCCGTCCGACCCAACCATCTGCTTATCGTTAGGGGGTCTGCCAGACACTTCCTTTTCTAGGAGATGGGATCAACTTCACCTACAGCTCTCCTGAGACTCAGTTCAGCACCTTCCCACCCTCCATGGGGCAGTCTCTCCCCTTTGTGTGCGTGTGTGCGTGTGTTAGTTTGTGGTCACAGTTGGTCATCAGCCCTTCCTGAACTTACTCCAGTTTCATGATTCTCTGCCCCGCCCTTGCCAGAGTAAACTACATACCTGTGTTTTATAGGGAGAGAATTCGTTAATGGCAGAAACGGTACTTACACATAGGTCTGTTCATGTAGTCATAAAGAAACATGCTTAAAGCATGGAATGTACATCTTATATTTATACATTCACTTGTCATGGGCATTTGTGCTTTCACAATTTACTTTAAAAAAACATCTTTTATTGATTATGCCATTACAGTTGTCCCATTTCCTCCCCTTCATTCCCCTCCACCCTGCACACCCCTCCCCCCACATTGCCCCGCTTTAGTTCATGTCCATGTGTCACAAGTTCTTTAGCTTCTACATTTCCCATACTGTTCTCGCCCTTCCCCCTGTCTATTTTCTCCCCTCCGTCTATGCTACTTATTTTCTGTACCTTCTCCCTGCTTCTCCTCCTCCCACTCCCCTGTTGCTAACCCACCATGTGATCTTCATTTCTGTGGTTCCACTCCTGTTCTAGTTGTTTGCTTAGTTTTTTTTAATTTAGTAGGTGTAGTTGTTAATAACTGTGAGTTTGCTATCCTTTCACTGTTCATCTTTTTTATCTCCTTTTCTTTAGATAAGTCCCTTTAACATTTCATGTAATAATGGCTTGGTGATGATGAACTCCTTGAACTTGACCTTATCTGGGAAGCACTTTATCTGCCCTTCCATTCTAAATGATAGCTTTGCTGGATGGAGGAATCTTGTATGTAGGTCTTTAGATTTCATGACTGGGAATACTTCTTTCCAGCCCCTTCTTGCCTGCAAGGTCTCTTTTGAGAAATCCACTGACAGTCTGATGGGACCTTCTTTGTAGGTGACTATCCCCTTATCTCTGCTGCTTCTAGAATTCTCTCCTTCATTTTAATCTTGGCTAATGTAATTATGATGTGTCTTGGTGTATTCCTCCTTGGATCCACCTTCTTTGGGACTCTCAGAGCTTCCTGGACTTCCTGGAAATCTATTTCCTTTGCCAGATTGGGGAAGTTCTCCTTTATTATTTGTTCAAATAAGTTTTCCATTTGTTGCTCTTCCTTTTCCCCTTCTGGCGTTGGAATTTGGATGTTGGAGCGTTTAAAGGTGTCCTGGAGGTTCCTAAGCCTCTCATGTTTTTGAATTCTTGTTTCTTCATTCTTTTCTGTTTGGTGGTTTCTCCCTTCCTTCTGGTCCACTCCATTGATTTGAGTCCCAGTTTCCTTCCCATCACTATTGGTTCCCTGCGTACTTTCCTTCATCTCACTTAGTGTAGCCTTCATTTTTTCATCTAATTTGTGACCAAAACCAACCAGTTCTGGAGCATCCTGATCACCAGTGTTTTGAACTGTGTGTCTGATTGGTTGGCTATCTCTTGGTTGCTTAAAAGAATTGGCTCTGTGGCTTGGATTTGTTCTTCCATTTGAGCCATACATTTTTTTGTCTGGTTGTGTTTGTTACGTATGAGGGGCAGAGCCTTAGGTGTTCACCAGGGCAGGGCCACCTGTATGTCACTGGGTTGTGATGCTGTACGTGGGGGCGGGGCCAGAGAGGGAACAATGGTGCTTGCTCTGCTCGTATTTCAGTTCCTTCTGCCGCTTCCCACAAGCAAGTTGGGCCCTTCTGGTGCTGGTTCCCGAGTGGGTGGGCTTGTGCACGTTCTAGGACCCTGTGGGTCTCTCCAACAAACTCTCCTGTGAGGCTGGGAGCCTCTCCTGGCACCTTTTCAATTGCTGCTTTTAAGCTTTATTTCCCATCGCTGGGGCCCTGGGTTGTGCAGTCTGTCTCGCTGCCCGTTTTTGCTTGGTTTACCTGCACGGGGATGTTTGACCGTGGTCAGCCAGCCGCCTTGTGTGTCTCACTGGGTCTGCTCCTTTCCTCCCTGTGCCCTGGGCCCACCAACCACCATTTTTTCCTGCCAGGACCCCGCTCCGCCCCCCCTTACCCGTCTGGTTGAATGGTTGTTGGGCTTCTGTACAGTTCAGTTTTCTGTCTGTTCTGGTTGTGGTTTTGTTTCTAAATCTTTGTTGTCCTCAATTTTGGTTATGGGAGGAGGCACAGTGTTTCCACCTACGCCTCCATCTTGGCCGCAAGTCCACGATTTACATTTAAATCACCAAAGAAAATCCCATTCCCTAGTATCAAGCAGTGTGATTTTATATGCCCCAAGGTTACTAGCACCAAAACAGAGTTGATTTCTCTAGGATTTCATGTATTTTACAACTAAGAGACCCCCTTACATCTTTCTTGCTTCCATAGATTTTTCAAAAAAAACCCGACTCCCCTGTGTATTTGGCACCCAGTATTTTTTCCTCTGTGTGCAGCAGCTTCCATTACTGTGTTGAGACGGAGGGGAGCTTGGAAACGTGCTCTTCCTTGTAGGTGAGGAAACTGCCGTTAGTTTAGTGTGGCCTCCAGTACGTCCAGTTCTGTGCACTTTGTTCAGCCCAACACTCGGATGGAAATTGAATCCCACGAAGTCCGGGTTTTACCACAAAGTGGGCCTTGTACACTCGGCTTCGTGTTCAAGTAACAGCATGTTTTAAATGGTCTCTACCATCTTCTCCAATCGTCATTCTAAACGCGAAACCCTTTGTGTAGCCACGCTCCGCTGTGGCACTTTCGTCAGTGCCACAGTTTAAAAACCTTTTTAAATTTAACTAATTTTTGAAGTTTAGGTTAATTTGCCAAAACGAATAACCTTTGTTTCCTTTCAACTAAATAGCTGTGGTGTCTCTTTTTTAGGTTGGGAGTGGGTTCCTTGGGAAGAGTTTCCTCCACTGGACCAGCTTTTCTGGGCGCTGCGCGGTTTGAAGGAGCAAGGCTACGACCCGTTTAAAGAGGACCTGGACCACCTGCGGGGCTACAGAGGGGGTCACCTGCGGGGGGACCAGACAGCCTGACTGAAAAGGGCAGAGTAGGGTCCGGTCGGAAGGGAGTGTCTGTGTTCCAGAACAACTCCATTTTATCCACAAAGTCCCTTAGCATTGCGGTTTCTTTTCTCTCTCAGTACAGCCGCACCCTCCGGGCAGTGCTGGTGGAAAATGTTCAAGGAGTACGTTACGCACTGTACTCCGAGGGTGTACAGAGCCGTCTTCCCAAGGCCACGTGGCCTGTGATGTCACAGAATGAAGGCAGAAGCAGGCGTGAGTCCAGCCCTCTTCTGCTGGCGTGAACCAGACATTAAAGAAATGTGTGAAAACGGGAGACAGTGCCTCTTGTTTTTCTTTCATGGTTACTTTTCATGAAAGTTACTTGTGTTAACATGAGTTTTGTTACTTATAAATGAGTAAAAGGTTATCATCTTTTAGAAGATAAAGAATGGCAGTGTGAGCCTTCGAGAAACCTGCCAGGTGTGATGGCCAGTCCAGCGGTACGTAGCGCATCCTGTTCAGTCACGCGCTAGAGTCCTACCAGTGACATACGTGTAAGATGCAACTAGATTTACAGAAACAATTTTCTAAACTACACCAAAGATAACAGTATAAGGAGTACAAATAAGTTAGTTTATTTACAGAAATTACAAGTAGTACAAGTTGAGGCAATTTCTCCTGTTTCTGTTAACAGAAGCCAACAACCTTTACTTTTTCTCTTTGTTGACTTTAAAGAGAGGAAGGAGGTTGGGGTGGGGGGGAGCGAAACCAAGTTGCTCTTCCACTTGCTGACACACTCACCGGTCGATTCTCGCGTGTGCGTGTGCCCTGACCGGGGACCACACCCCAACCCACCGAGTGACCCGCCCCGGGCACAGCCTTCACTCTCAGTGAGGGTTGCTGCTATATCGACGTGGTGCACATTCCGTGATCCGCCGCCTCTTCTAGATAATTCCAGGAGGCCTACTAGTGATAGGGACACGGGTCGTTTCCTTCCAATCTCACCCCCGAACGACTGCGTGCAAGCCCAACCCAGCTGGAAGGGAGCAGGGCAAGGCTGGACTGCACTGAACCCTCTTCCCCCAAGAGTCCATTTTGATTATCCTCTAAATAGTCACCGAACGACTTGGAACTAAAACATCTTTGCTTTAAAAGAAAGTCCACTGTGATCTTTCATCGGGGCGCAACCCCACCACATCCAGCACCGCCCAGCTCGTCCCGCCGGGTGGCTGCCATTTCGAGAACCCCCCCCCAGCAGTGCAGCCCTGACGCTGCTTAGTCGGAGTCGCTGCTGCTGCTCGAGGAGTCGGTGGACATCACCTCCACGTCGTCCTCGTTCTCTTTGTTGTGCCCCGGCGGCTCCAACAGGAAGTCGCTGCTGTGGTTGGGCGGCAGCATGTTCATGGCCATGTCACCCGACTGCCAGGGGTACTGCGGAGCAAGGACGTCTGGAGGGGGAGAGGCGCACATCAGAACAGCATTTCTCCCCGTGACCGTCTCATTCTAGGTGCCCCTTTCCTCCACGCAGGTGTCGGGAGACGCGACCTGGGAGGCCCGACCCCGATCACAGCCTGTGAGCGAGCCCCATGCCGTGCAGTGTCGGCCTGGCAGCTTCCGGGAGTCACCCCAGTTTGGTCCGGCAGGTGAGCACAAGATCCACCTACTCCACCGCCGTCTGGGAAAGCTCTGTGTGTTCTTTACACATGTAAGTAGCTAATATAACCTGTACTGCAAATTACAAGTTTAAACTGCGGTTTGACCTTCGGATCCACTCTTCTCATTGGACCCCGAAACACTGAGACCATGGCTCCCTTGCCAGCAGCTGCAATACTAAGCCTGGTCAGTAGAGGACACTGGAGGGCCTCTCCTCTGGGACCCCGTGCTTCCCCTGACTCGGTGGCACCCAGCTGCTGGACACCTGCTGCTGCCCCCTGGCCATTTTCAGCGGCACCCCGCAGGACGGCTTCCCGGCAAGTCTCACCACTCCCCCAAGTGTGGCCTTCTGGTGAGTCTTCCTGGGACTCTAGTGGGTCGTTTCCTGCCTGCCGGCCCTGGCCTGTGACCCGTCACGGAACTGCTCTGCCGTCCAGGGGCCACGGCAACAGCCCCTGTACCAAGGGCGTCACGACGTGAGCGGAGTCCTCAGGCAGGGGTGGGGGGACCCTGGGCACCCTGCCTTGCTCCTGGAGGTGGCGGCTGCCGCTCCTCCCGTGACGGGGCACAGAGCCCAGGGACACAGTGAGGGGCCCCCGGGGAAACAAGTGTGTGGGGAGGCCCCGGCTGCGTCGTCCGGAGCACGCTGTCAACAGTGCGAATGTTCCGGGGGAGCAAGGACACGGGTAAAAACCAAAAAGTGGCTGATGAACAGGGCGGCTTTCTCCTTAACTTTCTAAATGTTCTACCAAATCAAACAAGCCACTTCTACAACAGGTAAAATAGGGGAACCTTAGGTACCTAAAACGACAGCACAAACCCACGTGCAAAGCCCGAGGAAGGCTGAAGCTCAGGATAGACCAAGTCTCACAGAAGTGCTATTTTTAACATTAAAAGCCTGTAAGAAGGTTTTTATGCATTTGTTAAGTTGGGGGTCTTTCAGGAGTGCATTACTTTATAATCTTTAAACCGAACATATGTATTTGTTACTGTTTATGCAGCATGTTTCACAATTAAAAAAATTATGTTTAGAACAATAGATATGATAAAAGAGAAGCCTGAGGAAAATGGCACGTTCATGAATGAGGAGAAAACTCAGTTTACCCTATTTCGTAACCTCCTCTAGAACTGCCTTTGAACCAGAGGAAGCAGAGAGCGGAATAAGCGGGCGGGGGGCTCGCTGTTAGGACGAGGTGGGCCGGCCCCGCGGCCGGCGCCCTCCCAGCTAACACACCTGGCAGGCGGCCTGCGGCCAGTGCGTCCCCAGGCAAGTGGCCGTTCACGCCGTTGGCGGAGGGGTTGTTCATCTGGCCCAATAACCCACTTCTCATCTCCAGGTCAGTTGGGTACGGTCTCCGTGGGTCCCCTAAAAAATACCCGAAAACAGAGGACTTTTAGTTTAATCACACGGGACTAAGTATTCATGCCTCCCCTGAAGTACTGGTTTTCCTTGGTTCACTCTGAAAAACTCAATCTGTATTTTTAGTTTTGGAATACAAAGGTCATCTTATCAACTGCTACTAAGTGAGGATACACTGATTGATTGGAGGGAGGGAGGGAGGAAAGGGGGGGGAGAGAAACAGCAAGTGAGAGAAACGCTGACCAGCCGCCTCTCAAGCTGCCGCAGCTGGGGACCCGCAGCTGGGACCCCACCGCAACCTTCTGGTGTGCGGGGCAGCGGGAGCCAGTGGTCGTTACTTCCGACCACAAAAGCGGGCTAAATAGCGTTTGGGGTTGATAAAATCTTGGCCAGATTTGGACCAACTGTTCGGTAATATTTCTCACAAACTTCCTGTTACAGCCCAAACAGTGTAGTTACCCTTAGTTTTTTTACTATGGCAAAAGCACTGAAACACCACCGGGAGTTACTGAAGCTGAGACGGCTGTCCCCCGCAAATGGTCCGTCCACCGTCTGGTGGCTCGGCCGTGGCCGCGGCCCCTCTGCCGTCGGTCCTGCTCTGGCTCTGGCTTTGGCTCTTCCCGGCCCCGCACGTGTGCCTCGGGGGCCCAGGGCTTCACCTTTGCCACCAGGGGTCGGGACTGTCTGTGTCCCAGGCTGGGACTTTCGTGGAAATCCTACTGGCTCCAGAAGTTGGCTTCTAACCAGCTGGAGTTTTAATATACATAAATCTATAGCTTTAGAATCATCATATATTGTACTTCTAAAAATTATTACTTTTTAATTTATTTTTTTAATTGATTATTATTTAAAAAAAAGAAACCAAACACAGTCCATAGCAACAATCACACTGTAGAAATCCAAACTGATAAAACCCATGAGCTGTATTCTTATGACTTTAAAGATATGAAAATATATAGATTTACACACGTTCTATGTTTAAATGCATTCCACATCTAACTCTTTTCCCCTATTTCTGCGCACAGTCACCTAAGGATCCTCAGAGCCGCATCAATCTAGTAGAGAGAGGAGCGTCCTTACCGGGAACCCAGGTCAGCGGGGCGCACACGGCATTGCTGGCGCTGATCCTGTGCGCGTACTTAATGATTTCTTCCGAGGAGATGGCGCCTGCGAGTCAGGAGTCAAGGACACACGGGTTTAAACATGCTCGAGGCCGCCACATACGGTACTTAATGTTACGTCACCTGAAGATAAGACGATCTGCGTCACCTGCCTTCCCTGGTATCTGCGTGTACATCGTAAACTTAAATCATAGGTAAGCTCAAGAGCGAGACATACGGCTGCCGTGACCAAAGCAGTAACTCTGGGATGCCACGTGGCAGCGCTCAGGGACCTCAGTGCCTAACTCCCCCGACAATGAGGATCTTCTGGAGGCAGCAGCCAGCACACACGGGCAGCGAGGGGCCCGCCTGCCGTACCACCAGGGCAGCGGCGCACACTGCCACTCGGCATTGACCGGAGGAGAAAGACATTCACTACATCCTCACGGACTGGGAAGAGTAAGCTGTAGAACAGTATGGACAGCCTAACCTGACTTTTTAGAATACATGCACATCTTTGTATGCAGACTGTTCTTGGTACATATGTTTTATAGATCTAAGAACAGTCCGGAAGGACATGTACCAAGTATCACCAGTGGCTTTCTGAAACAAGAAGAGCAAAGTCAGACAAGTCGAGACCACGAAGTACAGGCTGCTGGGAGGAAGTAAGCAGACCTGTCACTGCCACTGACCCCAGCAGGCACACGAAGGGCCCCCGTGGGACAGAGAGCAGCACAGGGTGAGCTGGCCACGGTCCGCAGAACGTGCACACGCCCCAAAGCCGTGCTTCCGACTCCGTGAGGTTCTTAGCCCCACTGAGGTGGACCACGGGTATTTGCCCATCTCTGTCCTGACTCTCATACCCAGTGCAACTCCTGCTTGCTTTCGGCCTGCCGTTCTCTCCCCCAGCGATTCTGCAGACCCACTGTCTCTATTACACGTTCGGGGCCACAGCCGCAACTGGCCCCACGTAACTGCCGCCTATAACCTGAAAAACGATGTGATGCACAGGCAGAGCGCCAGGAGACACAGACTGTTTACAGTGAAAATTAATCAGAACCTTCGGACAGCAGCACATGATCGCTAATAACACTGTCGTCAGTTTCTTGAGACTAACAGTTGGATTTTTTCAGGTCATTCAGCATACTAACCTTTTCTTGCCTTTTCTATTGATTTCAGTTTTTCTTTTGCTTGGTATACAGCTGTCGCCTAAAGAACATTGAAGAGAAAGACGGTTTATTCTTAACTACACCAGGCACAGTTTTCCCTTAATTCACAACACCGTTTATCCTGCAGAACCAATATCCAGTCTGGAACCCCCCAGAGCTCACGTGCGGCACTCTGAAACAGCGCTCAGTGTCACCGACATCACCCTTACACTTAAGGAAAGGAACACATTCCCGAATGGGTCTTCATTCCCAAATTAGCTGTTGGAAACACTGCACAGATTGGACTGTTCACCAACGATTTTTTTATGTCTCCAATCACAGAGAAGAGATACGGACCACGAACCACTATCCTTTCACCTCGTTCGAGGATAAAATACCTCGACATCCTTGTCATTTACAAGGTATCTCCCGGGGTGGACGCTCTCACTCCCTTACACCACCACGCCCAAGCTCACTGCCTGCTGTGGGCCCCACAAAGGCACAGACACTATGGGTAAATGGGGGGAGCCTGGCACACGCACCCTCGACCAAACCCAGTGGTTAAGAGTACGGCACTGGGGAGATTTAGGGTTAAATGCCATCTCTACTTTTCACCCTTCTTGAGCAAGGAAGTCCTTTAAAATCTCGGTTTCTTCAGCTTTAAAATGAGAAAAGGGTGCCGGCGCCCAGAATCGCTGTGCAGACCGAGATAACGCACGTGGCGTGTGGAGCACGGGGCCTGGCGGGCGCACGAGTGCCCGCTGACTGCCGGCTGCCGCGGCGTCTACAGAGGAACCCAGGGCGCCTGTCTTTGGCTCAGGGCTTACAGGTTTGAAAACTTAGCCTAAAGAATACAATCAGGAATGCACAGGGCATAAAGCTTTTCTGGAAGGGTATTTACCACAGCATTATTTGTATCAGAAAGTTAGAAAATTAAACGAGGATATAATTATGGGAAAAATGGGTAAGTGTTAATAAAGAGTAACAAAGTCTGTCGGCACCCTGCTCATCACGATTCGGTGAGAAATGCACGCATCTGGGACTGCGGCTCTGCACCGAACCGGGAACAGTGGCTGTCCCGGAGCAGTGGGACTAAAGGCCCTTTCTTTCTCTCCTACTTTCTTGCATTTTCTGAATATCTTTTAATAAAAAAGTATTACTTTCCTAATGAAAACGAGATTGACTATATATTTTTAAAGAAATATCTACTTGGGGTTGTTTCTCTAGCAGAAGTGGTTAATCGCCCTGAACCTCTCTGGCCCCTGGGTACCGGAGCCCCTCCCGAGACATTCTGAAGAGCTTTACCAGGCTGGGGAGGCCGCTACGCCTGGTCCGTGTGAGACTCAAACTCAGCTGTGTCTGCAAGGCCGCGCAGCAATGACATCAGTTCGCACTTAGTGAAATAACTGGGCCACTGATGGCAGATAAACTGCCTCTTCAAAACGGGAGCCACGAGGAGGGAAAGGGAAAGCAGAGCCCTTGACATGACCCTGACCCCACCTGGTGTAGGACGGAAACTAAGTGACGTAATTTTTACTTATAAAGTTGGTACATATTTTGACAGATTTTTATAACTAAAGTAAAGACTTAAAGTATTAACTACTACTACTTGATTCAGGACATGAGTAAAGCTTCCTATTTCTATAATTCAATACTATGTGATCTTTAAATAATAAAAATGTGGTTCAACCGCAATGGGACTGTCTGGAACAGGAAATGAAGAAAATGACAACAGCCATTCATTAAACCGAAATGACAAGTTGTCACTTTCAGACTTGGAAAATCAAGTTCTGCCACTTCAAAATATTAATAATAGACTTATTTCTCAAAAATACATTAAATAGCCCTGACTGGTGTGACTCAGTGGGCTCGGTGTCATCCTGCAAGGTCCCTGGGTTCAACTCCCAGTCAGGGCACACGGCTGGGTTGCAGGTTTGGTCCGCTGGTTGGGGTGCATAATAAGAGGCAACTGGCTCATGTTTCTCTCTGCCATTGATGTTTCTCTCCCTTTCTTTTCCCCCCTTCCTTCCTCCCTGTCTAAAAATAAATGAGTTAAAAGTCTTTATAAAAACAGACTAAGTAAACAATATCCCTGTTAAATGACCCGACTGCCAACTCACGAGTATCTGCTCAGCCTCCTTCAGCTGTTTCTGCAGTTGCTGGATATCACTGTCTCTCTTCTCAACTTCTTTTTCTAGAACTTGCATCTCATGGTGGATTTTCCCCTGATTGAATGCCAGTTTCATCAGTTCTTGAAATTCCCCGTCCCTGTGAATTAACAGCTCCAGCACCTGCGAAACAACAGTTGATTAAAGGAGGTAACAATATTAAAAAGCACATTCCAATGAAACAAAGATTCCACCTGCTAATGTGGGGACATAAAATTTTAACACCTCCAGATATGTTTAATCCTTATTAAAAATAAAAATAGCCTATTTGTAATTACTCTGGGAAACAGATTAAGATTTTCTTCTTTTTGTAATTATACTCTATTCTTTCATACAAAACAAAACTATTCTTTCATAACTAGCAGTATGCCAAAGGGAATTAGTTTATTCATCTCCCAGGGAAGAAAAAATTTGTTTATCCTTGAAAACATAATGCAGTGAAGGTTCCCCTAAATTCTGGTACTTGAGGTGATTTTCATTGGCAACAAGAACTTAAAAAAAAATCCTTCACTATTACATATTTGCACTAATATCAGAAAAGTATAACTGTCACGTAGAACTTGTGACTTAATGCCTAGTCCTCTCTAATGGGATAAAAGGGTGATTTCAAAACACAGTAAATCAATTTTGGCAATAACTGTGAAGTTTAAGCAGCAGAAAGTTCCGGTTCAAATCTCTAGGCTCTCATGGGTTAGCAGCCTGACAGGGGAAGGTCACCTGACCCTTGAGTCTGTCTTCTCACTGGGAAGAGGGTGGAACAGCAGCACCTGGGCACTCAGAGTTGGCGCGAGGACTCGTGATGTCATGCACACCAAGCACACATAGGAAAGCTCAATGGAGGGGAGTCATCACCCCCCCACTACAGGAGATGCCATCTGACCTAAACACCCCTATTTTACTGCGTAATAGGAAGTAATGTATCCCACAGGAAATTGCTATAAAAATTCAGAATCAATTTAAAAATATGACCATAAATTTGTTAAAGATGGAGAAATACAGATGCATTCCCAAGCTCCTTCTGCTATTTAATTCCTCTCCTTTCTGTGAGCTACGCAACAGGCTGAGTCTCACCCTGAACCGAAAACTTGTATTACTTAACTCCAGGAAGTGTGTTCTGTACGAAGTGTACCTAACAGGCCTATAATCCACATTCTTCTCGAGTCACAGGAGAACTAGGTTTCCGTTTCCATAAAAGCTTTATTTAGAAGAAATCATACACCAAAGTGAGCAGTACACATTATTTCCATGACAACTTGTAAGAAGTTTACACAGTTTGACCTATTTTTTATATGCTACCAGAGAGTAGGAAAATTTTCTTTAGATTTTATTGTTGAGTAGAGAACATAATTCAACTAAAGTCAGAAGAACTGGAATCTAGTTCTGCTTGTCCATGAACTTTTAGCTCATTCCTTCACCCTGAAGCAATCTCACGGGAGGTTACCTGGAAGGCCACGAAGGTCCCTTCTAACTTCAGAAGTCCACACGTATGCAAGTATAAAGACAGCATGGCGGTCAGACAGTTTTCACATGGGCTACCCCACAGACACTAAACAGTCTTAATGCACACCGTACAGGAACTCACAGCACTCAGTACAGAACTCGACTCCCGGCACTGCCTGCTCTCACACGGTGTGCGGGAGGCGAGTGGGGCTGTGCAGGTCTCGGTGGAGCCCCGAGCAGCCCGGGCGCCTGGCTCACTAAGTGCCTGGGAACCAGGTCAAAACTCGCATTTCACTTTTTGCTCTTTTTGTGTAAATTCATAATTAACCACAAATTAATCACAGATGCTATTTATTAATAAAGCATCTGAAACTGAGATTCTTCTAGTAACACATTTGTCTCTAGGTTCTTTCTTTTTCTGAAAACAAAACAAAAAACCCCACCCTAGCACCCCCTCTTTTTTCAACCTGTAGCCTCATCTGGTCCCCCCTCCCGCTGGGAGAATTCGTCCTCCAAGGAACCAGTCCAGGCCCCTCTGTGCCGACTGCATCAGGCTGCTCCGCCCTGGACACACGATGTGAAGCGAAATGAAGATAATCACGGGGTACGGGGTCGGGAGAAGAGGTTTACCAGACACTGTCTTCTGTACGACATCTTTAAAAAGGCTAATCCTTCCTATTTTCTCCTATAAAGCTTTTAAAAAGATGGTGGCACCCCCCCACCCCCATACTATGAAATTTAGCCTCTATGAAACATTTTGAACCAGGAGAGATTTTTCCAGATGGTGGCAGAGTAGGGGTGGATGTTGCACCCACCTTTTTCCAGGACCAAACTGGAAATACAATTAAACCAGGGAACAATCACCCCGAATAACCAACTAAAGACCAGCTGAGTAGTTACGTCTGTACCGCACTGAGACTGTACCAGCACAGCAGCTCACAGGCCACGGTCAGGGTCGGGCCTCTCAGGCCGCCAGCCCGAGGGCGGGCCTGGGCACCCACAGGCCCACGGCAATCCAGACTCGCTCACGCCAGGAGGACCAAAGTCACCCACACACGGGATGGTCCGAGAGCACCTGGCTCAGGAGATCAAGGAGACTGCACCACTGGGTCCCCCGGACACCTACTACATAAGACCACCCCACCAAGACTGCGAGTCACAGCAGATCTGATACACAGAAACAAGTACGAACAGCCCAAATGGGGAGACAAAGAAGCAGGCCCCGAAGGGAAAAATGGGAGGAATCTGCAGGAAAAGAGCTAAAGAAAATGGAGGCAGGCAACGTACCAAACGCAGAGTTCAAAGTAATGGTTACAAGGCTGTTCAAGGAACTTAGTGAGAACTACAACAGCATGAGAAAGGACACAGAAACCAAGAAAAAGAACGGGTAGGAAATTAAGAATATACCATGCCTGACATGAAAAACACACTGGAAAGAATAAAAAGTAGGTTGGCTGAAGCACAGGATCAAATCAGCAATTTGGAAGTTAGAAAAAAACACCCAAATGGAGCAGCAAGAGGAAAAAAGAATGAAAAAGAATGAGGCCTGTTTAAGGAAGCTGGTGGGGGGGTGGGCGGGCAACTTGAAGCTTACCAACATCTGCATCACAGGAGTACAAGGGGAGAAAAGGGAGAACAAGCAAGGGATTGAGAACCTACTGGAAGAAATAATGAGCAAAAACTTCTCTAACCTGCTGAAGGAAAAAGGCATGCAAGTCCAAGAAGCACAGAGAATCCAAAGCAAGATAAACCCAAAGAGGCCCACTCCAAGACACATCGTAATTAAAATGCCAAAGGTTAAAGACAAAGAGAAAATCTTAAAAGCAGGTAATTACCTACAGGGGAGCTCCCATAAGACTGTCAGCCAGTCTCTCCACAGAAACATTTCAGGCCACAAAGGATTTGCATGAAACCATCTTCTCTGGGCACAAATGTTATGAAACTAAAAAACACACTAAGTCATGGAGGCTAAATGACAAGTTACTAAACAATGAATGGGCTAACAAGAAGGAATCAAATGTTACCTTGAAACAAATGAAAATGAAAACACAAGAATCCAAGACCTAAGGGACACAGTGAAAGCAATCCTAGGGAGGGAAATTCACAGCATTATAGGCCTACCTCAATAAACAAGAAAAATCTCCGAACAATCTAACTTTACATTTAAAGGAATGGAAAACAACAACAAACAAAGCTTGAAGTGAGCAGAAGGAAGGAAATAATAAAGATCAGAGCAGAATTAAATGACACAGGGTCTAAAAAAAAAGACAACACGAAAGATTAGTGAAACCAAGAGATGGTTCTTTGAAAAGATAAACAAGACCAACAAACCTTTAACCAGACTCACCAAGAAAAAAAGAGAAAGGACCCAAATAAATACAATAGAAATTTAAAGAGAAGTAACAACCGACACCAAAGAAATACAAAGACTGTAAGAAAATATTATGAACAACTACATACCAACAAATTGGACAATGTGGAAGAAATACATAAACCCCTAGAAACATACAATCTTCCAAAACTGAGGAGTGGATAAAAAAGCTGCGGTAGATTTACACAACGGAATACTATGCAGCCATAAAAAAGGACCTCTTACCTTTTGCGACAGCAGGGGTGGACCTGGAGAGCATTATGCTGAGTGAAAATAAGCCAGTCAGAGAAAGACAAGTACCATGTGATCTCACTCATTTGTGGAATCTAATGAACAAACTAAACTGACGAACAAAACAGACAGAGGCATCTACACATGGAGCAGACTGACAGCTGTGAGGGTGGGAGGGGGGAGAGCGGGGACTGGATGACACGAGGGGAAGGGATCAGCCAGAGAACATACATGCGTGATACACAGGCACCGCTAACGGTGTGGGGTGACCAGGGGGGAAAGGGGAGTGGGGGCTGGGTGGAGATGGGCAAAGGCGGGGAACAGGGACATCTGTCGTAGTGTCAACAGTAAAAATAAAGGAAAGAAAGTTTTAAACCAGAAAAAAACGTGTTCACTGAAGAAAATTAGGAAGCCCAGAAAAGCATAAAGAAAAGGAAATCAACCCGTAAACTCAGCATCCACAAAGCCAGTAACCTTCACTAACACTCTCGGCTCTTCCACCTCCATTCTCCGACAGGCTGCCTTGGCCAAAGCAAGCCCACAATGCAGGGCTGACCCTCTGGGTTCCAGAACCCGTTTTCCTCTCCATCTAACAAGGCTTTGTCGGTTGATTCAAAAGATAAAAATGAACAACTGTGTGACCGGAACTAGAACTGTAACAGAAAACAACACCTCGAAAGCCCTGACAACTGTTTTCTGGAGCACAGTCTCCCTACCGAAATGACACAGGTATCCATTTAAAAGTTTCGATGAGTAACTTAGAAAGGTCCGATTTTACTGTTCTCACACAAAGTAAATTGGAAACTTGCAGAAATTATGGTTTGATCTGGTACTGTTTTGAAAGGTACTGATTTGGTACTTCCTTAAAAAGGAAGTCACTTACCTGGTTTTCCTCTCCAGCCTGTAACAACTTTTGGTTTCTTGAAATTGCCAGCATTTCTATAAGTTCCCTTAAAAAAAATGAAAAAGTTAAAAAACAAAACAAAAAAACCCCAAACCTTTGCAAAGTCAATACATGAGAGGCCCCCTCGGCTTACCGCCACCAGCCCCGCAGCTTTCACAGCATCCACGGCCCCCAGCGCATGGCTACTGCCTCCCACTCCACCCCCAGCAGCTGCACCACACTCTCGCCAGCTGTGTTGTCAGACTTATTAGTTTTACTTGTTACAGTAATTGTATAAATCAATATCCAACACATACATCAACAGCAATGAAATGTGACTGTGAGTGAATGGAAAAGTTGTTTCTGTAAAAACCACAGGCACATGCTCGGGAAGACTGCACAGAGGTTGGAAAAGGACAAGGTGAGAACCAGGGGGAAGTCAGAACGCTCCGCTAGATCTGCCCGAAGACACCGGCAGAGGGCGCCTCACTTCACGTTAAAGAAACCAGGCTTAGAACTGGCAGCGGAAGCATCAGGGGTTTCTGCTCGGAAAACTCTACATTTGGACCGTCTGCAAGCCAAACCTTTGGCTGTGTGGGACGATGCACCCACCGAGCCACCTGGCCAGGGAATGACTGAAATTTTTACATTAACCAAACAGGTATCAGACAAAAGGGAGTCTTGCATACTGTAATAAAATCCTGTCTGTCTAGAAAGCTCATTTAGTAGAGATGCCAATCCTTTAAGAAAACTAGTATACAGAGCAGGAAAGGGTGACTGGCAGTAATATTCCAAACTTGCTGAGAGATGAGATTTTTCAGAGATTACGCAGGACGGAACAGCTTCACAACTGCTACCTGACGCTACCACTCAGCCCTATTTAACTTGTGCTGTCTGTGTGCTTCCATAACATCATTTCTTGGTGTACTGACCTAGTAATCTGGTAAGTCATGCTCGCTGTGGCAAGGACTAAATCGCAGCAGATAAAATGCTGATTGGTCACACAATATATAAAGTTTATTCCAAAGCTGTCAGTGAATGCTGGCTGCAGAAAAGGGGATAGCTGAGCAGGATGAATGAAGGATCGATCAAGCTGTAGGTGGAGGGCAAGGCCCTCCTAGAGGTTGGGGAGCCTGGGGGAGGCAGCATTGAGGGGCGTGGGGGTAGAGGGAGGCGGCGGTAAATAACAGTGGAGAAGGGCTTCATCTATCACACACTAAGCTGAAGAATATGGACTTGAGCTCATGGGGCAATGGGACCCTGACAGATACTTCAAAGCAGAAGTGAAATGAGATGCCCTTTAAAAAGACAGCTCTCTGCCCTTGGACAAAACAGAGTGAAGATGCATGAAGGCAACTAGAGCTGTTGGGGGGCTACATTAAGTAAGATCTATGATGGGGCCACCGGGTCAGAGAACAGGCAAGACTCAACCAATGAGTGAGTGCATGGATGGGCAGAACAGCAAATCCATGTCTATTTATATATATATTTACATAATGGATTTTATATATATAGAAAGAAAGAAAGAAAGAAAGAAAGAAAGAAAGAAAGAAAGAAAGAAAGAAAGAAAGAAAGAAAGAAAGAAAGAAAGAAAGACTTGTGATGGCGACGTACAACTGTGGGGATGGGAACAAGAGGTCAAATCTGAGCAAAACCACTTTAACATCCGAGTGAACGTGAGGACGTTAAGAGGGGCTACCACTGTCTAGACCCTGCCGAAGGAGGAGGGAATAAGGAGGACGCGGGATCTCAACTGTCGCCTCTGCGGCGCACGATGCGTCCAGCCATCCCGAACCGGCACCGGCCCGCGTCGTGCGTACTCGGCTCTCCGGTAACACGCCGCCCAGGGAATCAATCTGGCCAACGCGTTCGTCCCACGCGGCCAGTCCTCCCCCGCTCCCCCCGATGCCGGCCCAGATGACGCCGGGGGACCGGGACCGCGTCCCAAGGGGAGCCGGTAAACTCGGCTGCTGCGTCCCTGTTTGCCCGTCCGTCTTCCCCGCTGGCAGCGAGGGAGCAACTCTTTGTTGACCCTGAGTCGGCCGGTCACTCCATTCTCCCGTCGCCGTCGAAGGACTCGCCCCGGCGATCGCTAAGGTCCGCTACGGCTCTGACAGTCTTGGGGTGCCAGGGTCACTGTCATCACTAACCTGTCCTCTACCGGGGGGAATGCCGTCTCGGAGCCCTGGAGGACGACGGACGCTACGGCCACGACTGCCACGCCCTGTCTCGGGAAGCGCGCCGGGGTCTCCCTCCTCGGCCGAGACCCCGAACCCAGCGGTAGTCGCCCCGCCCGGCCGGTCCGGAGTCAGTCCTCCGATCCAGCCCGGCCCGACCCCCCAGGCCTTCCGCCTTACCTCGACAAGACCTCCAGATCCTCCAGCGCAGACAGCAGCCGCTCGCGCGTGCTGTTCCCGCACGCCGCCCCCGAGCCGCCGGCCAGCCGCTCCTTCTCCTTCTCGCCCAGCGAGGAGGCCGCCATGCTTCCCACCAGCCCGCCGCGGCTTCTGCGCGCCTGCGCGCTGGCGAGGAGGTGGGCAGGCTCTGCGGGCGAGGCGGTGAAGTTCTGGCAGAGCGCCCCCTGTGGGTCTGGAGGTGCACTGCGGACGCCGGCGCCATCTGCAGGGCCGGAAGGGCTTCTCGGTTTCAAGCCAGAGAAGGGGCAGGTGCCACCAGGTCAAGTTCAGTGCAAACATTTGTTCTGCGAGCTGGAATGGAAGGCTTCTGCTCTACGCATTTTAAGCATTGGAAGAAAGTATGTGATGGCCTCTTGTGACAGCTTCTTCGTGAGATGGACTGTGTCTGCGCAGTGTGAACCTCTATTTAGTCTGCATTTCCCTAACACTATTCCCGCTCAGCTGTTTGGCCTCTTGTGAGGGTGTACGCACCTTGGCACCGGAACCATAATCCTTCCTGTTTTTCCTTCAGTTTTTCTCTATGGTGGTAAGATACACATAACAAAGTTGACGGTGTTAACCATGTTTAAATGTAAGATTCGGTAGCAGTAAGTACTGAATACATTCATTCTCATTGTGCTATCATCCACCACCCAGCTCCAGAACCCCTTTCATTCCGTGACACTGAGACTCCCTACGCACCCCATTCCCCTTCCCCAGGGCCCTCGGAAATCACCACTGGATTGTCTGTCTCGGAATCTGGATCTCTAGGTACCTCATACAAATGGAATGAATCATACAGTCTTCGTCCTTTCGAGACTTGCATGTTTCCTTAGCATAGTGTCCTTAAGGCTCACCCACTCTGTAGCACGTGTCGGAACTTCCTTCCTTTTTAAGACCCAGTAATGTTCCATCGTATGTATGGACCACATGTGCTTAACCTTTCAACTGCTGATGGACGCTTGGGCCGCTTCCACACTTTTCTCGCCATCTTTATAATCACACATGTCCCAACAAAACGTGCTGCTCATTGTTCAAGATGACTGTTGAATGAGCGAGTCAATGTAGTATGTAAGGGGTACTTAATGAAAATAGTTAAAGTGGTCGTCGTAACACATATTCAAAATCAGACCTGGGTGTCAAGGCCAAAATGATACCTTAGTCCACTTTTCTGGGGGAAAACAATGTCAAAGTGGATCTTACCTACCAGGAAAACCCGAAGTTATAATGGCATGGGGGATGGGAAGTCCTGTATCAGACCAAGCTGTGTTATCAAAGATGTGATGGACAGATGTCGGCCACGGACCACATCTGGGAATGAGGAGGAGGACCTTTGCCCCTCATTCCAGCGTCCCGTCCCCTCAGGACAGGTTGAAAATTCCCTCAGGCCTCATGCTAAAAAATTCATTCATACCAACTGCTGCCTAACCCAGAAGACTGATTATTCTCTTATGATAAGCATGATTTCACTCAGGGAGAAACCTACACAGAAAGCCAGATTATCACTAGAATGTCGCTTGATAAACTTGGATCAGGACAAATGAAGGCAAACAAATAATGAATTAATGCAGTTTTCAGGATTTGCACCTCCACAGCATAGGGATGTTTGTGTTGAAGAGATTAGAATATTTGTGTTCATTAAACAGGGGGCCTTGTCCCCTAGACAATGCAAGAGACTAAGGGACACCGTTTGTTTTTCCACCGAGTCCCACTTCCATGCCTCACACCTTCTGAGTACAGTCAGTCCCGGGCAACAGAATAAATTAGATCTAAGCTTCCTTAATGGCAAATATATTCTGAGTATGTCTCCCATTAGCTCTAGTCAATATCTTATCTTAAGCTCCCCAGGGGCTAAACTCCCATAGTCTCTGAGGTTTGTTTCCTTAACTGTCCCAGGTTCATCTTGGACCACGATTCCGGCGGGTGTGGGGAGTGGGGGGGCTTGTCTTAGTGTAGCCTCACCACAAAAATTCTGGGAGGATTCTAATCAGCTTAAAGTGTCTAATTATAGGTTCTACTTTACATGCACTGGGGGTCAATTATGACGCTATGGGTATGTTTTGAATTCCAGACCTCACCAAATTTATTGCAAACTCTTACGCACATCAAACAGCTTATGAACTGGTAACAGCATGTCCTGCGGATATACTCTTCTGAAAACTGTGCAGATCCATATATAATGAACAAAAGTATTATTTATAATATAATAATCAAATATGAATATTATATATTTTATAGTTATAATAACTGAATTCATGTAACTTTAAGTATAAAGATTCAAAAGGACAAGTACTACCTTCTTGTGAAATTTTATGAATTTAACCTGCTAGGCACTATTCTAAGCATTTTAAAAAATGAACTCATTTAACTTTCCTAACAGTGTCAAAGGCACTAAGTTCTGTTATGATCTCTACAGGACAGAGAATGACGCTGGGAGGCAGGTGGGTCAGGAGGCCTGCGGTCCTACAGCCAGGAAGTGACAAAGCCGGGATGGAAACCCAGGTCCCCTCTCTAAGGTCTGTGCTCTCAGCTTCTGTCCATCCTGCCTCTCTTTGAAAGAAGGGGGTGTCTTCATGTACTGAGACCAGGTTGGGGACCCCTGGTCTGAAATGTAAGCACTGTCGAATGCACAGCTGAGAGTCCTGAGTGACAGGCAGCTGCAGATGTTTGGTGTGGAGGCGTGAGCGCAGCCAGAACTATCAGGCCCGTCCCGAAGAGCTAGCAGACGAGGTGGCTGCATAGACTTTGTGTCTTATTTTCTCATCTGTAAATTTTGTGGATCTTATTTTTCAATCGCAGGTGATACTCAGTATTATTTTATGTTAGTTTCAGGTGTACAGTGTAGTGGTTAGACAGTCGTATAATTTACGAAGTGGTCCCCTGATGACTCGGCACCCCCGGCACCATGCAGAGTTGCTACGACAGCACTGGTTGTATTCCCCAGGCTGGACTTTGAGTCCTTGTGACTGTTTTGTAACCATCTCTTTGCTCTCTGTGCCATTTTCAGTTATTTGTGTTGTCACCAAAATAGCACTCAAAAGCTAACAAAACCAAAAAGGAAAGTTCTCAGTCACCCCCTCCCGGCCTGTCACTGCATTCTCTCTAGCAGCAGCCGCTCTCAGCGTTATAAACACTTCCTTCTATGCTTTGCTTCCAAATTTTAAAGTGATGTGCGTATATTCTATACATCTACTCAACTCTTTTACAGATTCGCTTCCGTCCCCATGTGGTGGATTCGCTTTCAGAAGCCAAGTTGGTCGATTGCTCCCTATTTCATTGATGCATTTATTTAGTTTTGAAAGTAAGTCAGTTCAGTTAAATTGTTGAGTTTCACCTATTGGTACAGGCAATCGGGTCTAAATATGGAGCACACCTACGAAAGCAGAAGAGAAAGCAAAGGTTGATGACCGCAGGTAACCATAACCCAGTTTCTGAGTCTGTAAGACCGTCAGCGAAGAAGGCTTCAAGTTCCTTTTGCTGGAGTGGCAGCGAGCAGTGACAGCCTGACAGATGCTGTTTACCTGCACTTCCGGTGTCTGTGGCCTCGAAGGCAAGGGTGGAAACAGGAATTACTGGAGTTTCCTGTGTGTGATTTTCACCGAACCACGAGTAAACTCTGGCCCCTTGTCTTGTGACTTCAGGGTCACTCTTTCCAGGTCCACCCCAATCGCTACTGTCGTCTCCATTAGCGGTGATGTCATCCATTTAAACTTCTGCACTTTCTACAGTTTGCGTTCCAACTTGTGCTTTAGCCAAGTTGTGTGTCTGTCTCCCCTGACTTATTACTGGCATGAGAAACTTAAAAACATGTTATCGCCTATTCCACAAAAGCTTTTGCCCATCGGAGGAGATTTTCACATGTGGCAGGTCCTCAGGTACCAGTGTTCTGTTCAGCGTCATTGTGTAATATTGCCGATTAGAAAACACTCATCCTGAGCAGGGCCGCTCTCTGTGGGGAGTTTGCACAGTCTCCCGACAGCATGGGAGAACTCTTCCTTCCTTCCACAGTGCGGTGAACTGGCCGGCCCGGGGCAACTGGAGGTCTAGGTGGTCTCAGCCCGAGGGAGTGTGGGGGTGGGTGTGTGAGCGCCCTGGGACGGAAGGAGGTCCGGTGGGGCCCAGGGTGGGGCCCCCTGCACCCTGAGTGGCCTCAGAGGCTCAGTCCCCCTACGACCCTAAGCCAAAATAAGCCATCTGGAAAAAAAAATAACCCTCCTTGGTTGTCTTCATTTTTCTTTGAACATATGTGTAGGTCACATTTCTTTCAATGCCCAGTATTAGAAGTATTCTGGGTCTTTATTCAGAAGTTTGGTGATGTTTTAACTCTTGTTTTATATCAGTTAGCCTGTGGTAAAATTGATTTCGCGGTACATCATTTCACCTGAAGTCATAGTTTATGAAGCTGTGGACCATGTGAACTGAGGACTTGCTACACCTGTTGAGTGACTAAATAATTTTCACATTTTTTGCAACGAGTCCCGCCTGCTTAATTCCAGCTCCACCATGTGTCAGTAACCCCTTGTCTTAGAAAGCCAATGACTCAACATTGATTTCATAAAATTCATTTGAGGCTCATTCCCAACTGGCTCCATGGATCAGGGGTGGGGGGTGGGAAGGAATGTGGAGAAAAGGCAGAAAGTGAAGGAATGTCTATGGGTTGGAGGAGTGCGGTGCCCTGGGGTCTCTCGGAGCTCGGGGGACTTAAACGCCAGGGGGGCTGAGGGCAGTGAATGCAGCCATGCTGGGGAGTGCTCACGGGCTGTGTGATTGTGCCATGCTTGGAACTGACAGTACCATCTGTTCTGGCTTTGCTGAGCGGTGGGACTTAGCTCACTCTCTCCAAATGCACACACGTGTGCACACATGCGCACACAGTCCTCACCGCCACCGCAGCTGAAACAGAAGCACAGTTGGTTGGCTTCCCATCTCAGGTTTTCATTTCAGCAGGGAACATGGATGACTCAGGGGCCTGCGTACCGCCCTACTGGGGTCCTGCTCTGTCGGGGAGAACTGTGAGGTCCAAGGGACGGAGCAACCAGTCATTGCCACATGCAGAGCCACTCGGCAGGGAAGATGAGTTACAATGACAGATGGCACCAGTCAAAAAAAAAAATAGCTCTACAGAAATAAGCGTG